CTTTCTTGTCTCATTGCTCTGGCTAGTATTTCCAGTACTATATTGAATAGGAGGGGTGATAATGGACATCCTTGTCTTGTTCCTGATTTAGAGTAAAAGCTTTCAGTTTTTGACCATTCAGTATGATGCTGGCTGTTGGTTTGTCAGAGGTAGCTTTTGTTATATTGAGGTAAAGATCATCTATTCTGATTTTCTGTAGGTTTCTTATCATGAATGAGTGTTGGACCTTTTCAAAAGCTTTTTCTGCATCTATAGAAATGATCATGTGATTCTTATTTTTGGCTCTATTGATATGGTGGATTACACTGATTGATTTGCGTATGTTGAACCATCCCTGCGTTCCTGGGATGAATCCCACCTGGTCATGGTGTATAATCTTCTTGACGATTTGGTGCATTCTCTTTACTAATATTTTATTGAGGATTTTTGCATCTGTGTTCATTAGGGGGATTGGCCTATAGTTCTCCCTTTTGGTTGGGTCTTTCTCTGGTTTTGGTATTAGAGTAATACTTGCTTCCAGGAATGAGTTAGGGAGAATGGCTTTCCTTTCAATTTTATTGAGGAGTTTGAGGAGCATTGGCATTAAGTCTTCCTTGAATTTCTTATAGAATTCTGCAGTGAACTCATCTGGACCTAGGCTCTCCTTTGTTGGTATGATTTTAATTAAATTTTCAACTTCATGAACTTAAATTGGGTTATTCAGCAGTTTTACATCTTCTTGATCCCACTTTGGCATATGTTTCATATGTTTCTAGGAATCTTTCCATTTCTTCTGTGTTATTGAACCTATGAGAGTAGAGGTTTTTGAAGTAAGAATTGATGATCTGGGGCTGGGGATTTAGCTCAGCGGCATAAGCACCTGCCTTGCAAGCAGGCGGTCGTGAGTTCGATTCCTAGTACCGATAAAAAGTTAAAAAGAAAAAAAAGGAGCAAAAAAACCAAAAAAGAATTGATGATCTTCTGTGTTTCTACAGGCTGTGTAGTAATTTTGCCCTTTATTGCACAAATTTTAGTTTTTTCTTTTCTTTTTTTAAGCAGGTTTGCTAGAGGCCTGTCTGTTTTTTCTTTCAAAGAACAACTCTTTGATTTATTGATTCTTTGTATTGTTTTCTTAGTCTCTATTGCATTGATTTCCACTCTGATCTTTATAATTTGCTCCTTTCTTTCTTTTGGCTTTGGCTTGACTTGCTCTTTTTTCTGGATTTTTGAGGTGTAGCATAAGGTTGTTTGTGTTCCTTCGGTTTTCCTGATGTGATGTGCTGTGATTCTGATAGACTTTCCTTTATAGGTGATCTGTCTCTTCTCTCTAAGCTTTTTTTTGTTCTTATGTTGAATTTTGTTCTTATGTTGAGTATCATATATCTGGGTGTAGTTTTATTGTGGTTATGGCTATTTGGAGTTCTATATGCTTCACTGACCTGTATGTCAGTTTCCATTCTCATGTTTGGGAAATTCTCAGCTATTACTTACGTAATAGTCTTTTGGTATCATTTGTGTTGTCACTTTGTTTTTCATTTACACCCATCAATTCTGTGTCATTTTTCTTTACATCATCTTATTTTCTGATTCCTTGTTGTTTTTAAAAGATCTTTTCTTTCCTGTTTACTAGCTGCCAGCTTATCTTCCAGGTCTGAAATTCTATCTTCACTTTCATTGAGGAAGTTTTGCCAACTTTCAATGGAATTTTTGATTTCCTGCATGTCTTTTTGAATCTGTTTCATGCATTCTGCTTGTTTCTTATATTGTCCATTCAAGGTTTCCATCTTTTTACATTGTTCCTCTGGGTCCTCGGGGTTGCTGGGCCAATAATGTCTTTTTGTAGTGTGTCATGTTTCACTTACCTCTTACCTGGAGTATAGATCATGCGTTTTAGAAGATGGCGTATCGTTAGGGTTTGATAGTCAGTTGAAAATTGGCAGGATGATGAGACTACCTGAAAAGCAAACATAGTTTCAATGTTTATTAACATATTTTTATGGTACCCTATTTATTGGAATTAATCTTTCCCCTATAATTTTCAGTCATTGGGAATATTCTGTTACCCAGACTCTATGGACTGTGAAGTTAGCATTTTAAGATGGGTGTAGTTGACTAGATTGTTTTTAGGTAAAACTGTCTGGAATGGTGAGATAACATGGTATATATGTACCAGTTGAAGGAATATGTATTTTTCTCTTAGTCCAATAATAATAAAGACATATGGAGCAGTTAGTTTTTTGTAATAAAAAGAAACGTTAACTCCCTTTCAGGGAGAGAGTAAGTTAAAAAAAGGTGAATTTCAGATTAGAATATGGAAGATATTTATGGCAAATTGTGATGGTCAAAAAAACGACAGACCCCAAAAAATTAAAAGGAAGCGCTTTATTAGCTGAGCTCAGTGGTGACAGGGTCCCAGAAAGCAGCCAGGGAAGTGTGTGTGGGCAAGGGGCTGCAGGGCGTTTTAAAGCGTGAACTGCAAGGGTAGGGGTCAGGGTGTTAGGGTCAGTTTATCTCCAAAAAAGGTAATTTGGTTTGGTTTAGAGGAATCATGGAGTCAGGGAGGGGGTTACATGGTGGGTATGCCACAAAATTGCAACTTAACTAGCAATTACACAAGCTTTGCAGAAAGAGAACAAGTTATAAAGGCACATTAAGTAATATGTACAGAACGTTTTGCGTTTCTGAGCTTATAACACAAAACAAGGTTAACTGAATACAAAATGAGCATTGTTATGAATTAGATATGTCAGTGAGGAAAAATGTCAGAAGAAATACTAGTACTTGTCTTAGTTACTTTTCTCTCATTGCTAGGACAAAGTATGCAACACTCAAAATTAAGGAAGGAAGGGTTTATTTAAGTCACAATTTCGTGGAAATTTCTGTCTATAATCAACTGGCTGCAAAGCAGGGTGGCATAGTAGAAGGGCAAAGTTTACAGCAGAGGAAGACAGCAAAAGGCAACAAGAGCCAAAAAGGGGAGAGGTAACAAACCTCTTTCCTCCCTGTATGTAAGCAGGCTACCTGCGCCGGGGCGGCTGTAGGACTCATACCTTCTCCCTGTCTCTGTCTGTCTGGCTGGCTCTCTCTGCTCTCTCTGTCTCTCTGGCACTGGCTCAGGATGTTTACAAAGTGAGGACCCTGCCCCCCTGCTGAGTCCCTTAGTTAAACTTCTGAATTTCTCAAATTGGCACAATGAATCAACCAGTACAACATCTCAAATGATAAAGGCCTAGCCAGGGATGTAGAGCTGCTGAGTTACTTAGTTAAGCTTCTAATCCTTGCAAGTTAACATGAAGTATCAAACATTACAGTATTGAATACGAGGTTAGAACAAAATGTCTAATGTTGATGTACCTTCAGGCCAAATAACTGTATGGACTGGCAATACAAATGGAATACGTGTATAAATTACATTTCAAGTTTTCTTTGATTATAGGTGCTTATAAATCCAAAAAATGGCAAAGTATCTTATATAATCTGTATGATCTGCTAGTGAATGAGATATGTCATATAGGAAGTAGAGGAAAATACTCTGCAGGATTTCGTAACACTGCTTTCAAAGAAAATTTGATTGAATTGATGGCAGATATTTGTCACCAGGTATAGTTGATATCACATCTAATTTTCCTTTGCTGGGCTTTAAAAATCTAGGTTATTAAAAACTTAAAAATTACTCTCTAGATATATTGTTCCTTTCAAAATCTACTTCTTTGGAATTGTTCTTTTAAAACTTTAAAAAGCTTTTTTAAAACTTTTAAAAAGGTACAAAAACTTCTGTACATAGTGACTAATGAAAGCTAGTAATGAATTTTTTCTTTCTTAAAAGATTGTTCATAGGAAATAAGATGATTCAAACTTATGATGTTTTGCTTTATTTTGTCTTTTTGAGGCAGGGTCTTGCCATGCAGTTTTCGCTGGCCTTGAGCTCACTTTGTAGCTCAGGCTGGTCACAAACTTACAACACTCCTTCTGCCTCAACCTCCCGAGGGCTGGGATTACAGGTGTGCGCCACCATACCCAGCTTCTAATGGGTTTTTTAAACTGAATTATAATTCACTTAGAATAAAATTCACACACTTTTAAAGTGTGCAACTAACTTATTTTTAGTGTTTTTACTATGTTGTAAAACCATCGCCACTCTCTAATTTCAGCAAAGTTTTTATCCTCCCCAAAAGAAACCTCATCCCTATTAGCATTCAGTCTCTGTTTTCCATATTTCACACAGCCTCTGACATCCAATCACTAATCTATTTATAGTCTCTATGGATTTACCTGTTTTGAATTTCATTGACATGCTATCATATGAAATACGCTCTTTTGCATCTGGTTTCCTTTATTTGGTATAATGTTGTACCATGAATCAGTTTATAATTCCTTTTGTGACTGAATGCTATTTAATTTTATGGATATACTACTTTTTTCTTACCCATTCATCAGGTGATAGCCTAATGTTTCTTAAGTAAAACTTTTTCCCCAGGAATTTGGGTAACATCATTGTGGTAATTTCTTTTTGTCAAATATGTTATCAATAGTAAATTTAAATTTTAATCCCTGTCAATGTTGATTAGTGCTTTACTTTCAGATTTTTTTGGTGCTTTCATTTAATAACCCTAGGAAATAAAACATTATTTGATAATATTTGCTTTCTGAGAATGTCATTGTCATTCAAAATATTTGTTTCCTATGATGTTACCTTATTTTAATATTTTTAAACATACTGCTCTTGCTTAATGAGTTTGCTCCATTTTCATTTGAGTTTTCTTAATGAACCATCAGGAAAGAGTAGCAGTTACTAGCACAGATTTGTTTGTTTCACAGATTTTTGATGAAGATACCAGATCATTGGAGATTTCTCAGTCTTGTACTACTGCACAAAGAGAATCTAATGATTATAGCGTAGCTTGCAAAAGAAGGAAAATTGAAGTAGGCTGGGAAGTAATAAAAGATCATCTTCAGAAGCCACAGAATGATTTCGATCTTATGCTTTGGTAAAATGTTATTTGTCATGTTAACCTCATCTTCTTTTTTTCCTCAGAAAACCTTCAGCAGAGTAATTTCATCTCATTAACCATATAATTTATCTCCTGGGTGCCAAGTCATTTATCTACTTCCAAACTAATTACTAGCAAAAGGAAATGTGATTGTGAGTTGTAAAGGAAATGTATATTATTTTGATACAGTTTGCTTAAACTTGTTTATTTAACATAGTTGAGCATACCCATTTTAGAATTTTAATTTTATCTATTCAGTTAAGAGTTATTTATTGAACATCTGTTGTGTACCATGTATTAGGGTTGTGGAAATGAATAATAAGGTTAATGTCTTTGAGTAACACATGTGCTAGAGATTTCACAACTATTTAGTCATTTGACTGAATTAATGTCAGTGAAAACCAGAATTTTTTCAGTTTAGTTTTTATTCGTGTCTGAAGTACATGATTACATTCCTTTTGAGGAACTAGTCCATGTACATAATACATCTTACTTCTTTTTTTTCCATTACCTTTCCCTCTTCCTCCTCCCTCTCTCTACATCTGTTGGTCCCCTTCCCATTTGCGAAAGATCTATTTGTCTACTTATTATCTGTCTTTTATCTGGTTCTTTATGTTTTGGATTTCTCACCTAAGAGAATGTATATGATATTTAACCTTGTATGTCACTTAACGTTATGGTGTACAGGTGCTTTATTTTTCTTTTCCTTTTTTTTTATTGGTACTGGGGATTGAACTCACGACTATGCACTTGCAAGGCAGGTGCTTATGCTGCTGAGCTAAATCCCTGGCAGGTGCATTATTTTTTTACAACTGGTTGAAATTTACCCTTCTTTATGATAGAGTGTATAAATGCCACTTCTGCTTTACCCATTCATCTGTGATGGACACACACATTTCTGAGATTTAGCTGTTATGAATTGTGCTGTCATAAATGTACATATACCACTGTGAAATGATACCTTTAACTCTTCGAGGAAGATATTTAGGAGGGGAATAGCTGATTTGAATGGAACTTCTATTTTTAGCTCTTTGAGGAATCACCATACTGATTTCCATAATGGTTATAGAGTTGACATTCCCACCAATGATGTAAAAAAGTTCCTTTTTCCCCCACAGCCTCTCCAGCATTTGTTACTACAGTATTTGGTTGCTTTCTCTCTTATTCTTTGGCAGGCTCTATTTAATTCAGGCTATCCTTGAACTCACTGTGTAGTCCAGGCTGGCCTCAAACTTGCATCAGTCCTCGTGCCTTGGCCTCCTGAGTGGTGGGATTACAGGCGTGTGCACCACACTTGGCTAGGATTTGATTTCTTGATAATGACCATTCTTTCAGGTTAAAGGTGGTGGCTAAGTGGTGTTTTAATTTTCACCTAATGACCAGAAATATTGAACATTTTTTTCATGTATGGATTGGCCATTTGTACTGTACTTCTGTAAAGTATGTGTTCATTTCACTTTTCCATTTTTTGATTGGGTCCTTAGTTTGTTAGGAGTCTAATTTTTTTAATTCTATGTTTTCGATACCAGTCCTCTCAGGAATAATCAGCAAAACTTTTCCCCTTCTGACCATTGTCTCTTCATAGTGTTTATTTTTTTGCTGTGAAGAAGCTTTGAAAATTTGATATCCCATTTGTTAATTCTTGATGCTATTTCTTATGTAATTGGCATTGTGTTCATAAAGTACTTGCCTACACCTGGTGTCATGGTTTATGTCTGTGGTCCCCAGGCCTCATGAGTTTGTATTGTGCATTTGTGATTGGTTCATTGTCTAGTGCTTGGATTGATGGTGTCAGTGCTACACCCACATAGGGGTGGAGCCAGAATATGATGTAATGGCAGGAAGGAGGTGTGTCTTTCTCTTTGCCGGTTCCTGCTTGCTATTTGCAGCTGCCATGAACTGCAGCCCAGCCATGCCCGCCTGCCTTGGAGCCAACTGAGTGTGGACTGAAACCTCCAAAAACTGTAAGAAATAAACCTTTCCTTTCCCAACTTGAGCTTCAGGTATTTTGTCTCAGCGTTGAGTAAAAAGTAACTAAGACACCTGTCTTCAAGAGTTTTTCTATTTTTGTCTTTCAGCAGATTAGATTGGATATGGTGGTGCACACTTACACTCTCAGAGTATGTCACTTTCATGTTGCTGGGACAAAATACCCAATATTCAAAACTTGAAGGAGGAGAGGTTTATTTTGGCTCAAGGTTTTTGTTGATTCAGTCTGTGGTTGGCTGGCTCCAAGATAGAAAACGCATCAGAAGAATATAGCACAGGAAAGCTGCTCAACTCCTAATGGCCTTGAAGCAGTAAGAAAGGAGGGGTAGAGCTGGGAACAAGAACATGCCCTTCTAGATCACAGCCTTATGACCCATTTTCAAACAGGCCCTATATCCTAGAAGCACACTTGGGTACGAGCTCATCGGTACGTTAATCTACTGATAAGTCTAGTGTACTGAAGATCCAGTCACTTAGAAGATCCAGTCACTTAAAAGCATGACATACTTGGGGAACCTTTTAGATCTAATCATGACATCTAGCTGCTTGAGAGGCAAAGACAAGAATATTGCAAGTTTGAAGCTAGCCTGGGCAAATTTAATGAGACCTTGTCTTTAAAAAATTGTAATTCAAGGGCTACTTAAGGGTAGAACACTTATGCAGCATGTGCAATTGCTTGGATTTAGTCCGTAGTACTGAAAAAAGAATAAAAAGTACCCAAACAGAAATAAGCAAAGTAAATCAGAATGTTTCTAATTCGGTTATTTGTTTAAGGGAAATTAAATTACATACTCAGCCAGAAAGTTATCAATCTTCTTGTTGTTTTAAGAAGTAGGACCTAATAAATACCAAACATTTTCTTTTTCTAATTTTTATTTCTTTATTTATTTATTGAGACAGGGTCTTGCTGTGTAGCCCAGGCTGGCTTCAGACTCAGCAATCCTCCTGCTTCAGCTTCCCGAGTGCTGGGATGACAAGAATGTGCCACCAACACCTGGCTTAACCGTTTTATTTTGAGACCTATATAAAAATGATGGTTCTCTAATTAAAATGTTGTAGGGTATCATGTTTATATATTTTCTTTAGCTTTAAGAAATTGAAAATTTTTCAAATTAATCATTCTCTTTCTTTTAGGCTGCAGATTATAACCCAGTTAATATCAAAGTATCCTGCAAGTTTACCTAATGATGAGCTTTGTCCATTGCTGATGATACTATACCAGCTTCTGTCTCAGCAGCGAAGAGGCGAACGCACACCGTATGTGTTGCAGTGCCTTACAGAAATTGCACTATGTCAAGGCAAGAAAACAGACATAGAAAGCTCTCAAAAGTCAGATTTGTTGAAACTCTGGATTAAAATTTGGTTTGTTACATTTCGTGGTATAAATTCCATACAAATACAAACTGAAAACTTTGCTTTGTTTGGAGCCATTATTCAAGGTAGCTTACTTGAGATTGATAGAGAATTCTGGAAGTTGTTTACCGGGTCAACCTGCAGACCTTCAAGGTAAGTTAAATATTCATTGTATCACATTCAACACAGACACACTGTAATGCACTAATCTGATTAGCTTCATAGTTTATTATTTTAGTTAAAAATTGTTGAATTCAGTTCTACTTCAGGTACATTTGTTGTTTGACTATGAAGACTTAATACCTTTATAAATACGAATTCAGTTTCAAATATGAAGAGATTACAAAGGTCAATTTTAAAGAGTTTTTTAAAAGAAAAGAACTTAAGTTTTCTTTATCTCTTAATTTACAAGTATTTCTTCAGTATTTGTAAGCCTTATTGTTTTTAGTACTGTCTACTCTTACTGTAAGACTTCTAAATGAAAGTGTCCTCAAATAAACGAGGTTTTTGCAACTTTTATTCACTAACTGTATATACTTGCCTTATTCCTGTCACTGTCCTGAGCATTGCAGACACAGTGTTAAATAAAACAGACCCTCTGGGAGTTTGCTCTTTTTTTTTTTTAATATGTTGGTACTGGGGACTTCACTTATGGCCTGTAGCATGACCTCACGCTTGCCAGGCTCAGAACTCACTTTTAACAGTTGTGTTTTGTTTCTTTGTAGTCCTGCAGTATGCTGTTTGACTTTGGCTCTGACCATCTGTGTAATTCCAGAAACATTAAAAACAGAAACAGAGCAAAATGTATGTGAAGTAAATAGAAGTTTTTCTTTAAAAGAATCAATAATGAGATGGCTTTTATTCCATCAGTCAGAGGATGACATAGAAGACAATAAAGAGCTTCCCCCAATTCTTCAGAGGTAATTTAATTAACATAGCTTACTTTGTTTTATAAAGCATTCTCCACTTGTGTGATATCAGATGGTTTTATTTTTTAATGATAATGCAAGATTTTTCAGAGTTAGTTGGAAGATTGTTTTGTTTTCCAGTACTCTGTCTTCATGGCTGGATATTTTTTGACATAAAAAGATAGTCCAGTGGCCAATGAATCAAGGTCAACAGTTTGTTGTAGCTGCTGATTTCAAACAGGAGCCTAAAGAGAAGTCTTTCTAGGGTCTGTTGGCTGTGTCAGAACTTTGTTAATGTCAATTCATTAGAAATAGCATGGAGCCCAAGTTGAACCTGGAGAAGAAGCCAGACCCTGAGGATCTGCAGCCATGGGGCACATCAGTGAACTGCTCCCCTGCACCTCCACTACTCCAGGGACCCTGGACTGAGGAGCCGTATTTGGAGGAATCCAGGTGCCAGCCCAGTCACCTTCACCAAGGGGCTGCAGCTAATGCAATACCTGGGATTCCTGGGAAATACCTGGGATGCAGCAATGGGCTGATTTGGAGGAACACAGGAAAATGTCAAGACAAAGGAAGAAATATGGTCTCAGACCTCTAGCCCACGGAGAACAAGCTCAGAAGACAAAGACATAGTAGAAATTAAGAGGTCACACACCTGAAATTTCAACTTAGTTCTCATATTGTTTGGTTAATTTTACATGCCTAAGTCTGATGGTCTAGACAGTTAAGTTTTTAAGGTAACAAGTTGCATTATGGTAGCCATTATTAATTTCCTATTTTGTTTTGAACTCCTCTATTGTTTTTATTGTTTGTTTGTTTTATTATGTCTAATGATCTGGATAGCTAGTTTGAAAATAGCAAGATGTATTATGGTAACCATTGTTGATTTCCTATCACCTTGTTTTAAAGTCCTATATTGTTTTCATTGTTTTATTTTGTTTGGCTGTATTCTGTTTGGTTTGATTTTAATCTTTTAAAAAGGTCTTATTTTGAGCATATGAGGAATATGTATAAAGTACATATAAATACATGTGTTATTTGTGAAACTTGAAGTGACACATAAATTAGACCTATTTACGGGGCACTGTAGTGTTTTGATGCATATATATCTTGTATAATGTTCAAACCAGGGTAAGCATATTTGTTTCCTTAAACCGTTATCATCTCTTTGTCATAAACATTATTCTTTTTTAAACAGGCATGTAGGGCACCTTACTCTTTATTCTCCTCCATGGTACAATAGAACATCAGAACTTCTTTTTGTATTTAACCATAAATTATTACTGTTAGTAGACTGTCTCAATGTAGATAATTCTTTGAGCATCTGTGTTTCTTTGTGATCATCTGACTCACACTCAGGTGAATCTTTCATCCATTAACTATACTGGGTATCTTCCAGGTGAAATTTTTTAATAAGATTAGAAAACCAAAGAAAGACAAAATAGTGCTTAACTTAGGCCCTAGGATTAGGAACAGAGCAATTCCCGCACTTACCTGTTCTATAGATTGTAATAGAAACAGAATGACTAGAGGGTAGACCTCTGAATCCTGGTGCTTTTGTGTTAATTTCACAAATGACCTATAAAAATTAGACATGATTTTTCTTCTAAGAAGTATTAAAAACACTAACATGATGTGTGTATCATCTTTAAATTCTTCTCTGAGATATTAAGATTCAGTAAAATGAAAGCAGGTTTAATTTAGGGTCCAAATTCCAGAGGTTAAATTTTATATCTAACCATAGGTATTAGAGAATTTTTAAAATGCTTATTCTAAATAAAATTTTTTCTTTTTTTCATTTTTCTCTATAGTAATTTTCCTCATCTCATGTTAGAGAAAATTCTTGTGAGTCTCACTATGAAAAATTGTAAAGCTGCAATGAAGATTTTCCAGAGTGTGCCAGAATGGTATGTTATCTAATAGAGTTCTGTGATGTTTTAAGATAGAGCTTTAATTGCAGATACAATTTTAGTGGGATATTATTTGCATCTTAATAATTATGACTTAAACTGGTTGAGTAAAGAAAAAAATCTCAGCTGTTTGGCAGCAAAAAGAAGTTCAGTTATTTTAATCTATGGTCTATAGTATTAGATCAAGATTACTGTATTTTAATGTGTGTAGTATAACATAATAAGTGTCAGTAGAAAACACCAAATAATTTAATGGGAAATTGAAAACTGATCCGGCCTGCAGATCAATCCGTGGGTCTTGCCTGGAGAGAGAACAGGGATGGGGCCAGGGCAAGAGGAAAGAGAGATGGAGACAAGATGAAAAAAGTTCCAAGCAAGTCTCGTTTATTCAGGAAGTGTACATGGCTTATATAAAGTCCAAGAGAATGTGGTTTTATAGGGTAGGTCAGTTTAGATCTCCTCATATGACATGGACTTATCAGATTAGCAGGAAACCATGCGTAGGCAACTAGCGGAAGCCAAAGTACGTAAGCAGAAGAGGATTATGGGTAATGTAGGCAGACATGAAGATCATGGGAAATGTAGGCGGACGCGGCAGAGGCCCACAGGAGGGCGAGATAAGGTGGCAGCAGTGAGATAGGCCGCTTCCTACAGAGAACATAAGTTTTTATGTAAAATGAGTTCTTAGGTGTGATCCATTTTAATATTTCAAATAAATTTGACCTTTAGCTTTACAACTAACATTAGGGGCAGGGGATATAAATCAGCACCTGCCTGGCAAGCACAAGAGTGTGTTCGATTTCTGGTACCAAAAAAAAAAGATAATTGAAATAAAAATAAATCTAAAAATGTGGTTTTGATCAATTGACTCAGACTTATTTGTAGTCTCTGAAAATGACTCACTGGTATGGATACGCCTCATCTTTCTTACAAGGACATAAGATGAAAAGTTCAACACTGAAGAAAACAAGGGTGTTATTTCTGGGATTGTTATTTTCAATATTTATGTCTGATTTATTTTATTATTTTCTTAATTTGTCCTTAAAATTGTATCTTGCATTTCTTTTGTCTACCTATTAGTAAAATTTGCTGCCGAGTTAATGTTTTCATACATAATATATTGCTAATAATAGTGGAGATAAAGTATGAGATATTTTGATTCTAAAGCTCTCACTCTCTTGAAGTGAATACCACCAAAAAGATAAAGAAGAGCTTCCATTCTCTGAAGTTGAGGAACTGTTTCTTCAGACAACTTTTGACAAGATGGATTTTTTAAGCACTGTGAAAGAATGTACTGTAGAAAAGTATCAGTCCAGTTTTGGCTTTTCTGTCCACCAGAATCTCAAGGGCTCATTGGATCATTATCTTCTGGGATTATCAGAACAACTCCTAAGTAATTCATCTGAGGTAAGATTTCAAAAGACTCGTGTCTTCATTTAATTTCACTTTGGTAAAACTTAGAAAGGATTAACGGCAGGAAAGGCACTGAGAATGGTAGTATTCTTGGTTTTGAAAACAAAATGATAATACTTGGCAACAAGCAGGAAAGTGTTAACATGAAAAAAGAAAAACTGAAGAATAATTTTGAGTGTGTCCCCAATACCAGGAGTTTTGGTAGATTTTATGAAAGAATTCAATTAGTTAGTGGAGAATGGCATAGGTTTGAGCATAGAAATAATATGACAAAATGAACTTCTCAATACAAATTAGAAGGTGTTACAGTAAAAGAAAAAGATGCATTTTAAACAAATCCAGCACAGTTATGTGGCATTTGAAATGGGAAGCGTGAATAAAATATGTAGTTAACTAAGAGTCATCCAGTTATTAGAGGCCATATTGGAATTTCTCATACAGTATATCCTTTGTTCTCGTGAAATCACTAACTAATGTCCTGTTCTCTTGTAAAAACTCCCATTTCATGAGCTAGGAATATAGCTCAGCAGGATAGTGTCTGCCTGGTAAATATGAGGTCGTAAATTCGATCCCTGGTACCAGAAAACAAAAACAAAAACCCAAACATCCTATTACTTTTAATATGTAGTGTCTTTCTATCATTTCTATGTATTCAGATTGTCTACATGTTAAAATACTTACTAAAACCTTTCTTCCATAATGTCAATCATATTTTTCTCCTTTCCAGTTTCATAGTTCTTAATATTGTTTCCTAATGCCATTTATTATCTTCTTTGTACCATGTATATTTATGTATGTTTTGTACACAAGTATCTCTTAATCTATGTCAGAATCTCCTTAAACTACATGTATTTTTTTTTTTTTTTTTTTTTTTTGGTCTTTTTTCCTTTTTATCGGTACTGGGGATTGAACTCACGACTGCCTGCTTGCAAGGCAGGCGCTTACGCCGCTGAGCTAAACCCCCAGCCCCAGTACATGTGTTTTTAATAGTTGTTGTATTCTCCACAATATTTTGTTACACCGTAAATGATAAAATAAAACCTGAAAACTAAGTAAAATCAGTAGTCACAGAAAGTAAGCTAAAGAAACAAGACCTAGTCTTCCCCCTTTTACCATGAATGACTGATATTTTCTGTATTATAATTTATTGACTTTCATTACCAGGTGACTTACTTTTCTTTATTTTCCCCTAGAATGTCATTTTCTACAGTATTGGTTTTTTTGAGATAGGCCCTCACTGTGTGGTTCAGGCTGCATTTGGACTCATAGTGATCCTCTTACCTCAATCTCCCAAGTGCTGTGGGATTACAGGAGTCCAGCGCCATGCCCAGTCTGAAAATCTTGTTTCTGTGTGTAATCTTTGTAGATTCTTGTAAAATTGCCTGAATTTTTCTGATAGTCAGAATTCAAAACAGTGAGTCAGAAGCTCACATATCTTTTTAGTGTTCATAGGGTTATAATTTGTACTTATGGTTCAAGACTTACATTTATTTGCCTGTCGGGCTTATCTTGCATACCTTCTTCAGATTCTTAAGAGCCTCTGCATGTGCCACCTTGCCACTTTACCTGGAGCTAGCTTAGTTGGCTCTTAGAAGATGCTTTTCATTTATTTTTTTTTTGGTACTGGGAACTGAACTCAAGGCCTCATGCTTATCAGGCAGGGTTGTGCCACTCAGCTACATCCCGACTCTTCCATTTTTTTTTTTTTTTGAGAGTCCTAGTTATAACTCTACAGAATGTCTTAGATGTTTTAAGTGATATTCAGAAAATTCCATCTTCAACTCAACTGAACTTCTTTTGTTTCTTAATGTGTACTGTATATAAAACTCATTACAAAAGATGATTTCTGAATACCCAGAAATATTAATAAAACATACATTTGAAAAATTTATAGTTTAAAATTAGCAATTTAGAAACTCTTCTCTGATGTTCATTTCTTTTGATGGGTATTCTTGCTTCTAATTATGTGGGTATAATAATTGAAGAAGCATATAAATAAGAATTACTGCACAAAGAAAAGGTAGAACAATTTGTGTGTGTGTGTTTTTTTAAGGTTACAAATTCAGAAACCCTTGTCCAGTGTTCAGTTCTTTTGGTGGGTGTTCTTGGCTGCTATTGTTATGTGAATATAATAACTGAAGAGGAAGCATATCAATCAGAATTATTCCAGAAAGCAAAGGTAGGACATTTGACTTGTGTTTTTTTTTTAAGATTACAAATTCAACAAAGCTTGTCCACTGTTTGATTCTTTTGGTGGGTGTATTCCGTTGCTATTGTGTGGGTATAACTGAAGAGGAAACATAAATCAGAATTATTCCAGAGAGAAATAATGGTAGGACAATTTGTGTTAATAAAGTTATAGATAAATGTGATAGAAATGTGTGCCTGGGAAATTTGTTATGTGAAACAAAATTTTATGCATGTTGAGCATTCCTAAGTATGAATCTGAAATGCTCAGAAACATGAAACTGTTTGAGTGCCAGGTGATATCTCAGGAAACAGTTATACACTGAACCTCATGTAACAGGTCATACTCAAAATCGAGGCACACAACACATAGATGTACAGTATTACCTTTAGTCTATATGTAGAAGGTATATAAAAAATGAATTGTAGAATTGGTTCCCACCTGTAAGATGTCTCATTATGTATAATGCAAATGTACCCAAGTCTGAAAAAATTTGAAATCTGAAACATTTCTGATCCTAAGCATTTTGGATAAGAGATACTAAACATGTGTAGGTTAATCCTTTCTTTTTCATTTATGCAGTCTAAGAAGAAATGATACTATGTGTCCTCCCTTAGAATTTGAAGTTATTATACACTAACTATAAATGTAGTAAGTGCAATAATTTCATTTTAAAGTTTAATCTCAATATCACACTAATTTTTACCTAGACTTTTAGAAGTTTTCCCTGTGATTTATGAAAAGAAGTTCTGAACTCATATATTTATCAAATTGACTTTGAACTTGAAATTTTTTTATCTTAGTTCCTGATTTATGTTTGATTTGCAGTAAGTCTGATTTGCAAAGAGAATAGGGTATAAGATTTGTTATTTTTTGTTTGTAATTTCTAGTTTTATTGTATGACTGTACAATTTCTAAAACCACTTTAGCTCTTTAGTAAAACTTTGGCTATACTAAACTGTGATTTTAACTGGATTTTGTATTTTTTTCTTTTTTAAATAGTCTTTAATGCAGTGTGCAGGAGAAAGTGTCTCTCTGTTTAAAAATAAGACAGATGAAGAATCTAGAATTGGGTCATTGAGAAGTATGATGTATTTGTGTTCAAGGTGCTTGTGTAACTCTACCAAGGTAAGATTTTCTTCCTTTTTTTTTTTTTTTTTTTTTTTTTTTTTTTGGCACTGGGAATCAAACTCAGGACCTTGTGACTTCCGGGCAGGCACTGTGCCCCTGAGCTAAATCCCCAGCCCCTCCTTTTTTTTATTTTAAAGAGGGTATAATAAAAAGGACAAAGCAGATCAGAGCAAAACATTGCAAGTGACACAGGATTTCAAAGCAAGACAACAGGAAATCAGCAGTGGCTATCATAATAAGATTTTCTTATTGGTGTAGTATAGTCTTTTTGTCTGGTAGGTTATATGTTAGTGATAGTATTTTTGTCCATTTTTAAGTGTATCAATTGTTTTAAATTGAATGATAAATAAGATGGGCATGGTGTTCATGCCTGTAACCCCAGCACTTGAAAGACCAAGGCAGGAGAATTGCAATGTATTCAAGGCCAGCCTGGGCTACACAGTGAGTTCAAAGCCAGCCTGAACTACTTATTGAGTATTCTATCTCAAAAAAATAAAAAAAGTTAAAGTTTTTATTGTATGTAATCTTTGTTTTGATTTGAACTTGGTCAGTGGAATAGCAGAACCAAGCCAGAGAGTTAATAAATTGGAAACATTTTTGAAAGCTAATATTAAGTATATGAGCATGGAACAATATTATCAACATATATTTTTGTAACATGTGCTGGCTTTATCTAGAATGAATATAGAGAAAATGATATAGTCAAGACTAATTGTTATTTGGCTCTTTGTTTCCTTAATTATAGCAAAATCCAAACAAGATTACATCTGGCTTTTTCCTACGATTGTTAACATCAAAGCTGATGAATGATATTGCAGATATTTGTAAAAGTTTAGTAAGTGTGCTTCTTGTTTTACTACTATATTTATTACTATATTTGATTAAATATATATACTATATTTACTACTATATTTGTAATATCATAGTTTTAAAATGTCTCTCCTGATTAACAGTGCATTTCACAGTGAATAGTGTCTTAGATTTCTATAAATATGGGAGGGAAATGAAGTTATTTGGCTTCGGGGAATCTGTTTGACCATTTCTTATTAAGTACCTAGTGTACTGCCAGGCTCTTAGTTTGTCAGTCAAAAAGAACACTAAAAGATTGGATAATCATCCAGGCTCATATCTATTACCTGCCACACTGTATGAAAATTGAAAGTGATTCTTTAAAAAATAATCAAAAACCTTGCCAAACAGGTAGCTGTGGTATTTTTCTTTTTTCATACAAATGCACTTATGCAGACATGCTCTATTGTGTGAAACAGTGCCTGTCATACATAGTAGATATTAAAATATCTGTTGAATGAAAAAAGTACTCATTATTTAAATTTTACGACAAATATTGGTCATTTTTTACTGTATATATTTTATAAGCTATGTACTACTATATTTTATGTAGCAGTCTGTTGCATTTACTATATGATAATAGTATATACTATCATATAATGGTATATACTAGTGTATATGGTAGAATGTAATACCATATATACTAGTATTTAATAGTATATACTAGTATATGTAGTAGTATATAACAGCATATATAGTAGTAAATGACAGTATATGTAAGTATATAATGGTATATATACTAGTATATATGTGATATATGATAGTGTATTATATATTAGCATATATGTGATATATGTTATAGACACATAATCTGACAAAAAAGTATAATTAAGAAAATAAAAATTTATATAAATACTAAAATGGTAAATTTGTTGGCACATCATGAGCTTATCAAAGTTACCTTTAGCCTCTACAATTACAAGAGATGATGGTCATTAGCTTGCAGAGATCTATTAGTACAGTGAACAACAGTATATATACATTTTTGTAGTGTCTCTGTTTATATACAGATCTATATTTATATACAGAACCTCTCTGTATATTTATATACAGAATCTCTCTATATACAGAATCTCTATATACAGATGGTTCTTTTTTGGCAGTCTCTGTATGTATCTATATCTATATAGATACAGACATCTATGTAGATACATACAGATACGATCTTTTTAGATACGATTTTTTTGTCCATCTTCTCTTACTTGACATTTCTAGTGGTTCTTACTTTTTGTTATAAAGCACCTGCTGTAAAGCTTCTTGTATCTTGTTTGTCTGTGTTTGTTCATATGAAGGATGTAGGATAAAGTCTAGTAAGGGACTTGTTTGTTCAAAGGAATATACCTTTTACATTTAGTTCAGTTCAGTTTCGTTTAAGATATAGTCTTGCTTTTCACTCAGACTTGTTTTCAACTGATCTCAAGAGATTTGCCTGCCTCAGCATCCCAAGTAGCTATGATTATAGGTGTGTGCCACCATACTTGGCTTGAATTTTACCTTTACTCATTGTCTTCCAGAATTGTTATAGTACTTTATACCTTTCCTCACATCCTTCTCAATCAGTGTTAGGTTTATAAAATTCTTAATATTTATGTTTATTGTGTATTGACAGATTGCAGTTTTATATATTTATGGGGTACAAAACAGTGTTATCATTTTTCAGTACAATACAGAATGATTGTAAGACTTCATAAAAGAAATTTTTTTGAAGTTGTGTATTGTTATCTAGATATACTAAGCTTACATCCATTGTTCTATAAATTACATTTTAAAGAACTGAAAAGACACTTACATGAGAAGACCTTTGTTTTTCTTCTTTGAAGGCATCCTTTATCAAAAAGCCGTTTGACTATGAGAAAGTAAAAGCGGAAGATGATCCTAATGAAAATCTAAAAGATGTAAATGATTCATCTTCAAACCTGTTTCATGATTGCCCTTCTAGCAGTGCAAGTGATACAAATGATCCTGGAGAGAACCAAAGTACCATTGGTAAATACTTACCTATTGCTTGAGATTTCTTTACCACTTCATAATAGTTTAGCATTATAGGAAATCAAAGTGACATAAATTTCTTGCTAAACTTTTTGTTTTCCCAGAGTATATTCTGTAAGGATTGTTCTGTGTGTTCAGGTTTCTATGACTTCAATTAAATGTATTAGTTTCCTATTTTATTATCCATGAGAGGAATTTAAAATAAAGAAATAAAACTACATTAGCAGTTATTTGGACAATGGAAAGTAGTAAAGATACTCATTTATAGTCAGTATGTATCTCTTGTACTCCTCTTAGTATTAATGAGTGCTTGTATTTTTAGGTGCTATGAATCCGTTAGCAGAAGAGTATCTGTCAAAGCAAGATCTGCTTCTTTTAGACATGCTCAAGTTTTTGTGTATGTGTGTAACTACATCTCAGACTAAGTCTGTGTCATTTAGAGCTGCTGATATTCGAAGAAGATTATTAATGCTAATTGATTCACTAGATTTTAATAAATCCCTCCACTTACACATGGTGAGTCAAGTGAAATGGGGAAGCTCTTTGATTGTATCTGGTGTTGCTGACTAAATGTAATGGCCTGACATGTATGAATCGCATAGTGCCTTTGAAGATTTGAAATTACTTTCTTGAGAAATGAATCTGAGACTAGCTATGAATTACACTTTTTGCTTTCCTTTTCTTGTTTTTTGCTTTTGAAGTTATGTCCTCAGTCCCAGGTGGGCTTCTGAGGCAGGTTTCAAACTGCTGGGCTCAGTCTTCCAAGTAACTGGGAATAGAGGCATATGCCACCACACAGGCCTAGCCTTACTTTTTCTCTGAATATTCTATGGAACACTTTAGGTAATAAAACATTAAAACTTGGATGGATTCTGGATAGATTTGGTCCTATGCTGTATAATTATTACAAATTATTGTAGGCTAGTCCAAGAAATGTAGATCTTTACTGTAAAAATAATGTATAACATTGTGACTGAAGTCTGAATCTTGCTTTTGACTCATCTGTGTTCATTAGAGAAACTGGCCTCTAATTCTCTTTCTTGGTTGAGTCCTTCTCCGGTTTTGGTATCAGAGTAATGCTTGCTTCCAATAATGAATTTGGGAGTATTGTTTCCCTTTCAATTTCATTAAAGAGTTTGAGAAGTAGTGGTGTTAGATTGTCTCTAAATTTCCTGTAAAATTCAGCAGTGAATCCATCAGGGCTTGGGCTTTTCTTTGTTGGTAGGTTTTTAATTACGTGTACAATTTTATTGACTGATAATGGATTATGTAGGATTTTTGTATCTTCTTGATTCAGCTTTGGTAATTCCTATGTATATAGGAATCTGTCCATTTCTTCTGTATTTTCCATCTTACTAGAATACAAGTTTTTGAGGCTGTTTTCTCTGCTACTTGTCGCTCTGCCATCTTGGTCTCATGTCTTGGTCATCCCTTTGTCTTTGACTCAGTGCTGCTGACAAATATCTTTAATTCCAGTTTATCACTACAGGGTTTATTTTTATCTGTTCAAATCTGTGGGCTCCTTTTGTTGCATAAAAACAAACTTAAAACAAAGCCAACTAACCCTGGCTTCCCACATAGATTTACTTATTTATTTAGTAATCTTACTTTTTTTTGATTTGATGGGGATCAAACTCACGACCTTGAGCTTGGCAGGGAGGCGCTTACACTGCTGAGCTAAATCCCCAGCCCTATTTAGTAATCGTATACCTAACTAATCTTCTGTGTAGACCAATTCCTTAACCCTAATCCTGGTAGACAATTGGATAGAGCCCCAGACCAAGTGAGTGCATCTGGGTGGGTCCCAGATTATGTCCTCAGTTGCAGTAAATTGGCAAACAGTCCTGGGGATTCCATAATTATGGCAGACATACAGAATGAATCCCTCATGGAACCCTTGGTCATGTTCCTGGCCTTGGTACCTAGGTACATCATCTTGTAACTCCAGCAAAGGGGATTAATTGTGCTCTGGTGGACTTCCTGGTCTCACATCTGGCACAGACTGTATTCAGATTCAGAGAGGTAATGAGCCTTTCTGGAAATGTTGCTTAAAGTTGTTACAAGAAAAAGAAATACTGCTTCAAGATAGTCAATAAAATTCATATATGACTCATTAAATATTAAAGGGGATAATTCTGTTAATATCTGAGGAGAAATATTTTTATAGATAGAGGAACTGCCTTATGATTTGTCAGTGTAGCTGGAAAAATGTCAGTTCTTGAAAACTGGTTGTCTAGTTCACTACCATTATAACTGGTATCTGCTGTATAGCCTTTTGTATCCATATCACAGAAAACCTTATAAGGTAGCTGGGAGTTAGGTCAGGGATTTGACTTCTGTCCTACACATGATTATCTTTGCTTTACTAAATTCACTAATAGAATGATTTTTAACCATGAATCTCTTATGTCCAAGTATTATCTTGGGAGGGTAGGAATATAATGTATTTATTGAGTTCCCACAATAACGCCTAAACCTTTATGCTTATCTTTGCAGTTTTCTGGACAGAGAAATGATATTTCCCCATTTTACAGGCAAGAGTACATAGATTCCAGATGATATAATTACAGATCTTTAAAACACGGCTGTTTTGGGGGGAGGATTTTTTAAATTACACAAATCAATAGGATTGACTGTGATATTTCCATATAGGCATACATTGTGAATTTGAATTTAGCTATGTTTTAATTCAAAAGCCTTTTTATATGTCCTTTTTTTAAAAAATTCTTAACTGTGTGTGTGTAAGTAGGGATTTATATTTATGTATGTGTCTGTGTTCTTTTAAAGTAAATAATTATTTTAAAAAGCTGATTTACCCTTATCATTTTAGTACTTAATGCTTTTAAAGGAGCTACCTGGAGAGCAGTATCCTTTGCCAGTAGAAGATGTTGTTGAACTTCTGAAACCACTATCGTAAGACATTAAAACAATATGCTATTTTCATTTTAGAATTATTGACTAACTGATGTATGCCACTAAGCTTATAAACTTTTCCTCTACAGCATTGTGTGTTCTTTGTATCGCCGTGACCAAGATGTTTGTAAAACAATTTTAAAGCATGTCCTTCATGTAGTGACAAACCTAGGTCAAGGTAATAGAGATTCAGAGCATGCAAGGGAGGCTCAAGGACAGTTCCTTACAGTGATTGGGGCATTTTGGTATGTACAATCTATTTTGTAGAATTTGTAATTTTTTTTTTTTTTTTTTTTTGGTAACTCTGGATAGAGCACAGGCTTTGCATTTCTACCTTAGTGATTTCTTCTGATTCTCCTGGGAGGGTAGTAGCAGTAGCAGAATGTAATTTGTGTAGTTTATGTTTCCTTCTTTAATTGCTTAAAAATTACATTCGTTTTATAACCCTTTGCTTTCTAAATTGTTTAAGAGTAGAGTCACTTAATAGTTTAACATGTATGTTGAATAAAGAAAATTGTGATTCAATGAAATCAATTGAATTGCTCATGTTCTCAAAGTGAATCAAGTGGCCTTGTCACAGTCTCTTTTGTTTCATGTATATTATCATAGTCTGCGATAACACGATAAAATTTATAGAAGAGCACATACGTAATTTAGAGCCCACATACTATTTGATTGATAAGGACTTCTAAATCAAAATAAAACCGTTTTGAAACTGTGATACAACAAAGTTTTAAAATTCTTTACTATAATGTAGCTGGCTGAAATATGATAGCCCCAAGTACAGGCATAATTGTATAAAACAAACTATATATTAAAAATGCCTTTTCAAGCCAGGCATGGTGGCTCACGCCTGTAATCCCAGCACTCGGGAGGCTGAGGCAGGAGGATCGTTGTGAGTTCGAGACCAGCCTGGGCTACAAAGTGAGTTCAAGGCCAGCCTGAACTGCATAGAGAGACCCTCTCTCAAAAAGACCAAAAAAAAAAAAAAAAAAAAAAAAGCCTTTTCAAACTAATGTCTTTTAGCTTAAACTTCTGGAAAGTTAAGTATAGTGACGTGTTCTACATAATGAAAATTAATTTTGCACAGAAAGAAATGTTTGAAGCAATCAGAATAATACAATTAATAGTGATTTTTCTACTACATTCTTATTGGAATGATTATTTGACTTGGAAAAACTTATTGATTTCAGGCATCTAACAAAAGAGAAGAAATGCACATTCTCTGTAAGAATGGCAATAGTAAAATGCCTTAAAACTCTACTTGAGGTGAGCTGTTTCATATTATTAGTAGGATGTGCATTGAAATTTTAAAGCAAGCTTTATATGTCTTAATAAGTTATTTTTCTCTTAATGTTTCATATTTAACTTCAGTTGTTCTTTTCTCATAGGCTGATCCTTACTCAAAATGGGCTATTCTTAATGTAAAGGGAGAAGGCTATCCTATAAATGAAATATTTCCACAATTTCTTACTGATGATAATCACCAAGTATGCATGTTAACTGCAGAATCAATTAATAGGTAATGGGGTAGGTTTTCATAAAGTGTTTGAAATGCTGCAGATAGCAGTGCAATGTCTAACAGAGTTATAGCTCACTAGTTGTGATAACAGTAACACTGAGCATATTATGCCTAGCATTTATATTTTTTCTTAATTTTAAGTTTTATGATGCTTTTCTTTTCTCCAGTTAATTGGTGAAAACTCTGGCTTGAAAAGATAACTTGCTTACTGCCAGAGAACTAATAAGGCATTAATTTGAAAGGTACATTATGGGTGGTATAGAATGTATGGATATTACCATAATTTTATGTGAGTTTAAAAAATGATAGTTAAAGAATGATAGTTAACACATTTTACATGGTGCTAATTACATTTTCTTAGATAAATACACAGTTAGGCTTGGAATGATTCTATTGTGGTAATCTGTTTTATGTTGAGTACTTGTATAAATGAATGCTAATTTCTTAAGGATTATATGTTTATCAGGTTATGAAATTAATTTTAAAATATCTAAATGGAAATCAGGAGTGGTGGGACATACCTGTAGTCTTAGCACCGAGAGAGGCTGATAGAAGAGGATCATAAGATCAAATTCTGCTTGGCAACTTAGTGAGACTATGTCTCAAAATAAAAACACCAAAATAGGGCTGTGATGCAGCTCAGTGGCAAAACACCGGTACTGCAGAACAGTAACCACAGCAGCTTGCTTCTGAACTCACCACCTGTACTTCCGGTGGACACACCTCCCTACTTTATTTTTCCTTGTAACATTTCTCCTCACTTGTATTTAACACGTTTTCCTCTCCTCATCCCCCCCAGGGTCTAAGCTTCTAGAAGGCACTGGTTTGTGTCTTCTGTTCACTGCTATATCTTTAGCATCTAAAATGATATTTTGGCCCTTGTCGGGTATCATAAGTGAACATGGTAGGTAAAATAAATCAATGTGTTTGAAAAACAAATTGTGCTTTAAAAATATCAGCTGAAAACGACTTGAATAACTTTAATATTCAGAAGTAAGTGAGCAATAATAGATCACCAAAAAGAACTTGTCTTAGCAGTCAGATCAAGTGTTAGAACTAATATATTCAAAATTTAAATACAGTGACAGCCTGTTTCTGTGAACTAGATTTCCTCAGGTTTGGAATTTTTAAAAACAAGACTGTAGTGCATTATCAGAGTTGATAGTGAGTGTGTATAATAGTTGAAACCTTTATTGAATTTCACAGATAAAAGAAGATAATATGCTAAATTACATAGAACCATTAATTGGATGTGATAAACCAGTGTAGTGGTGGGATGGGGAAAAATTATTTAAGATTCAAAAACTTAAAGTCAAGAATGATTTAAAAGAATTTGCTCATTTTTGACTTTTCACTTGTTAAATATTTTAATGTTGGACTATTTTAAGAGAAATAGTAAGACCTTAGGAATTAGAGGAATGCTAAAAATTATAAAAGTTATAAAAGTTTCAGTTAGCAAAATGTGTAAATGAAAAATTGAATAGCTATCTTAAATATTTTATGAAAAATAACACTTAAGCAATTTTTCTCCATCACATAAATTTAAATGGACATTGAGGCATAAAGCACTCATTTTGGGGGCAACTAAATAGAAATCTTCGGAAGAGAGGAAACATCTTTCTGGCAATTTGAATGCAGTGTTATTCAAATTTGGGCAGTAGTTAAAAGATGTTTTGAACTTGGGAGGCTGAGGCAGGAGGAATGTAAATTAGAGGCCAAGCAAGGCAACTTAGTGAGACTATCTCAAAAATTTGTTTTTAAAAGACAGGCTGGGAAGGTAGCTCAGAGGTGAAGTGCTTGTCTAGCATGCTTGAGGTCACTAGTACTGTAAAAAATAAGTCAAGACGCTTTTCACTATAGGAGAACATGTATTACCTGTATATATTTGACATTAATTCTAAGTGGATGCTGTGAAACTGTTAAAATGGACTTAGGTTTCATCAGTTTTTGAAGACCTAGTATGTGTCTTAGAGTGGTTTAATTTTGTCTGTAATGTGTTTCGAAAAGTAGGGTTTGAATAAAAAACTGCCACTTTGTCTTTTATTTTTCTTCTTCTTTTTTTGTTTTTTAAAGATTGTTCCAGGATATGAAACAAGATTCTTCCATGTTTCCGAAAGCGCTTCCTTTGAAGCTTCAACAAACAGCTTTTGAAAATGCACACTTGAAAGCTCAGGAAGGAATGAAAGGAGTGGTAATTCTAGTAGCACATGTTTGATGTTATCACATGCTTACTACAAATATCACATATGTCACTTTGGCAACTTTGGCATAAGACATTCTGTGTGGTACTCACTATTTTAGAACATAAGACTACCAAAAATCAGTAATACGAATTGAATGAGGTTTCTGTGTTCACATGTGAAATAATAACAATTTCTTTTGTTTAATCTTACCTATATCACCTTGGAGGAAAACAAAATTTAAGTTTTAATGTGAGTTTAAATGCTATCCTTTTAAATATTAGAATTTTTTTTGGTACTGGGGATCGAACAGAATTGTTTTTTGTGTAAGAGCTGCTTAAGAGCTAATTAAGAAAACAGTTGACAGGTAGAAATGGATTGATAATAAGATTTTAAAGTATATGAAAATTATCTTTTTTTAAACATATAGTGTTTCATATTTCTCAATAGCATATTTTTAACATGATAAAAATTGTCTTAGTGTTTAGATATATTTATTTTTGCTCTTATTTGTTCCTAAAAATGAGTTGCAGGGGTTAAATAAATGACTGTCAAACCTGTGAAATGGACAGTTAGATAAGAGAATGTGAATTTAGAAAAAGATTGCAAAGATAAGTGTTCATAATGTCAGATTTCATTAAAAATAGCATATTATGCATGTTAAATTAGCCTATGCCAGAGATACAGCTCAGCGGCATAAGTGCCTGCCTGGAAAGCACAAGGTCCTGAGTTTGATTCCTGGTATCACAAATAAATAAATAAAATCAGCCCATCATCTAAGAAAAGGAAAGAAAATCACTGACTTATCAGCAGTTCATTTAGAAACTTTTTTATAGCTTGAGATCACTATATGAATCAGTATTATGGCACAGTTATCAAAAATAATTTCTATCATATACTTCATTTATAGAGGCATATTGTTATGAACAGAGTTGATATAAATTACTTGGATAGTCTATAGTTTTTTTCAATTAATAATCGCACCTTGGATAAACCTTATTGGCTATAATAATGCCACTGCACAAAGCTTTTCTACAGTTTTTTAAAAGACACATCCTTTTTTTAATCCTTTTATAGAATTGAAAGGTTTTTGTTGTTGTTGTTGTTCGCTTTTTTTGGTACTGGGGATCGAACTCACAACTGTGCACTTGCAGGGCAGGCGCTTATGCCATTGAGCTAAATCCCTGGCCCATAAAAATAGATTTTTATTTTTTGGTGCTAGGGTCAATTAGAGAACTTCCTGCATGCAAGGCAAACACTCTAATACTGACTTAAAAAAAAAAGACAATTAGTTACAGTGAGTGACAAATTTTCAAATTTGTGAAGCTCACACCAAATATAGCTAGTCAAAAAAATACAGATTTCTGTTGAGATTTTGTAGTAGTTGATGAGTAAACTAGGAACATATGTTTTTTTAATCCAGGTGGATTATTTTATTTTTCCTTTTAATAACATAGGGGACAGTGCTTTTAAAAGACTATACAGCTATATATTGCAGTATGTTAATGAATAAAAATCATCTTAGAAGTTAAACTTATTTGTTGAAGAGAGCTTTCACTATTTCTCACTCTCTTTTGCTTTTAAAAAAAATTTTAATGAAACCATTATAATCTCACTGAAAAATTTTTCCTTTGGCAAATCTTCCTGTAAGATCTCACAGAGAGAAGTCTTTCTCACTATAGAAAACATTCTTTCTCAAAAACTGCTTTTAGCTCCATCACTGCAGGTCTTCATGTTCCTCACAGGCTTCTTAGATGTTGGTATGGAGTGCTTTAATTTTAGCCTGATTGATTCATTTGTAATATTTAAATATTTATATTATTCTTTTTATATTTCTTTTGAAGTTTCATGATGCTGAGAATCCTGAACTTTTGGATGAGACTTACAATAGAAAATCTGTTTTCTTGATGACCATAGCTATTATTTTACACTGTAGCCCTGTCTGTGAAAAACAAGCATTATTTGCCCTATGCAAGTCTGTGAAAGAGAATGGATTAGATCCACACCTTGTGAAAAAGGTACGTATGGATGTGTATTTTCTATTATATGCTTCCTTGGATAACTTTTTGTTTCTCCTTGTTTAAATATTGAACCAAGGTCTCACACGTGGTGGACAAGCACTCTACCACTGTACTGCATCCCTAACCCATTGAATAATTTTTAAATGAGAAAGGATAAAGCTAAACTTTTTTTTGTCTTTCTCCTTTTTGTTGGTACCGGGGATCGAACTCACGACTGCCTGCTTGCAAGGCAGGCGCTTATGCCGCTGAGCTAAATCCCCAGCCCCTAAAGCTAAACTTTTAAAGTGCCACTTATTTAAGACCTGGAAATAATTTTTAGTTTGAGAATATTGGAAAGTAGTTTAGTAACTGTTTAAGTGGTATGTTATATGCAATGTTTCTTACATACAGCTTGAGCATTTCATGAGGCACTGATTTATTGAACTAACGGGCTAACGACGCACAGACTAGGTACCCTAGAATAACATGTATTGAAGGGAACCCATGGAGGCAAGAACATTTCAATTTGTTTGCCTGGTAGGTTCTGGGCAACACATTAGGACTAGTAAGGCTAGTCAAATGTAGGCTTCTGGGCATATGGTCCCGCCATTAGAAAAGGAGGGCTGGGCTCAAGCTCTGTGGTCGCTGTAGCTCTTCCTGCTGTGCCACTTTATGGTGTGGCATTTCCTAGGCCTTTCTGTCGGACTGCTGCAGATCTTTATGTGAGAAATGTGAGCAGATACGTAAGTTAACCTTCTCCCATGTGGTTCCTGTGGAGTTTTATAGGAGGCTAACCTCTAGGTTATCAGCCTTACACCGGCTAACCTTTTACCTTTAAATATTAAGATCTTTTTAAAAAATATACCATTATTCTACCTAATTAATAAGTTGCATATGATATTTAGATATCATTAAATTTGGTTTTAAGACAGAGAACAATTTCGCCTTAGACTTTCATTTGAGATACAGATTTAGTCAGATGTTGAAAATTATGTTTTTATTCCTGTAACATTTATTATGGATTTGTTGTATGCCAAGTACTATGCTAATTATATTAAATATATTTTATCCCTTTCTCTTATTTTTCCTATCATTTATGAAAAAATCAAAATATAGAAAAATTAAATGAATGCTTCAAAGTCCTATTGTGTTGAATAGTAACAAAAACTTAGATGATTGTCTTTCATTTTCTTAAAGCATCAACTTCTTTTTGGTTTGTACAGGTTTTAGAGAAAGTTTCTGAAACTTTTGGCTATACACGTTTGGAAGACTTCATGGCTTCTCACTTAGATTATCTGGTTTCAGAGTGGCTAAATCTTCAAGATACTGCATACAGTTTATCTTCTTTTCCTTTTGTTTTACTAAACTACACAAATGTTGAGGATTTCTATAGGTAAGTTTATACATGGCACATGAAAAATGTGTTTAAAGTTAGGTGATCATGTTTTCCAGTCCCCCTTCCTTTGACAGCACTGCACCCACTCTTCCCGGACTTACACTGGAAGCACAGAGTGTAAAAGCTGAAACAGCTGGGGTGAGGATGTATGGAGGTATGGCTGGTCTTAGGGTCTGGGCCTTGCTGTGCCAGTAATCATTGTGTAACTTTGAGCAAGCTATGTGAATACTGCCTGAGCCTTGGTTTTAATTTGTGAAGAAATGAAGTTACACAGGAGATTTTAAGGTCACATTCAGCTTTTAACATTTGGTATTTCCTTCTTGTTAGAAACAAAGTGATAAATAACAAAGTAATTATTTCTGCTTTCATTTTCTTTTTTGCTGCTTGACAGTAGACTGTTTAATTATTATTTGTGTTAGATTTTGAGGTAAAAGAATTCATTTTGCTAACTCCCACTCTGGTAAAAAAAATTTTGAAAAGATGCATGAAACTGAAGAGTCATGTTTAGGTAGCTGGATTATAAAAACATCTGCTGCTTATTGAGCATGCTCTGTGCTAGGGACTTTGCTAGGCATTTTGCATGTAGTTCATCATGAGTGAGTTTCAGGTGTTTATAATAGAGCTTTCAGCATTTTTATAGATACAAAGAGTTATAGATAGTTGCCTTTTTTATTTTAAAGATAGTAAAATACAACAAAACAATACAGAACAATGCCAGTCAAGACAACGCAGTGAAATTGGTACAGAACTTCAGAGCAGGTTCCCGGGATAACAGTAATTGGTACCGTGGTATATCTTGTTACCTTCATAATAGTTGTCCATTCAATCAGGTATAGCAAAATCAAACCCTAAACAGAATACTAAACCCTAAACAGAATATAAAACCAATCAAAACAGACTATTAAATAGAGCAAAACATCAGAATACAGCAAAACAATGGAAACAATATTGGCCTTCAAAGACAAGACAGAGGGAAATCCCCCATTTTTGCTATACTGCATACTGTCGTCCTCCTAAGAGATGCTCAGATCGCTGGCTGCAGGTCAGCATAATCAACCAAACAACACAAGCATTTAGTTGCTTTATATATTTCAGTTGCTATCAACGCTGGCTGACCTCGAAATCATCCTATTGCCAGCGAGGGGGGCTGGGGGTAGGTGGGGGGTACAAACACAGCATTTGATTCTAAGCCTGCTTACTGGTAATCTCACAGGAGACACAAATTTCACGAACTTACTCTCTCCCTGGTGTGTCCACGGCTCGCTCACACCACTTACCAGGAAGGTTGCTTTCTTGGCCCCCCAAGTTCCGACATGGCTGGTTTTCAGGAGCACTGACTTTTTCTCTCCCTGGCACACCCATGGGTGGCTTGCTTGCACCGCCTAGATAGTTGCCTTTAAGGAGGATTTTCAGACAAACCAGAGGTGGTAATACATAAAGGCCAGTGCTTTGGGGGCTGAGACAAAAGATTTTAAATGAAGTCAGCCTGGACTGCATAGTAAGTTCAGGGTCCACCTGGGGTACATTGCAACATGTTGTCTCAAAAAAAAATCAAAATTGAATTTAGTGGTCCTTATTATTCATTCATTTTGACAGCAACAGTATTTTACATTTGTTGAGTTTATGAATAGCTTTTATATTTCATTTTAAAATAATTTTGTATTACATTAGGCATAAGAAATAAATAGAAATTAAAGTCTCTTCTCTTTTTAATTGGATGATTAATGGAGTATAGTCCGAGCTTTTTTTTTTTTTTTTTGTCTTTTTCTTTTTTATTGGTACCGGGGATCAAACTCACGACTGCCTGCTTGCAAGGCAGGCGCTTATGCCGCTGAGCTAAACCTCCAGCCCCCCGAGCTTTTTTTTAAAGTGTCATTATTTTGAATTTAGTTAGCTTCATTTCTCCATTTATAATATAAAAGAAAAAATGTTACTGGTTAAAGTTTGTTGTTTTTTTAGTGATGTTCTAATTTTGTCTAGATTAAAACACTATTATAAAATTTTACTTTGAAGATACATATAATCTATATTTTAAATTTTTATATTTTTAGGTCTTATTATAAGGTTTTAATTCCACATCTGGTGATTAGAAGTTATTTTGATGAGGTGAAGTCCATTGCTAATCAGATTCAAGAGGATTGGAAAAGACTTCTAATAGCCTGCTTCCCAAAGATTCTTGTAAATATTCTTCCTTATTTTGCATATGAGGATACTGGAGACAGTTGGATGGCACAGAAAAGAGAGACTGCTACCAAGGTCTACGATATGCTTAAAAGTGAAAACCTATTAGGAAGACAGGTATGACCTCAGCCTTTACCTATCTTTTATCCCCTAATTGATCTTAGCTCTAAGCTTTGAATTTTAAAACTGCCTATCCTTCCGATATGCAGCTAAATTTAACTTGTGATCACTGTGTAGCTAATGTGTCAATTTGTTGTTGCATAATGTTCTTTCCTTTTGATTGACATTTAAATGTGGAAATGTTATTAATAACAAACAGTGCTGAAAATTAATAGCAAACAGTGATGAAACTTAATAAGAAATAGTTTGATTGATTCTGCCTTTTAAATGTTTATGTTAGTTGCCAGTACTATATGTATACAAGCTGATTGGTAATTATCAGGTAAAAATAAACAGCATATGGAAACTTTTCTTTGCGAAGTACCTCTTAGTTGCACTAAATTCATCACTTTTCAGGGAAAATATCATCTTAAATTCCACACACACACCCCTCTCACCCAAACGAATTAAATCCAGGGAGCATTGAGATACACTCCCAGCACACCGGCACTATCTCTTTTTTAAATTTTATTGTGATTAAGTGCCAGCCTGGCAAGCATGAGGTCATGAGTTTGATCCCTGGTACCAAAAATAAATAAACAAAAAGTTGTATTTTGAGACCTGATGTTCCTAATTATCCAGGCCGGCCTCATACTTGGGTTCCTCCTTACTTAGCCTCCCGAGAAGCTGGGATTAAAGGCCTACACCGTTCCACTGACCTTTTTATTTTTTCCCCAGACACTTTTAACTTTCTAATGTATAATTTACTTTTGAATTAAATTTTCATTGTTTATTTCCAGTCTTCTCTGCTAAAATAGAAGCACTATAAAGATAAAAAAAATTTTTTTCTAATGTATCCCAACCACCAAAGAGTAGTTCATATTGGTTTAGTATATATTAAAAAGGAGGAGTCAAGTAAAGATGGATTTGACCAACTTTATTTTGTAATAACTCATATACTCAACACAACTTATATTACATGTTAATTTTTCAAAGTAAAGAAATTCAGTTACTCCTTGTTTATTTGAGATGTAAATGATAACTAAAGAAACTTAGAATTGCATTTGGATGAACTTAGAGACTTTTTGCTTTCTTATTTATCTATCTTGAACAAGGAAATGAAACAGCAAGTTCCTCAGTTGCTTAGGTAAACCAGTCAGGGAAACAGGTTTTAAGTTCTCAGTCTGGAGGCAAATGGTGAGCAGGGGACACCTTTCCCAAAGAGGTAGCTGGAATAGAATGCTGGCCCTCCAGAGATGAAGAGTTTGAACTCTGCCTCTGCCCTGTTCCACTGAACATTCCTCCTTTTATTCCTGAATACCCCAGTCTTCCTTAATATAAGGTCCCCGTTTTTAGAGTACCTTTAAGAGGAAGAATTGATTGGATTCAGCCCTGGTTGAAGTTCAGGGATGAAGAAAATCAAAAATTAAACATATAATTTCATAGCCTCATGTATAAAAGCTTAAGTTAAATTTTTGCTAATCTAAGTTTCATTTAGTGTTAATTATTTGTATAGTTTGAAAATTTGAGGCAGCTTATATTAAAACATTAATTTTTCAATGTAAAATTTATTCAGGATGTAAAGAATAATGAAACACTTATGACTTTATTTTTCTCATGTGTGCATTTTGTCTGAATTAGTCTTCTAGATTCTTTTTTCCCATGGCTGTTATTACAGTTGTTACCAGTTTTTGTGTCTGCTACAACTGTCGATTGTGAATACCTACAATGTTTACAGTTTATAAAATTGTTTAGCTTTACTAAATCATCTGAACAGTTTATTTGTACTTTTCCTAATGCCTAGGAAAAGTACAAATATGTTTGTACTTAGGAAAAGTACAAATATGTACTCCTGGATTTTGTAGATCCAGCTTTTAAGAAATCATATGGAGCTAGTGAAGGTGGTTATGTTATGTGTAAGGGTGCTCAATAATTATTTTGCTCATGAGTTACCAATTTTTCTTTACTTATTCCAGATGTACTTTGCTATCAGGCTGAATTTTAAGAGTTGAAACCATAGAAATGAGACATGGATAACTGATGTGTAATCATGAGGAAAGGCTCAGCTGTTTATGTTAGGTCTCTTTAAAATATTTTTTGTTACTAAGGGGTGTGCTCTTAGGCCCTGTTTACCTCAAGTAAAGAAACCATTTGCCTTGTAATTTAGTGCACTATGATTCTTTATTCCCATTCATTTAAAGATATCAGACTCATTCTATTTAGGGTTATCTATGGCCTTTGTGAAGCAGCCTGTAGCACAAAGTGGACTGAAGCAAGGCCAGCTCCTATAGTGGAGGATTTTAGTCTACTATTGATGAAAGAGGAGATAGATAGTAGCTAACCTCAGCATTTAGGCTGTCAGCCAAGGAGAAGTATGAAGAGAGATCTTTCAAGGCACGAAGGGTGGATTATCCCCAATCACTGGAAATTCTTATTAGTAAAGCTCTGTAAAAGTTTCCAGATAAATGCAGGTGAGGAGCAGTATTATTGATCAATAGCAGATTTGGTTTGCAGCATTATTGGTTTGAAGAATTAAGTATATTTTTATATTCTGTCTTTGCAGATTGATCATTTGTTCACTAGTAATTTACCAGAGATTGTGGTGGAGTTACTGATGACATTACATGAACCAGGAAATTCTGATGCTGGCCAGAGCACTGACCTCTGTAACTTTTCAGGGTATGTGCATTTTAAATTAGAAAAGCAACTTTGCATATTCCAGGAAGTTTATTGGGTGGTACACTCCAATGTCTTTTTTTAGTTTTTAGACATGTACTCTTTTTTTTTTTAAGTTCGTTATTTAAAAATAACCACTGTAGACTTAATTTCCTGTCTGCTTTTATGGCAGCTTACCTATAGTAGAACTTGCTGTTTCACATCAACCATTGTGTTCATTGGTGAATCCAGTAATGTCTGCAGTCTTTCTGTAACATTTGAACGTTGTGACTTTTTTTCCCCAGTGAGCATTATTCTTAATTCTCTTCTTACCTATGACTTGCCTTTCTGTATCATCTTTTATTATACCCCTTTGCTCCTTAGAATTATGCTCCTTAGCTGAAACTCAGTTTGGATGCAAAATCTGCTTGATTTTCTATGAATGTTATTTTCCTAGCTTTATTGTAAGTTACTTGAAAATCCTGTTTTTTTAAATATGCCCAACTGTACTAGACATGTAAGGTAGAAATAACATTTAACAAAGTACTTCAACATTTAATTTCACCTATCTAAATAATTTGTGAACCTAATATAGTGCCATGACTAGCAATTTTTCTTTATTTGTATATTTATTTATTTTGCACGACTAGAGATTGAATTTGCACGACTAGAGAGTGCTAGGCAAGCACTATACCACTAAGCTACATACTGTTGTTTTTATAGTACTAAGACTTTTAATTCAGGCCTGAAGTAAAGTAATCGTAGGATCATCTGTGAAGCTGCCATTAACTTTATAAAAGATTATTTAATGAAATCTCTTGGTAAATCATGTAAGTTAAGGGGTCAAATGTATTTTATGTCTTCTGATCAATATATATGAACTGTCATGTCATTTTTAAAATTTTATTAAAAGTACAATTCTTCAACAGAAAAAATTTTAAATATGGAATATTCATCAGATAATTATTTTGGAAGTTCACTGGTCTATCAGAAACAACAATTTTTCCTGATAATTTTATCTTGAAAATTTTTCTTTCTTCTAGGGATTTGGATCCTATTCCTAATCCACCTTGTTTTCCATCACATGTTATTAAAGCAACATTTGCCTATATCAGCAATTGTCATAAAACCAAGCATAAAAGCATTTTAGATATTCTTTCCAAAAGCCCTGTGAGTATACCTTGCTAATATAATAACTAATAGCAGGATTCCTTTTTATTTAGAAAATCTATGTGGTTTTTTTTTTTTTTGGAACTGGGAATCAGACTTTGGACCTCACACTTACCAGGAAGATACTGTGCCACTGAGCTATATCCCCAAACCTGTATGTATCATAAAAGAGAGAGAATTAAACAAATGAAACTTATATTAGCACTAACTGAAACATGTTACATAGTAGGATAGAATTTTGTGACACTTTGGTCATCTGTTAGCTCAGGGAATATATTTACTATTTCATAAGAATACACTAGATTTTATTATGTGCAAATAAATTGGCAAGATTTTTTTTTAAATGTTAAGGTAATTTTCCTCATGTAGTACATTGCATTTTTTTTTTTTTTTTGTCTTTTTCGTTTTTATCAGTACCAGGGATCGAACTCACGACCGCACACTTGCAAGGAAGGCGCTTATGCCGCTGAGCTAAATCCCCAGCCCCAGTACATGGCATTTGATGTCACATCTGAATCTAAATTGTTTAGTTACTTTAAGTATAAAATACTTTTAATAGTTACATATGATTAAACAAATTTTTACTAAATGTTTTTTTTCTAGGATTCCTATCAGAAAATTCTTTTAGCCATTTGTGAGCAAGCAGCTGAGACCAATAATGTTTATAAGAAGCACAGAATTCTTAAAATATATCATCTGTTTGTCAGCTTATTACTAAAGGATATAAAAAGTGGCTTGGGAGGAGCTTGGGCCTTTGTTCTTCGAGATGTTATTTATACCTTAATTCACTATATTAACCAAAGGTAGGTAGTATATTGGACCAGAACATATGCACTCTTTTTGCCCAGATCTTTTAGCTGAAAATTTGTATGCTACTAAGAAGTAGATTCCAGTATATTATTTCCTATTTAATTGATACATAAAAATTGCACATACTTACTATGTGTCCTGTAGTGTTTCTGTACATGTATATGTTGAAAGCAGAGTAGCACATGCACCTCCTCAAGTGTCCTTTTCCTGAGAACATTCAAAGTTTTTTCTTGTAACTTTTTAATCTAGGCATCCCACTCTGCATTAGAACACTGGAACTTCTTTCTCCTATCTAATTGCAGTTTAGTACCCATTGACTCATTTGTAGAAGTGTTACACCTCCTTGGTTAGAATGAGATGACATTCATTATAGTTTTGGCTTACATTTCTTGGATTTTAGTGATGTTGAGCATTTTTTCGTGTTCCCATGGGCCATTTGTATGTCCTCTTGAGAAATGTCTATTTAAATGTGTTGCCCATTTTTAAAAATGAGTTTTGTGAGTTTTTCTACTTAATTTTTGAGTTTTTTGTGTCTTCTGGATATTAACCTCTTGTCAGATAAATAGTTTGTATAGATACTGTTCTCTTTTTTGAAGTCAAACTGCCTTCTTTTACCTAACTATAACTTAATACCCACTGATCAGTCTTTCCCCAACCCTTTCTGCTCCTTACTCTCTTCAATATCTGGTATCTACCATTCTATAAGATCAACTTTTGTGTGGTCTACTTATGAGTGAGAGATCCTATGACACTTGTGTTTTCAAGAGACCAAGTTTTCATTCTGTTGATTCTAGTATTTTCTTTTGTTTATATTTTCACTCTACTCCTATGTCTTTTCTTGTTTCTGTTTTTTTTTTTTTTTTTTTTTTTTTTTTTGTGTGTGTGTGTGTGTGTGTGTGTGTGTATTTGGTACTGGGAACTGAGCTCAGGATCTTGAGCTTGCCAGGAGGGACTTGTGCTGCTGAGCTGTATCCTCAGCCATGTATATCCTTCTGTATGTATATTACCTTTTGGTTTACTTTTTTCTATTTCCTTAAAATCTGGGGTTTTTTAATGAAGTATTTAATGGTATAAGTTTTCTTCTCACACAGCTGCCTTTGCTGTGTCTCATAATTTGTGATGTGTTATTTTAAATTTCAATTATCTTTACATTCTCAGTGTATTTGAACCAGTTGTTTTGGATTCTTTCTGTAGTAATTCTAATACCTGAGCTTCTTTAGGAATGGCTTCAGTGTATTTTTTTCATGGACCATTCTTTTCTGTTTCTTTATGTGCCTGTTTTGTTGCTGGAAATGGCCATTTCAATATAATGTGTATTGTGTTAAGTGTGAAAATTAGTTTTCCCCTTTTCCAGGGTTTGATATTTTGTAAACCACATTTCTTCTAAAATAAGACCTAATCCAAAAGTAAGTACTAACATAATTTTTCAGGATGCTCATAGTAAAAACTGTCCCCCAGAATAAGCCCCAGTTAAGATTCTCAGCCACATGGCTGTAGTACATCCTGTTATAACACACAATTAACATATTGAATTATAAAATAATTTTTATATATCATTAAATTAATATTATTGACATTAATGCTTAAAGTAAATGATAATAATTATTTATAAATATCCAAGTGGGTGACTTTCATTCAACGAGAGGTGAACATAAACAGATGAACTCTCAAGACTTTTTGGCAAATGACCACAGTGCAGACATTCCACATGAATGCTTGGTAACAAACAGACATGGTTGTGTCTGATATGAATCTTAATTCAGTATGTCATGTATCATAATGGATGTGCTTCATGTGCTCATTTGAAATAAAGAAACATTTTCTGAATTTGGTGCCTACAGTTTTGTGCTGCTTTCTTGTGGACCATCACTCTTAACTGTCATCATGCTTGTTGCCATTTCTATCTCAGAAGTCTTTGATTAACACTTGATTTAATGGAAACTTAGGCCTATCCTGCAAGTGGTCATGACTTGGGTAAGAAATTCATGGATAAAAATCACTAACAGCAGTGTTTCCAGTGTACTATGAGCAGGTTGTATGGACGAGATGTGCTCATTTAAGGAGAGTCTTATTGCTAGACATGAGAAATTGGGCCAGGGCTCTATAGGAAATGGACACACAAGGAATTCAGGCTGGAATTCGAGGTTTGGAGAGTAAAGTTGATATTCCAGATGACATGATTTTATTTGAATAAATGTAGATTTTTATACATGAATAAATATAAATTGTTCTACATGAGACAATAAAACATCCTCTGAAATAAGCGCTATTGCATCTTTTGGAGCAAAAATTATAATACTCTATTGGGTCTTGTTTTCAGGGAAATACGGTAAATTGAATGCTTTAGTGGTGTTTTTGTTTCCTAAACTTTAAGTATTTTGCAGTGTGTGTTCCTTGCTATGTATGGTCACTGAAGACTCTTTCTTGTGCTATATTTAGATGGCATCTGACAGCTATTTGAATGCTAGGAGTATTGGGGATAGAGGGGAAATGAGAAAGAGGGAGCCAGAGGAAGGAAACTATCCCTGTATTTGCACATTAGTTCTGTGCTGGGTGTCTCTTCACTTAGACAACTTCCATTGACTCTTGGATTGGGTGTCTGTGGCTTTCTAAATTATTCCTGTTGTTTTGTGTTTAGTGATTTTTTTTGGCTTGAAAATTATTAAAGTATTAAATATGAATAACTTTTGTGTCCAACCATATCAAAATTAGAGATACTGAGTGAAGGGGTTTTTAATTTTATTGATTGATTGATTGATTTTTGGTACAGGGGATCAAATTCATGACCTCAAACTTACCAGGCAAGTGGTTGAACAGTGAGCTAAATCTCCAGCCGTAAAAGGGTTTAAAAATGATTCCATTTTAAATAATTTCCTAACCTTGGTTTGCTTTATCTTTTTTTCCTGTTAGGACTTCCCATCTCATGGGTGTGTCATTACGAAGCTTCTCCCTTTGTTGTGACCTGTTAAATCTGGTTTGCCAGACAGCAGTGATTCATTGCAAGGATGCTTTAGAAAACCATCTTCATGTTATTGTTGGTACACTTATACCCCTTGTAAACACTCAGGTGGAGGTTCAAAAGCAGGTGATTTCCCAGTTCATCCTCAAAACACTATTTGGAATAAAATATTAGCTGAATGTTTTGTTTGCTTGGTATACTTAGTAATTTTTTTTTTTTTTTTGTCTTTTTCCTTTTTATCGGTACCAGGGATCGAACTCACGACTACCTGCTTGCAAGGCAGGTGCTTATGCCGCTGAGCTAAATCCCCAGCCCCTATACTTAGTAGTTTTAATGAAAATATTTTTTGAAAAATGGTTGAGAGGACATTCTAAATGAATTAACTTTTGTAATCAGTTAATTACAGAACACAGTATTATTGATCTAATCTGATATTTTGGCTGTTAGACTGAAGTGTAGAAATAGAAACTAAGGACAGAGCTGGACATGGTGATGCATACCTGTAATCCCAGCACTGGGGAGGCTGAGGCAAGAGGATTGTTGCAACTTTGAGACCAGCCTGGGCTACAAAGTTGAGTTCGAGGCCAGCCTGAACTGCATAGGGAGACCCTGTCTCAAAAAAGGCAAAAAAAAAAAAAAAAAAAAAAAAAAAAATCTAAGGACAGCAGTTCATACCAGTATAATACTGTGTGAGCTATTACTTATGTAAAATGTTTCATAGGTATTTGGATTTTTATTAGTTAGAACCTACCTTGAATTATACCTTACATGTTTATTGAATCATTTAAAAGCAGAAATAAAAGCTGAGTATCTTAAAAGTAATCAAAATATTTAAGCAATAACTGCAATTTTTATTATAGTACATTTTGATGTTTTTGAAATATAATAAAGGATTTTTTTTTCTTTTTAAATTATATTTAGGTATTGGACTTACTGAAATACTTAGTGATAGATAACAAGGATAATGAAAACCTCTATCTCACAATTAAGCTTTTAGATCCTTTTCCTGACCATGTTGTTTTTAAGGATTTACGAATTACTCAGCAGAAAATCAAATACAGCAGAGGATCCTTTTCACTCTTGGAGGTAATAAAAGTTCTGTTTTATATTTAATATTAGATGGCATAGACAGTGGTACTTTTTTTTTTTTTTTTTTTTTTTTGGTACTGGGGCTCAAACTTACAACTTTGTACTTACCAGGCAAGCGCTTACACCGCTGAGCTAAATCCCCAACCCCTTACAGCAGTGCTTTTTAAAAATCCAGTGCTCTAGTGGTAATGCCACATGAAATCTACTCTGTTGACAAATGAAAAATTAACCTTAATATATTTCCTTATACAGCTTTTGGAGTGTAGCTATCAAAGCTTCTTGGAAAAGCTAAGAATTTAGGTATTCAAAGACAGTGATGCAAAATATTTTCATTTAACACAGTAAGACCCTGGGATCCATTAATACTTTTAAAATTATCATGTAGTCCTTTGAGGTTCAATTTAATGTTTATGCTAGAAGTTATGTTTAATTTTTTAAAGAATATTTCGAGATTTAATACTAGTTAAATCTTTAAAGGCTTCAAAATTATGTTCAGATATTTTTTCTTATAAATCTTATTATAATTTTTAAATCCTAATATATATTTGACTATATTTTTCAATGTAAAAACATCCTTAGATACATTAAGATGTAAATTAGAGTGTATTCTTAAATAAAACATAAAGCTTTACTCCCATTGGGTATACCTAATAACCTTGAAATTTAACTTTCATCATGAGAAAATATATTAAAATTTAAACGATCAAAACTATAGGAAGAAGGAAATTATTCGTACTTTATTTGGCTTATGAATCAGTATCTTTAAAAGCACTGTCATGAAGGTTTATTCTGCAGAATTATTCAATACATGTTAAAAGGAAGTTATACTTTAATTTTTTTTTCTTTTAGGAAATTAACCATTTTCTCTCAGTTAGTGTGTATGATGCACTTCCACTGACAAGGCTTGAAGGCTTGAAGGATCTTCGAAGACAACTGGAACAACATAAAGATCAGATGATAAATCTTATGAGAGCATCTCAAGGTACTAATTCATGTTGAGTTCTTTCTATCTCTTCCTATCTCAAATAATCTTTATGAATTCTTCCTCTTGATTTGATTGTAATAGCCATAGTTTAGATCCTCATCATTTCTCACCTAATGGTGATACTGGTTTTATCTTGAATAATTTTCATTTTATCCATCTTCTACGAGAATGATAAAACCCAGTTATGATCATATTATCTTACCACTTTCAAAACTTCCAATAAGTTTCTACTGCCTGAAAAATATCAGGCTCGACATGGATCCAAGTACTTGAAAGGCTGAGGCAAGAGGATCACTTTGAGTTCAAAAATAGAAACAAAAATTCCTTAGAGCTCAACATTTAAAGTATTGTACCACTGCCTTTTATATATATCCCTACTTGAACGAGAGAAATTGTCTCATTTTAAGTGTTTTAGTTCTGTTTATTAAATGTTTATATGTTTTGACCTTTACTTTTTTTTTTTTTTTTTTGTCTTTTTCTTTTTTATCGGTACCAATGATCGAACTCAGGGACTGCCTGCCAGCAAGGCCGGCGCTTATGCCGCTGAACTAAATCCCCCACCCCATTGACCTTTACTTTTATGTTAGTTTTATTTGAGTTTATTAATATAAGTTACAGTATTGCAATTAAGAGAATTTTTATATTTGTTTTGCTTTTAATCTTCCTGTGCCAATTAATTTTATTTTTCTAGTATATCATTTTTATACCTAATATTTTTTAAAACTAATTTTGGTCTTGACTAAGCTCACAATTCTGATTGTATTTTGAGATATATAAAGTACAGATGTCACTCTCTTCTTTGTTTTGGTATTTAAATGCTAGAATTGTATTATGCAGTACAGTCATTAACCAGTTTTGGCTATGTTAATTTAAATGGATTAAAATTAAGAAAAATTTAAGATTCATTGTTTTTATTATCCTAATCCATGTCCGATTCTCACTAGTCCACATAGCTAGTGATTATCATTGATTAAAGATTAAAAACATTCACATCATTGCAGAGAGGTCTGTCAGATAATGCTAGTCAGGTTTCTATATGCTAGATGCAGACTCCCAGGGACCCTTGTTGCTTAATACTGACTGATTTTTGTTTCTGATTGTTTGTGGGTTTGCTAAGGTACTGCCTTATCTACACAGTTGAAGATTTTTTTTGTTTCTAGCAATCTGCTTCTACTTATATGTGATTCTGTCATATAAGGAAGTTTAAATTCATATATATATGTGTGTGTATATGTATATATATATGGAAACATGTATTTCTGATGACTTAAAACTTTATAAAATTTTTCTGGTCAGGTAATTAATATATATGTATAATCTTTTTTTTTCGGTACTAGGAATCAAACTCACGACCATGCACTTGCAAGGCAGGAGCTTATGCCGATTTCTAAGCTAAATCCCCAGCCCTATATGCATAATCTTATATCATGATAATTTTTTTCTCAAAATTATTCCTAGATAACCCACAAGATGGCATTGTGTTAAAGCTAGTTGTCAGCTTGTTGCATTTATCAAAGAAGGCAATAAACCACACTGGTGAAAAAGAAGTTTTAGGTAAGCTATGTAATTGAGTGAATGTGAGTCTTTCATGTTTAAAGGATGATCTTTGTATATCCTCAAATAAATAAAAGTTATATAATTTCAGATGTGAGGAAATACGAGATGCTAATTTACATTTGTGTTTAATTCAGTTATACCTAAGTACTGTCCTTTCATAGTTTTCTTCCTTAAACATTTATATAAGATGAAAAATTAGCAATTTACAACTTTGCATAGCTTGATTTGAAAATGTCTCATAGTTATTTAGAAAGTCAAAATATATATTTATAGAATTGCAGATAGACTTCTGAAATATTTTATAAATATAATTGGCTAATATTCAGTATCTTTATCTAATAAATAAAAATGAAAACTTTGAGGGCTAGGTTAAACTCAAATATCAAAAAGCATTTAAATTCTTTCCTACTGAAATTTGGGAGAAAACCTGATGTGAGACAAATGCTGTGTTCTTTACTTTATTCATTGCTAGGACAATACTTGACGCTCATAATTAAAGGAGGAAAGGTTTATTTAGCTCATAAGTTGCACAGGTTTCAGTCAGTTGACTGCAAAGCAGAGCAGCATGGCAGAGAGCATCAGAGAAGAGAAACAGCTCATGGTGGTAGCCAAAAGGCAGCAACTAGAGGTCTGCCTTCCATCTCTCCCTTTATATTCCATTGCGACTATAAACTTGTTGATTGGTGCCACCCATACCCAGGGTGAGGGGCTCTTATATCACAATAATAATTCCAGTGTCACACCCTTAATCTTCATTCACTAAACCTAATCTGCCACCTTTGAAACAAGCCACCTCTGACCACATGAGGCTTTGGAGGAACATCTGGGTACAAGCCACAGTAATAACCACCATTATGTCTAGTTTAGGCATTTATTGATAGCAGAGATTGAGCTCACCTCGTGCTTGCCACACAGGCACTTATGCCACTGAACTAAATTCCCGGCTCTAGTGTAGGCATTTAGATTTAGTGATCAGTGAATAGAAAAATCACTTGATTGAAATTAGTATGAAGGAGGGAGGGAAGGAAGGAATTAAAAATAAAAAAAGAATAAAAAAATTAGTATGAAGCTTTCCTGACTGTTCAGTGAAAAACAAGAAGAATAGGTGATACTTACAGACTCATCTGTCTTTCTACCGTGTCTTTCTTAATTTCTTAGTGGTAGCCAAGTGTTTAGGGTACATCCATTTCTTTTACTTTATTGTTGAAATATGTCTTGTGTATATAATAAAGTATACAGAGAATGTATATATACCTTAAAGAATTATGTGCTGAAGATGCTTGTGCATCTACCATCCAGACAAATAATGAGAATTCACCTGAACCCTACAAATACCCTTTTGTATTTGTAGGAATTTATCCTACTGTTCATGGTACTATTTCCAGGGACAAATCTGATTTTCTGCAAGAGCTCAAAGTGACTTTTTCCTGCTGTCAAGAGTGAAATAATGCTGTTCACTTTCACCACTGCTATTCAACATTATACTGAAAGTTCTGGCAATTATACTTAAAATTCTAGCAATTGGACAAGGAAAATTAGAAGTGTCAAACTGAGAAGGAAGTAAACAGTCTGTATTTGCAAATGGCACAATCTTGTCTATAGAAATTCCAGGGAATCTGCAAGACAGCTACTTGAGAGCTGATAAATAAATTCAGCAAAGATGTATGTAGAACAGAGTCTAAAAGAAATAAACACCTGGGGATAAATTTAGTCAAAGAGATAAAAATTTTATGTACGTGCCATTTCCCAAAAACCAGTCACTAAGTACCCTACACTCAAGGGAAAAGTAATTAGGCTTCACATTTTAAAAGGAGTCTCTAAGTATCTTTGGACATAATCTTATCAAATGCCACCATGACTGGGAAAAAGCACAAGAAGGCCTCTGCAATATTGCAGATGCTGTTTTTGTAGGAAGTGATAACTCCTGGAAATAAAATTTTTTGTGTAAAAATATGCACTGAACTATGTGTTTTAAGATTTATGAACTTTATGAATGTGTTGCCTAGACTTTCATTCTTTCTATTTTCTGTTACTATTTAATATGTCTCCTATCTTTCAAAGAAGTAAATGTCTGACACTCAAATGGGTATATGGCATGTATTATATGCCAAGGAAATTATACAGTATTTTGTAGTCCCTGTAGTTTATTCATAGTCTTTGACAACATACTTAAATCTTGAAGTATTGCAAGTTAGCATTATGTTTTTGAAAGTAGAAATTTTTGGTTATGTATGCTATCTTAGCTGTGGCTCTACTGAAATAAGATTTGTTTATGTAGAAGCTGTTGCAAGCTGCTTGGGAGAAGTGGGTCCTATAGATTTCTCTACCATAGCTGTACAACATAGTAAAGATACTTCTTATACCAAGACTGTAGAGTTATTTGAAGATAAAGAACTTCAGTGGACCTTAATAATGCTGAACTGTCTGAATAACACATTAATAGAAGATGGGTAAGTATTTGTGGTGTCTTACATCTTGATTATGCTTACTCAACCTGACTTTCAAGGGGAATGATACTTCACATGAATTAACATGATTTCCAAAGCTAAAACTTTGTCTTTTAAATTCTTACATTTAAAAAAATTCATACAATATTTTATGAAATTCTTTACATTTTTATTCACATACAGGTACTTGACATAGTGAAGAAGTTTCCAGGCAAAGTCTGTGTTGAATTCTAAGGAGAGTAGATCATACAACCAACAAATGAAAGAAAAATACTAGTTGTCGCATATAGACAGTTAAAATAGGGAAATGTAGAAAGTGATATTTCAAGTACTTTGCAAAATCAGTGGTGCCACCCTCTTTCAAGAGTAAACTTATTTGTGGTTCTTTTAAAATACGTCACAGTGTAAGATTTCATAGCCTCAGAAGTCAAACTAATCAGAATTTTCTCCTCCTCATTTACTCCCTGCACTACTCATTGCAAGATGTTACCAGTGTTTCCCTTGCTGGTTGTGAGACTGCGTCTCTCTTCCAGCTTCTGTCATTTTGTCTGTGATTCTGACTTTTTCCTCACATTTATTGATTGATTGATTGGGATATTTTATCCATTAGTACTGTTTTGAGGGTTAAGGTCAAAGGATTTTTCCCTCAACTGGACCTCTTTCTGACATATATTGGTTTTTTACCTCTCTTCTCCCCTTACCTGCTGAATTTCCATTATCGATTTAATGGACTTATATCTTTCTTTGGTGGCTGTTTTTCTTACATAAAACACTCTGACATGATTTCTTTACCAACACTTTACTTAGAATTTTACAGTAAACACCTATATTCTGATCATATAGATTCTACATTTTACTAATTTCATTCTTTTTTTTTGGTACTGGGAATCAAATTCAGGACCTTGCAAGGCAGGTGCTTATAACACTGAGCTAAATCCCCGGCCCTACATTTTACTACTGTCTTTATCATTTCTGCCCATTTATTAATGTGTATCATTTTAAAAATGTATTTCAAAGTATGTCTGACAGTATATAAAGATATTTTCCACAGAAACTCCAAAGAAGCAATTAAATAGTAATCTGAGATTATTTTTTCTAAAATACTTACATACAAAGATTAAGTGACTTAAATTTGAGATTAATGGAAATACATATAAGTCTTTCTTGGAAAAAAAACTCATTGATATTTAAGGGGCTTCATTATCCAAAGGATATGATGACCAAAGAAATTCCAGAATAACTGGTCAGGGCAGGCTTCTTTGGCCAGGCAAAGCTTTTGTGAAGAAGTATCATCCGACCTGATCTGAGTGGTCAAGAGTCAGCCGTTAAGATAATTAAGGGTAAAGCATTTCAGATGGAATGCTTGAGCTGGAGGTGCATTTCATGTATTTGAAGAACAGAATGAAGCCTGTTGTGGAAGAACATTATAGGAAAAATGTAGGACTAATTCTGATTAAAAAATCTGAATTCTATTTGAAGAATATAAGGGTGCCCGTGGACTATTTGGAGAAGAATGCTGTTATGGTGCAGCTTACATTTTTACTCACTGTTTTATATAGCCAGAGGACTGCAAGGGGCAAAAGTGGAAATGAGACTCTGTTATGAGATTATTGGAGTAGTCAGAAGAGAAATGATTGTGATTGGACTAGACTGTAATGGAGATGATAGACATAGATGGAACCAGCTATGTTTTTAACAAAAACAAGTGGGATTTGCTAATAAATTGGATATAGAATAATGAAAAAAATGAACCTAGGTTTAGGATTTATGGTTCAGTGTTTTTAAACCAAGAAACCTAAAAGGAATTAAGCCTTTATTTGATAACTCATTGAGCTGTATGATATTATAAGTTTTCATATTTTTAGTTCTCTTGTATTGCAGCCTTCCTTGCTGTAGGTTTTTTGCATTAAAGAAGAACCTTTTTTATTAGAGGTTTCAGGGGCTTTAATAGTTCTCAGCTAGATTTTTGTCAGAATAAGTGGGTACCAGCTCTTTGTTAAACATTGTATTTTACAATATTATCATTGTCTTTTTTAAAACTTTTTTATTTTAAAGAGATTAAGATAAAAGAGGACATAACAAAGCAGATCAGAACAGAACAATTTAAGCAACACAGTATTTCACCATAAGACAACCCAATATAACATTAGCTACCATAATGTCTCTTTCCTTGAAATAGTTGAGCATATCTTCATACACAATAGTATCAAACATAACAAAATAATATAAAACTATTAAATAGAATGAAAGTATTACAGGGCATTCAGAACCAAATAACAGAAAACGAACAATGGTTACTATATTATCTCATTGTCCATAAAAAATTTGTTTATACTATCACACATGATAAAATCCAATAAGATACAACATGGTAGAATCAATCGAAACAAGAGCAAAGTCAAACTTCAAAACAAGATGATATTAAATCAGCACTGGCTACAATAATGTCTTGTTTTCTTCAAAATAGCTGTTCATACCATCACAGATAATAAAGTCAAACAACCCAGGATAAAATGTCATTTTTTCAAATGCCATCCTGACTCATCTAAATTATTTGTGTCCTCAAAGAAAATATTAACACAATATTTTTTTCTCATATAAATTAGAACAGTATGTTGTCATTTTCATTATATTTACTGGGCTATATTATTTCCAGGTATGTTATTCCTTTATTTTATGACCATCATAAGACAAGTATTCCTGCACTAGATGAAGGGAATTACTGTTTCAGTGATGAAAACTCAAGTTTTTTAAGAAATACCAAAAGTCCTTTGATATTTTTGATTTTCTTAATGGAATTTTATGAAACCTTCCTAATATAAATTGTAATTTTAATTCTTAAAATTTTTCAATGGAGATGCTTAACATTCTAGATTAATAAATGAATTATGTATTTCTCAGTGTCAAAGTTCGATCAGCTGCTGTTACCTGTTTGAAAAATATTTTAGCCACAAAGACTGGACATAAATTTTGGGAGATTTATAAGATGACAACTGATCCCATGCTGACCTATCTACAGCCTTTTAGAACATCAAGAAAAAAGGTCTCTTAAGTAATTCATGTTTATTGAGTATGTACTACAACTGTTTGCTTTGGATTATATGAGAGTGCTTAAAGTGGTAATTTACTAATGTTTCGCATTTCCTAGATATAGTTGCAACTATACTTCATGACCTTGCACTTGCCACACAGACGCTTGTGCTGCTGAGCTAAACCCCTACCCCTAGTTGTACTTCTTTAATCTAGGGAATTTTTAACTGTATAAGGGAATACTGGAAAAACTGAGATAATCTAGAGAAGCGATAGTTGATTTGGAGATAGGAAAAATTCTTAATAACACAGCGTTGTGCCTTAGGAACAGAAAACCTTTGATCCTATAAAGCCATTGATCCTACATGTGTTTTATAGATATTGTGATCAACAAGCAAGCAAATGTAAAGCAATAGCTTGTTTTCTAAAGCAAGTTAATATATTAAAAGTTATATGAAATATAAGATGTACTATGGGATTCTTTTTCCATGTTGATATCATTACAAAGTTCAACAAGGCATTCAGTGAGAGATGTTGAAGTATTCTTGCAGTTTCCTTAATCAAACAAGTCTTTTTTTCATAAAGTTACTGAAAAATGTAGATAAGTTTTTGCCACTTTAATTTCAGGGCATGTACATGGTGCATTGAAGTGGTGTCTTACCTTTACTGTACCATAAATCTAATTTGGCCTTAAAATTAGTAATGATACTAACTACTAATAAAACTTGTACTATAACATGTAAAATACTGTGTTGTAATCTTTTTAAAATATCAATTCTTTGTGTGAGTGTGTGTGATATACATGTACACCACTAGTGAGTGACAGTACCTGGACCTGTCTCCTGCTGCCAGAACAGTCATTGTCTTAGCATCCCATTCTTCATCTCATATCAGTGTGTTTTGATTTAAAGGATCGTGATTGCCTCCAAAGTTTAAGTATATTTAGTTTTATTTGAAAATAGATTAGTTGTTCCTAGATGTTCATTTTACATAGGAAAGGCAAATTATTTTCTGATTCTATTTGTGTTTCGTATTTCTAGTTTTTAGAAGTTCCCAGACTTGACAAAGAAAGCCCTTTAGAAGACTTGGATGATACTAGTCTGTGGATTCCTCAAAGTGAAAATCATGATATTTGGATAAAGACTCTGACTTGTGCTATTTTGGACAGTAAAGGCACAAAAAGTGAAATTCTTCAGTTATTAAAGCCAATGTGTGAAGTAAGCAAACAAATTAACCTAAATTAACTCCTCTTTTTCCTTTGCTTTTCCCATTCCAGCTTCTATGAACATGATTGTGACCTGTGCAAACAAGAAGAGAGTTACTGTACTGCAGGTTACCTTACGCAGGGTAACCCACCCTCAGTAGCTCTAAGTGCCTCTGAGTTCATTCAGGTTGAGGATAGATGGGCTATAAGAGATGCCCTGAGTAATGCTACTGATAGTTAAAATATTGATGATTTTTGGTTTTTTTGGTACCGGGGATCGAACTTGCGACCTTGCACTTGCCAGGCAGGCACTTACACCACTGAGCTAAATTCCCAGCTAATATTAATGATTTTAAATTATTTGTGTTAACCAAAAGCTCTGACTTTCTTTGTTTACTACTGATAAGATTACTATCATTTACTTTCTCTGGTACATTTCATCAACTAAAAACAGTGGGAGGTAAGAGTTAGCATTGCTTTTGTACTTTGGAAGGTAGACTACCGTTTATTTCAATAAACAGTAAAGATATGTATCATGGCATATAAAAGTTAGTAGTTTTGAGGCATTGGTATATAACTCAGTGGTATACCAGGTGGTTTTTGACATGGGTGGAGTATTCACCCACGTATTCAGTCCCTAGCATCAAAAAAGAAAAAAACTGCTAAGAATATTTTATCAAATGCATAATTAAGGGACAACACAATAGAATGGCTATGAAACATACAAATTAACCTGTCAAACATGATTCAAATGAAATATGAAAACACAATGTTGAACTGAGTCAAATATGTTCCAGTTAAAACTAATTGATAAAGAAGTTGAACAAGCATATGTGTTGAAAGTGATTTAAAAAGCAGTCTTTGGGCCAGGGTATAGCTCAGCAGCACAGGGCTTGTCTGGCAAGCATGAGGTTGTGAGTACCAAAAAAAAAGACAGACAGTCTTTACCAGGAGTTGTGGCAGATGCCTGTAATCCCAGCACTCTGGAGGCTGAGGAAGGGAGATTACCACGAGTTCAGGGCCAGCCTAAACTACACAGTGAGACTCTGTCTTTTAAAAAAATAAATAAATTAGTCCCTATTTTCTACAGATAAGTAATGACAGTAAATATGTGATTACATTCTCTGCAGTACCATACTATATTCATATTAGTTGAATAACGTGATACCTTGGGCTTATATTAGCTTATATCTCATTAGTGAATGAAGCCAAGGTTTTTTAATAGCATGTTGACTTTGAGCTGGAAGGTCAGATGTTCCAAATATGCCTGTGTATCTATATACACCCCCGTTCTTAGTACTTTAAATTCTTAGATCCTTAGAGGGAGGTGGAAGAGGATTAAAAAAGAATTAAGGTGTATTATTACATGTGCATACTCTGCGTGATGATTATAATCACTATGTACTGCAAACATGTACTAATAAAAATATGAAAAAAGGCAAGGAGTTTTCTTGACTTGTCTTTAGAAAGGAAAAACTGTACGATTAGTGATCTACACCTGTCTCGTGTGTGGAGTGTGCTGAATATGGTGGACGTGAAGTATGGTCATTCATCTGTATGATAAATGTGGGGTTTAGTAATAGCAGAGATGAGGTTCAGTATTATTATAATGTGCATACTAAGCACTTTTCAAAAAATTTTGATTATGCCATGCATATTTACACAAATTTTACACCTAGAAATTTGGAGTTTGTTAAAAAGCAAACATTTTTAATACAAACATTTCAGTTCTTTACTGGTATAGAAAATGTACAAAAACAAGATTTTGCAGCTTTTCTCAAACTTTTCCTACTCTTTCCCCTTTATATTAAATCAGAAAACTTCTTTTGAGCCAGGCATCTATAATCCCAGCACTTGGGAGGCTGAAGCAAAGGGATCGTTGCAAGTTCGAGACCAGTCAAGGCTACAAAGTGAGCTCAAGGCCAGTTTGAACTGCATGGGAGACCCAGCCTCCAAAAAACAAAAAAAAAAAAAAAAAAAAAAAGAAAGAAAGAAAAAAAGAAAACTTCTTTTGTTGCTAGTAACAGTTTTTAACTCTGAAATTATATGTAAAATAATTATATCAATTCATTCATAAGCAGTATCCTATTTCATTACATTTTCTCTGCTGGAGACAAACAGTTGTATAACTAATGTTTGTTACAGGTACACTAGCTTAGTATTCTTAACTTTATGTAGTACATTACACTTTTTAATTTTTAGCAGCATAAATTCATGGCACAAAATAGTGTATCATTTTTTAAAAGTTTAATATGTCAGCAATAGAGAATGAAAATTTTAATTTAAAGTTTCTGAATTTTACTCAGACTGTTGGGTGGCTGTCTTTTTGTGTTCTAGGTGAAAACTGACTTTTGTCAGACTGTCCTTCCATACTTGATTCATGATATTTTACTCCAAGATGCAAATGAATCATGGAGGAATCTGCTTTCTACCCATATTCAAGGATTTTTTACTAGCTGTTTCAGACACTTGTCGCAAGCAAGCCGATCCACAACCCCTGCAAATCTGGATTCAGGTACTCTGTTAAATTATTAATATTTATACTGTTAGCTTCTCACCTTCATAGAAATTCACAATTAAGTTCAAATACCATCAAAGGCACGCTTATCTGTGTGACTCCAAATTGCTGTTTCCTCAACTAGAGAATAGTAATAAAAGTTGAAACGGATTATCAGTGTAGTAATGTTTGTAAAGCACATAGACTAAAATGGTACTCCCTCAGTAAATTTTGAATATTAATAATGGTGCAACTAGTTAAACATTCGGTGTTTCAGGCACTGTGTTTTAGCACTGACAACATAGATGTAAAGACCCACCCCCCTTTTCTGGCATTAGGAAAAGCCCTTAAATTTGATTAAATATATATAATTTCATAGTTTCAGAGGTCTGGTCAACTAATTTTTAAAAAGCAACCTTTTAAGTATAAAATCATATGTATTTATTATGGAAAATAAAAATCGCACAAGTTTAGAAATTATATTAACATGTAAAAGTTGAACCATATTTTATTTATTCTTTGTATTATCTACTTTCTCCCCATTGTATGACATTAATGTTTCTAATGCTAAGAGCTTAATAGCAAAAAAAAAAATTATTTTAGGGTTTAGGGACATAAAATACAAACATGCATTTGAGGGCTCATTATAAACCATTTGAATACTAAAAATTTTTTTGGTACCAGCAATTGAACTCAGGACCTTGTGCTTACAAGCAGGCACTTATGCCACTGAGCTATATCCCTGGCCCCCAAACCTAAGTTTTGAAAGAGAAACAAAATTTATAAATCTTCATCATTAATTTATTGTATTTAATATGTATAAACAAAATGAGGCACAAATTCACATACCATGCTTCAGGACTAGTATAATTCTAATAAAAGATACTGTTTTTGACATTTTGCTTTAAGTAAATTGCTTCTCCCAACTTACTGTGCCTCTCTTCACTTCTGCATAGGTTGTAATTAGTTCCCACAGTTGTTTCTCTGGTTTTGCCACAACCTTTATTTGAAATGATTCTAGTATCATTTAGACTTCATTTTGCTATGCTTTATCTTTTGTATGTCTTCTTTTCAACTGGCTAGTAATAGTTACAAATCTATTTGGATAGAATCTGGGAATCACAGAAAGACAAGTAATACTGTACGCCTTCATGTGTGAAATCTAAAAGAGCTGATCTCATAGAAGTTGAGAGAACAGTGGTTACTAGAGGCTTGGGCAAAGTCTAGGGTGAAGTCGAACTATGTATATCAAGTTATCATTAGATGAGAGTAGGACGTTTTGATTTCCTTCTACACAAATAGTGACTGTCAATAACGATAATGTGCCATATGTGTGTGTGTGTGTATATATATATATATATATATATATATATATATTTTTTTTTTTTTAAGTTAGAAGAAAGGATTTTGAATGTTTTCATGATAAGGAAATGATGCATGTTTGAGGATATAGATATCCTGGTTTGAACATTATATAAGGTATACATGTATCAAAACATCAAATGATAACTCATAAATATGAATAATTTTCTGTTTAAGATTTTTAAAATAAATATTTGGAAAACTGATCACAGACATGGATATAGTTGTCCATTCTGTGGCCCTTGTAAATTATAAGTTCATTAGAAATGGAATATGCTTTTGAGTCTGGAAATGAATTTTGAATCATTGAAATGAAAATTCTAAAATAAAATTCTCATACACTTTGCAAACTATAGTATATCTCCTATCTGTAATATCAGCAAAGTTATAAGTAAACATTTGAAATTTGATGTTGTGTAATATAAAATGCTATTAAAAACAATTTTAGGCCGGTATGGTGGTGCATGCCTGTAATCCCAGCACTCGGGAAGCTGAGGCAGGAGGATCATCACAAGTTCAAGACCAGCCTAAACTGCATAGCAAGACTGTGTCTCAAAAAAAAGAAAAAAAGTTTTGTTAAATAATCATCTTTCTTGTGTAATGTATTTTTGTAACTTTAGATAAAAATTTAAAGTTTACATATAAAATTCCATTACTGGAAAGGATAGTAGATGTAGATTCACGTAGAATTTGATGGCATATGTTTTCTGATATTTAAATGTCGCTCCCTTCACTTCAAGTCCCACAGGCATCTGGCTGTCTAAGCAGAGAGTCACCTTTCCATCAGTGTCACGTGTCCTGCATGAATGGCACTCAGTTGCCCAAGCCAGAGCCTTCTCTGACTTACCTACCAAATCCTGCTGTTGCTGTGTTAGAAGTGACTTCACTCCATGGATTTCCCTCATTCGTCATCCTTACTGCCTTCTAGCTCTGTGGTTCAGCACAGTTGAAATTCTTTTATTAAGTTTTCCGAGTTCTCTCCTGCTTCTCTTCCTCCCAGATACTATTAATATTCCCTGGTATGCTGTCTTTTCTTCTTTTAACTACTTTTGCTTTGGATCTCTTTTTCTTTGAAACTCTCTTACCCTTCCAAGCTTCCTTCCTGTATTCCTCAAGGACATCCTAACCCTGACTGTCATCCCGCTTACACATCATGCTGAGGGTCTCCAGTCTGGGCAGTAAGTTCTGTGTAGCCAGAAAGTGTCCTGCTCATGGTTATATCCTGAGAACCTAGCGCATAAAAGATCCTAGATATTCATGGCATCCATGGATTTTAATACCTTTTCAGAAATAAAATATAAACTGTACTGAAAATTCTAAGTGACATGGATAGATAGACAGACAGGTTTTTGTTGTTTTGCTTTTTGAGACAGAGTCTCACTATTCAGTTCAGGCTGGCTTTGAACTCATTATGTAGCCCAGGCAGGCCTTGAACTCACAGTAATCCCTCCTGCCCCAGCTTCCTGAGTGTGGCCCCACGCCCAGCAATTCTAAATTATATTAAGCCAATTGATTTAAAAGAAGAAGAAGAAATGCCATCAAATACCACATATTTATTAAGAATCAATTTTGTGTTAGGTCCTCCCCACCAGAATCTTACAGTATAGAGGGAGGCAGACTTGTAGACAAGGAGGAAGAAACTGCTTAAGCAGATCTGTCTAAGACTAAACAGGTGTCTTTTGTTTGTTTGTCAGAGTCAGAGCTCTTTTCCCAATGCTGCTTGGATAAAAAATCACAAAGAACAATGCTTGCTGTTGTAGACTATATGAGGAGACAGAAGAGGTAATGTAATAAGTATTACTGCTTGAGTTTGGGGGTATTACAATAGTTTATTTCACCTGTAAATCTAGGGGAAACAGCAAGTCATTTTCTGAAGTTATTTTTAGTTTTGTTGCCTCTTAGTCTCTGCTTTAATTTCTTAGAAGTCGTAAGTGTTATATAAATGTATTATTTATGTGTCTTTATTATATGGTATAAATTTCTTTACTATGTGCAGTAATCATCAAAATTTTTAGTAATTTTATGGCATGGTGTTTGTATTTTGTACTGGGGATTGAACTCACAACCTCAAGCTTGCCAAGCAAGGCTTGAGCCGCTGAGCTGAATCCCCGGCCATGTTTTATTTGGATCAAGTATCTTCAGTACGGTGTCTTTATCCTATTATTTCTCATCAGAGATTTTTACTAACGCACAGGCATCACCTGACTGACTGGTACTGCTAGAGAATTAACCAGAACTCCAGAAAAATAGTACAGTAGGTCTATATAGATGGACTTGACCAGTAATAGTTCACCTTATGATTTGTCAACTTTAAAGTGGTATGAAGATGATAGCAGTCAGAAAAAAATCCTGTGTTTAATTTTTATGTTATTTCCGGCTAGTGATAATGCAATATGATCATCTAACGATATCAGGCAGTTACAGTGACCTGTGACTTCCGGTAAGCCCCATGGTCTTAGAAGAAAACTAACACTCTACAGCCTGCTGTGTTGCTAACTTGTAATGTTCAGTAAGTTAGCTATATTAAGTGCATTTTAACTACTTTTTTGATTTATAGTATTTTCAAATCATAATAGGTTTATTGGGGTGGTTTATGAGAATTAAAATCAATAAGACAGGTACTGTGCCTGATTCAATAAGTATAAGCTTCCTTTCCATGGGCAAGTTATTCTCATCTGAAGGTTGAAGATCTTGAGAAATAATACCTGCATTTAAGGGGCTTACTATGTAGCAGGCAATTTCATAAGTTTTCCATGGTTGATTTAAACCATTGCATCTGCTCTCTGATGTGTATGTTATCCTGGTTGATTTTTATAGGAAACTCAGGCTGGAGCAGCAGAATTACCAATGATCCTACAGCTAGAAGTGTTTGGGACACTAGCTCTGAACCTGTACCTGACTGTGTCCTACTCCAAAGTCAGGGCTCTTAACTATAGCTTTGTCACATCGCTGCTTCTTCTTCTTTTTTTTTAAGTTTTTATTTGTTTGTTTGTTTTGTTTTGTTTTGAGAGATGGGGGATTTTACTATATAGTTTAGGCTGTCCTTGAATGCACTTTATAGCCCAGGTTGGCCTGGAACTCTCACAGATCCTCCTACCTCAACCTCCCAAGTGCTGGCATAACAGGCCTTTGCACCACCACACCTTGCTTTGTCAAATCTCTAATGTTAGTTTGGACAAAGGTGGTATCTATAGTGCCTTCCAGTTCTGATGAGCTACCGTGGAAGATTTTTATTAAATCGTTCAACTTACACAATAAATTGAGAAAATATATTAAGGAAAACATGCAATTGTGTCGAAGAAGCAGTATTTTATTAAGTTGTCTATACTAAAGAGTGTGTGTGTGTGTGTGTGTGTGTGTGTGTGTGTGTGTGTGTGTGTGTATGTGTTCCTGTCTGTTCTGTGCAGCCTGTTCTTAGCCAGTGGTGCAGGGATTTCTTGGTGTAGGAAAACCAGGGAAGCTCAAACGTGTACAGTGATGGTCTGCAGCTTTCCAGAGAGTCTTTAAAAGGCTTGTGATCCAAACAGTTCGGGAAACTAGACTGTTTATATTATCTTAAGTGTGTTCATTCGTATAGATTGGGGAAATAAGGTTTTTGTTATTTGAATGTAACTTTCTAACTAGCGCTTGCCACCATTAAATGGTATCTGTATTAGGTGCTTTTGTTCTGCTACTGAAGTTTAAATGACACTATATTCCATTTTTCTTCAGACCTTTGTCAGGAACAGTTTTTGAAGATGCCTTCTGGCTGGATTTGAATTATCTAGAAGTGGCCAAGGTAGCTCAGTCTTGTGCTGCACACTTTACAGCATTGCTCTACGCAGAAATCTATGCAGATAAGAAAACCATAGATGATCAAGAGAAAAGGTAATAGAATTTAGAGTTATAAGTGTGCAGATTAGGGATCAGCAGTTTACTGGTGCTTTCCGGTCAAGAAAATGAGTCACTTGTTTAAATTTCCTACTCACATTGTTTAATGCAAAAATGCCTCATCGCGAGTGTTCCTGAAGTGTACAGTTTTGTTGTCTTGCTCCTGAGGAAGTATGAGATTTCAGTGTTAGTGCCTGAAGTTATTTTTAGAAAGAAAGAAATTCAGATCTCCTCCAAATAAGATTTAGATAACAAGCATCGATTCATAACCTCAGTTGTTTTACTATTCCTGACAGAAGCCCTGACAACTGCCCTGAATATTCACTACACATGAATAAACTACAACCTTAAATTTACAAAGTCAAACCCACTGGTATCATCTTCCCAACTTTTCACATTTCTGTGCCAGAATTTTTAAAAACATAACATACTCATAAGGAAACTGCATGTGATAGCCAGTGTATAAAGTTACAACGCAAAGTAGAAAGTTGTCAGCAGTACAGTGTCCCCTCTGCCCGTCGCACGAGCTCCTTCCAAGAGTTGTTGTAAATGTTCTTTGAGTTTTTGTGTTTTATTATTCTTTCAGATGATATTTCTGCCCTTTAAAATGAAATGTGGTTTGGTAAATTTGTGAGCTTTAAAAGAAATTATATTTTCATATTCAATTTTTTCATTCAGGATTTAAAAATAAGATTTATCAATATTGTCTGTTTCTCTAATTTTTCACTCCATATGTTGTACTGTTGGTAGATTCCCCAAACTGTCCAATCCATTCACCTATCATTGATGTATATTTTAAGTGTAGAGTCAGTAGGTTAAAGACATATATTTTCAACCATCTAAGAAAGTGCCAAATTGTTTTTTAACACAGCTGTGCCAGTTTGTATCAGAAATGGAGTTGGTAAGGAAGCAGGTCAGTAGAAAGCCTTAATGTTTGAGAGAAGTAGCTAACGTTCACGTTTCTAGTTTAAGTCAAAATGATGAGAAAACAGTTGAAAAAATTTATAGATACTAGAGGCACCATCACATATGACAGATAATATTTATTTTATAAATTGGATTATTTTTATGACATATGATGCAGCTCTCAAGATTTTAAGATTAGGGGCTGGGGATTTAGCTCAGTGGCATAAGCACCTGACGTGCAAGCAGGCAGTCGTGAGTTCGATCCCCGGTACCTATAAAAAAGAAAAAAACACACACACACAAAAAAAAAGATTTTAAGATTGAAGTTACTTACCAAATGTGTTTAGTAATGCTGAATGCATGGTTTAAAGGTAAGGTCTTAAAGAAGAGAAATCTGAGTTTTTACTCTGAGTCCCATTTATTTGTTTTATAATCTTGGATTTAAGTGGATCTTAATGTTCTTTTTTTTTTTTTTTTTTTTTTTTGGTGGAGGGGGGAGTCATATTCAGGACCCCTAATGTTCTATTGTTATCAGATTGCTTAATTTTTGCCAGTTTATCAGGCATTAAATTCTATCTTGTGCTCTTAATTAGTAAGTGTAATCATTAACTAGAACTTATTTAAACAAGGCTTTCTGTGAATGGTTTGGTGTATAACCCTCCCATATATAAATTAAGATATAATTTTCATTCACAGAATCAACAGTCACAAGTTTATAGTCCATAGTCCATCTTCAGTCTTAAGTTTTATTTTAAAGTACAAATTATTCATTGTTTTATTTGTAATCTCCATTAGTTTTTTTGTTAAAGTCTAGAATATATATATTTATAAGCTTTTAAAGAATATGTCCTCATTTTTAAAAATGCTCTTGTGATAAACAGAAGTCTTACATTTGAAGAAGGAAGCCAAAGTACAAGTATTTCTAGTTTGAGTGAAAAAAGTAAAGAAGAAACGGGAATAAGTCTGCAGGTAATATTAGAGGCCCTGTTGTTTGTGACAGTATCTTACCCATGGGATTATTATAATGATGTCATTGGATTTTAAAACTGAGTTTCCGTGTGTGTGTGTGTGTGTGTGTGTGTGTGTGTGTGTGTGTATTCATGATTTGAAGTTAGATCTTCAAGCACACAGACTTGAATTTAAATCCTGACTTAGCCACTTAGTTTTATAATCTTGCACAAATTACTTAACTTTTCTAATCTGAGTTCCCTTATCTGGAAGATGGAAATAAAACCAGATGTCTCATAGGGTGAGTTTGTACCTTGGATTTTCTGCCATAGCACTCTATCCATTTTCTTTAGAACACTTATAGTTTACAGGTTTTTTTTTTTTTTATCAGACACTATGTCTTGGCATAGGTACTAAATGTTCTAATTTTACTTAAAATTACTTGATTTCATGTTTATGAATAGAAAGATAAATTAGAATTAACAAATTGTGCCAATATTGATGAATTTATATTTAGAAAATATTTCCTACAGCAAAAAGCATAAAGGCAGATATATTGCTTGATCAGTTTTTTATGTAATATGTCTTCTCTTTTTTGTGCTTTTTCTTCCCTTTTTATTTTATTGATACTGTTTTGGATAGACTCAGTCTTTCATGCATAAATTTTACAACAAAGATTTCAGTAATCAAACCACTATCTATTATACTGAAACAATTGAGTTTTCTTTCAAAGAAAAACTTGTGACTTTTATTTTTACTAATTTCAGTTTTTAAGAATCAGACTTTGCAGAATTCCATTTTCACATGTATAATTTTATCTGATGGTAATATTTTTCCTTTTGCAATCATTGCATGTGAAATTGTCACTTCTGAGATTCTAAGACAGTTAATTCTACTACTATCATTTTGTTCTGTAAGATCAATTAACTAAGTAGCTTTTTTTTACTTTATAGCACAGCATTTAGAGTTAACAACTATGTGTTGGTAATGATAGAGTTTAAAATTTGCCTAATTTATTCAGTGATTTTTTTTTTCTATGTGGTTATATTTCTGTTTTCAGGATCTTCTCTTAGAAATCTACAGAAGTATCGGAGAACCAGATAGTCTGTATGGCTGTGGTGGAGGGAAAATGTTACAGCCTCTTACTAGGTAAACTGCTTTTTTCTATGTAAGAGTAAGTCTATTTATGAAGGAATTATATGCATATGGAGCCAAAGGGTGTTCTTCAAATGTTTTTTACAGACTTCGAACATATGAACATGAAGCAATGTGGGGGAAAGCCTTAGTAACATATGACCTTGAGACAGCGATTTCCTCATCAACCCGCCAGGCAGGAATAATTCAGGTACATTTTTCTTGCTTTGGTACAGCCATCACTAGTGCGGCACTGATAATATTTCAGTATGTCAGTAGAATATTTAGGCAACGAGAGAAACACAAGAGATATACTTGGAAGTCATCTGTTTTTCAGGCATTGGGGTAAAAACTCAGAGATGTAAAGGAAAACCAAACAGTTCATTGAGTTCATGGATAGTGTAGGTTTATTAATCATAATTTTTGTTAGCTAACCATGGAGGGTTTTTTTGTTTTGTTTTGTTTTTGTTTTTTTTGATACCAGGGATTGAACTCACGACTGCATGCTTACAAGGCAGGTGCTTATGCCGCTGAGCTAAATCCCCAGCCCCCATAAGAGATATTTTTTGAATGTGTGTGGTACGCCAGGTAGTATGTAGTACTTACTCCTTCACGGAAAAGCTCATGTACACTATTTCATACAGTTTTCATTGGCGTCAACCCCTGAAGCTATCATTTTTTTTACGGGTAAGACTCCCAAGCTAATTTTGTGATTTTGAAGAAACATAACCAACTAACCCATATGGGATTGTAAGTGATAATCTTCAGTTTTTTAAAGTTAATTTTTATATTTGCTGCCCTTTCTCTGGTTTTCTGTTGACTTTTAAAAATAATTCCTGTTTAGGCTTTGCAGAATCTGGGACTCTGTCATATTCTGTCCGTCTACTTAAAGGGATTAGATCATGAAAGTAAAGAGCAGTGTGCTGAGCTTCATTACCAGGCTGCGTGGAGGAATATGCAGTGGGACCAGTGCGGTTCTGTCAAGTAAGAACTCTGTCCTTTATTTTTCTTTTTTCACTTAAATTGCCCTTTGCCTCAGTCTAAACAATGGCCTTTAAAAAAAGAAATTCCTATTCTATGAATGCAGTAGTTGCATTTTTTTTATTTTACAGGTTTTAAAATCTACGCATATATCCAAATGCTTAAATAATAGTAAACAGCTAACATACCTTCAATTTCACAGGTTTTGTTCTTTAATGAAGAAAGGCATCTCCATCTTTATCATTTCCCTGTATGTCTGTCTATCTGTCACGGCTGTTTTTTTTTGAGACAGGATCTCATTATGTAGTTCAAGCCATACTTGAATTTACTGTGTGGTCTAGAAGGCTTTGAACTTATGGGAATTCTTCTCCCTCAGTCTCCCGGATGCTGAGATTATAAGTACTTACCATCACACGTGGGCCCAAATATTTTTGAAAACACAATATTAAAGGTATTTCTTGGGAAAATCTTCTCAATCTTGTTGGACTGAAGAATCCAAAAAAAAGTATAGACATTTCTCTTTATATTCCTTGCAACAAACTTGTAGTCAGGTGGCACTTTTATTGATTGAATAATACACAAAGGGCAGGTTTTCTATTTATGAAATATTTTCTTTTATTAAAAAATAGTGCTAGGAAAATAATACTTAAAACCTGTATGTGAGGTCACCATATTTTTTATTTATTTATTTAGTTTTTTTGAGACAGGGTCTTGCTGTGTTGTTTAGGCTGGCCATGGGCTCACTCTGTAGCCCACACTGGTCTCGAACTCACAATGATCCTCCTCCTACCTCAATCTCCCAAATTCTGAAATGACAGGAGTGCACCATCACACCCAGCTTACAAGTTTTGAATGAATAGCCAAACACCTGAAGGGTTTCATTTTGTATAGGGCTTTGTTATTGTTGTTGTTTTGTTTTTTATGGGATTTGTTTTTCATTGGTTTGGCTTGGTTTTGGCTTTGATTTGAGTCAGGGTTTCACCACGAAGTTCAGGCTAGCCTTGAACTCACTATGTAGCCCAGGCTGGCCTTGTCACAGGGAGCCTTGGACGTGCTGGATTTACATGCGTGTGCTACCACACCCAGGGGTTTTATGTAGATTTTTGATACTGGAAACACTAGAAAATGAAATTGTGTTTCATTGCTTTCATAGTAAAACCATTTCACTAATTGAAATGGCTTTCTTGATTTTGAACTATATGATCACTACAGAATTAGTGATTTGCTCATATACTTTTAAAAGATTTTACTGTGAAAGCAGGTTTTGCTTGTCTGTGTAAATCAACATACAGTGTTCTTCTCTTTGCCTGCTGTTTCAGCTGCATAGCCGTCTCTGAATATTTTGATCAGCTCAGGCGATTCCCACATCCACTCCAAATGAAGACCTTAAATGTATTTTTCGGTTTTTCCTAGTTGGAGTGGGGATGCTGCTTCTGTCGTTCAGTCTCTAGTTTAATGAAGTCATGTCTTCATCTTCAGAGAAACCTTTCATGACTCTGCACATCCCTTGCTACTGTGTGCTGTTTTTCTTACTTATTGTGTAGACCAGAACATAAGCCTGTGACACTAGGGACCTGATGTGAGTTGTTCACTAATAGCTGTCCTGCAACTACAACTTGGTTCCTAATGCCTGGCACATAAAAATAAATAATAAATGACATTATATTCAAAACTAGGCAGAGTATCTGAGAAATGTCTTTATTTAATGTTTGAAGAATTTAATGATCCACAAAATTCTTTGTATTTCTTACCAAAATTTTCTAGAAGTGTGTTTTTTAGTTGAAATCTTAATTTTAGTTTAAAAATTTGACCTTTGGTTGCATTATTTGTACATGACTATCTTAAGGTTTTGTTTTTAAATATATATTTTTCTTTGAAATTTTTTGGATTACTTTACAGTAAAGAAATAGAAGGATCCAGTTACCATGAATCATTGTACAATGCTCTGCACTCTCTAAGAGACAAAGAATTCTCCACATTTTTTGAGTGTCTCAGATATGCCAGGTATTGTAAAAAGATAAAGTTATTATTTTTCATCATTTAATGTCATGATTTTTCTCAAAGTTTGAGTAATTTCGATTTAAGGATTTGCAATGATGCAAAGATAAAGTTGATGGGTATGGTCAGTTGTTTTCATGTTGTTCTTGTCAAAAAGTTTTCCTTTACAACTCCATATCCATTTTTTCCCTTAGGCCTTAAAGAAGTTATGATGTTGCCTACTAATTTACTCTTTCAAAGTATCATGAGAATTTTAACCTTGTTTTCTTTACTAGTTACATAGAATTTAGTATCTTAATATTAGAGTTCTAATTTATAAAATGACTGATGGTCTGTGCTTTCAGGCTTGTTTTGAAGCACAAGTAAGATTATCCATGTGGAAGTAATTAACTATAATAAGCCATATATTTATGGTAGATAACATTTGCTACCACTTAGGTGCTTTTTATGTGCTAGCCAATTTGTCAGGTTCTTTCCCTATATGTTCTCTAATCATCAAAATAACTGTGAAAGTGAACATTTTTTGGCTTAGTGAAACCCAATAATAACTCCAAAGTTAGACTTAAGTGGCAGAACTGGGCTTTAGACCTCAGTGTATAATTCCAAGATTAATTTTGTTTCCACTGCTATTGCATATTTATTATTGCTTGTGAATATTAACTATTATTAGGTCGACAGCAGTCCTGTCATGAGAACTTTGTAACCCTAAAGTTGCAGTTTCATCTTTCAGAACATATCTCCTTAAGTTTTCAAAGTATCTTTTTATTTTGCAACTAGAGTCAAAGAAGTAGAAGAATTATGTAAGGGCAGCTTGGAATCTGTGTATTCGTTATACCCGGCACTTAGTAGATTGCAGGCCATTGGAGAACTGGAAAACATTGGGGAGCTTTTCTCCAGGTATGTGATTCATAAGACTTAATGCTAGGGGCTGGGGATTTAGCTCAGCAGCGTAAGCGCCTACTTTGCAAGCAGGCAGTCATGAGTTCAATCCCTGGTACCGATAAAAAGGAAAAAGACAAAAAAAAAAAAAAAAAAAAAAAGACTTAATGCTAAAATGCAGCATGTGACTTACTAAATAAATTAATACATTTAAAGTTTTTCTTAGTTCTTCTTTGTAATGTGGTAAATGTCAATAGATAACAGTCTAAAAATTGAAAGCTCTTTGGGCTCAATAATTTTGAGAATGTAAATGAGTTTCTCGAACTGAAATGTTTGTGATCTGTTCTTCTTTGGTCATTTGGGAACAAAATGAAGGTTTGGTTCTTGTGAATTTCTGTACCAAGCGACAAAAGAGCATTTATTTCCTAGTCGTCACCTAATTATCTTTCTACTTTCCTTGATTTGACTTTTTTTCCCTCTCAATACAGTAGTCCTGAAGGATTAGGCAATGTTGCTTACTTTAACCTCTGGGAAAAATGTTCATTATATGGCCTTTCTGCTGACTGCTTAGAGGTCTGACCTTATAATATTTTGTGATTTTCTAAAAATAAATTCCACAATGCCTTTGTATTGTGTCTTACATATCACAACATGCATAATTTGCTTCACCACTCTTGCTTACATAAACTTTGTGGTTTGGCTTTCAGGTCAGTCACAGATACACAGCTCTCTGAAATGTATATTAAGTGGCACAAACACTCCCAGCTTCTCAAGGACAGTGATTTTAGTTTTCAGGAGCCCATCATGGCTCTGCGTACAGTCATTTTGGAGATCCTAATGGAAAAGAAGATGGAGAGCTCCCAGATAGAATGTTTTAAGGACATTCTTACCAAACACCTTGTAGAATTCTCTATTCTGGCACGAACTTTCAACAACACTCAGGTAAATAGGATTCAGAGTTACGTCAACTTACCTCTCGCCCTTTCTTTTTATTACTCAAAAAATAGAAGGCATAAGTGAAGAACAAATGTCAGAAATAGAGACCACTATCATAAAGTATAACTATTTAAGATTTCTCATGTTGTTCCAGGCATGGTAGCCCATACCTCTATTCCCGGCAGTTTTGGAGGGAGGTAAAAGGATTGCAAGTTCAAGTCCAGCCTGTGCAACTTAGCAGAACTGTCTCAAAATGAAGATACAAAATGAAAAGGAGCTGAGGATAGAGTTCAGTGCAAAGGTTAAACCCCCAGTACCACAAAAAGAAAAAATTAAAAAAAATTATTACCCATGTTACAGTTAGACAAGATGTGTGCAAATCCTGGGCAAGGTACTTATCTTCTCTTACCCTCAATTTCCAGGTGTAAAATGAAAAGATGCCTAACTAAGTGCATTGATAATTACTTAGGGATTTGACACAAAGAAAGCAAGCAGAGAGATACTTGACAGTCTCAAGCAAATAGTGAAGTTCTCCACATATAATAATGGTTGCTTTCATTAGTAATAACAGGAAGGGCTGGAGACATAGCTCAGTAGTCTAGGTACCTGCCTGCCAGCATAAGGTCCTGACTTTGATTCCAGGTCCCCCCTAAACCATGAGGGGAAGTTGAGCTTCCAGTGCGTTTGCTTTCTGTTGGTAATAATAGTAGTGATACTAACAATATTTATTTACATCTTTTCATTTCAGCTCCCTGAAAGAGCAATGTTTCAAATTAAACAGTATAATTCAGCTGTTTGTGGAGTCTCTGAATGGCAGCTGGAAGAAGCCCAAGTATTCTGGGCCAAAAAAGAACAGAGTCTTGCCCTGAGTATTCTCAAACAAATGATCAAGAAGTTGGATGCCTGTACACAGGTTTGGTAGTTCCTTTTGTCTCAGTTTTTCATTATTGCCTGAGTTATTATTTTACAGTTATTTTGAAAGTTAAACTATATAGATATGAAAAGGTATATGAAAAATATTATTTGTAAAGAAATTTTTGAAACTTTTTCTTATTTAGAACAAGTCTATCATTTCATATTGTGATAGATTTGTTTAGTTTGTCCCATTTTTCCTCTAGAATTCAATAGTATATGGAGAAAATATGACATACCTACTACAAAGTTGAAATAGCAAATACAAAAATAGAAGAGGAAATTCATGAAAGAACACTAGTAGGAAAAAATAGAACAAATTGGAACAATCAGATTGTCATTGCAAATACTTTTAAAGAATATCTAATATTTAATTTAACATCCCCTATCAGTTATTCCAAACTTGTGTTGGCCACTTCAACTGTATTCCCAGCATATGATGGATAGAATGGAGGTATCCATTTGTAGAAATCATGACATGATCAAAGGTTTAGTGACAGTGGTGTCCCTCACACATACCTGTGGAGTGAATCTCAGCTTACTTGACTTTTGAAAGTAAGTTGTGTACGTGTATGCCAGTCCTCCATTATTAGAGAATTCATCATTATACCAAAGCACTGGGTACCAGTATGTTTTCAAACGTTGCTTAAGAGTATGGGCCCTGAAGTATGGACTGTCTGAAAGTTACTCACTTTGTTTGTACTTCGTTTTTCTCATGTGCTAATGGGGGATAATAACACTGCTCAGTTTATAGGACTCCTCTCAGGATAAAGTGGGTTAATATAAAGTTGTTACAAAGTGTCTTGCATCAGACCCAGCCCTGCATACCTGCCACTACTGGGACACTTGCTTCCTGCAGAACCAGTGAGGCAGGGAGAAACAGCCAGACCCACTCCTGCATGGCTGCTGACGTCAGGACACTTGCTTACCTCAGGTAACCAGCGTGGGCAGGGAGAAACAGTCACATATGACCCATGCAGGCCAACATAGGAGACACTTGCTCCCTGTGGGCAGCCAGCGAAGCCAGCAGAATCAGACAAACTTGTCCATGTGCACCTACTGCCACCGGAGGGGGTCCCATGTAGTCATGCAGGCTAAGAAAAAAAGCAGTCCTGCTACCACACAACCGTAGCTTCAGGGAAGCCTCCGTGTTGCCACACGGGTCTGGAGGACCCTGTTGCTCACCTTACTGCCTCCCCAGGAACCTAGGTTTGGAGAAACCCAGTTGCCTGTCCCAGTCCCCTACATTGGAGGGGCAGCCAACTCAGGAAGTGCCTGGGACCCCACAACCGGCTTGTTTGGAGGAACCCAGGAGAATGTTAAGATGAAGAAGCAAATGGCAATGTCAGACCTCCAGCCCACACAGAACAAGTTTGGGAGATACAGATATGGAAGAAAATGGAAGTCACACATCTGAAATCTCTAAATGGATAGCAACTGAAGAAACAACTTTATGAGGCAGTAAAAATAATCAGATCAGAAATATCTTAGATAAAAGAAGAATGACAAACATAATAAAAGAATTGCTGAGCATATCTCAAGAAGATATAGATTTTTTAAAAAGAGCATAGGAAAATGATGGAAACCTTGAATAAACACTTTGAGAGGAATTACAGTGCATGAAGCAGATTCAAAGAGATACAAGTATCCAAGAAATTAAAAACTCCTTTGGAAGCTGGTCAAACCACTTGAAAGAGACTAAAGATAGACTCAGACCTTGAAGACAGGATTGTAGTTAACAATTGTGAAAGGAAAGATTTTTTAAAAATAACAAGGGACCAGGAAATAATAATTCAACAGCTGCAAGATAATGCAAAGAAAAATAAAGACTTAAAAGTGTCAGCCAAAAAGCAGGGGTCAACACAAATTACATAAAAAGATTATTTATGAAGTGATAGCAGAAAACTTCCCAAACAGGGGGAAAGGATCTGGCACACAGACAAGTGGGCATATAGAGCTCCAATTAGCCATAACCAAAATAGATCTATACCCACATATAATAATTGAGATCTCAGAAATTCAACACAAGAACAGAATATTAAAGGCAACAGAGAAAAGAAACAGATTACCTATTAAGGAAAACCAATCAGAATCACGACAGACTTCTCAACATAAACCATCAAGTCAAGAAGAGGTTGAAGTATTTGAAATCCTGAAAAAACTTCCAACCCAGGTTGATGTACCCTGCAAAACTATCTTTAAAAAGTGATGGAAAAATAAAATACTTCCATGATAAAGAACATTTGAAGCAATTCATGACCAGCAAATCAGCCCTACAAAGAGCAACAAAGGATATTCAAGAGAGATAAAGATTTTGACCATGGTTCCAGGAACAGCAGCAGAGGACGATAGCCAAACAGGGGAGGCACCTGAATGAAGGGGATGAAGGGTGACCAGTACCAGGAGGATAGCATAGCAGAGATGAGCCATGCTAGTTGTAACCATTAATGTAGATGGCCTCAAATCACCAATAAAAAGAAACACAGGGCAAGTGGATCAAGAAACAAGATCCATCAATATGCTGTATACAAGAAACACATTCAGCTGGAAAGGAAATTCATAGACCAAAAGTCAAAAGAGAGAAAACAATGTTCCATGTGATAGGAAAAAACCAGGGACAGCTTGCCCATGAACCACAGAATGGATAAGAAAGATTTTATACAATGGAAAGCTACTTAGCCATAAAGAAGGATAATCTCAACAAGGCTCTTGTAGGTAAATGGATGCAACTTGAGATCATGCCCATGGGTGAAATCGTTCAGACTCAACTGGGTAAATACTGTGTTATTTCCCTGGCATAAAAACTGAAGGAGTTAGATCCAAAATGTACAATAGATGTTGTGAAAGTGATAGGGGAGGAAATGTCTAAAAAAAGGAAGGTGGTAATCACTGCTAATTTCCTGTTAGATTGTTTTGATCTCCTGTATCATTTTCATTGTTTTCTTAGGTTTGGTTTTTTTTTTGTCTTCTTTTGTTTGATTTTATTATGTCTGATGATATGGGCAGCTATTTTGAAGATAACAAGATATATTATGGTAGCCATTATTGATTTTCTGTTGTCTGGTTTTGAAGTTCTGTAACATATTCATTGTTTTGTTTTGATTTGTTTTATTCTGTTTTGTTTGATTTTATTATGTGTGATGGTATGGACAGCTATTTTGAAGAAAATAAAGAGGTATTAGGGTAGCTATTGTTGATTTCCTGTTATCTTGCTTTGAAGTCCTATATTGCTTTCATTGTTCTGTTCTTATTGGTTTTATTCTGTTTTATTTTGTTTGGTTTTCTTCTCTTTAAAATAAAATAACTTTATCAATGTACCGTGCATATATAGTAGTTGAATGCATTAGGTTATTCCAGTGATGATGATAATTAAACAGTACGAGATGATTATTTCATTAACTCAAATACTTGGGATTATATTTAAAAGGTAGTTACATGGTGAAATAAGATGGGGGGCAAAGCCCTTCAATTTGCTTTTCCTCCCTACGTGGACAACATTTTTGTATAATCATGGTAATAAGTTGCATTTTGTAATTTTGCTTTTCTTAAACAGAGTAATTCAAACCTTAAACTTATATACACAGAATGTCTGAGGATTTGTGGCACCTGGTTAGCAGAAACATGCTTGGAAAATCCTGCAGTCATCATGCAGACCTATTTAGAAAAGGTAAGATTTTGGTGAAACTCACAACTTCTCACCATGACCAAATGTATCTCGGAAGCAAATCAAAGTATGGCTTCATTCCTTCACATACTCTTCCTGCTGGACCTCTGTATGAACTTTAAAACAGAGTACTAACATGAAAGTAACCTCAAGCATACCTTGTCCTCTTCCTCATTTCTATCTCCAACTACTCTTTCAGTAAATTGTTTGTTACAATTTTTCTCCTTTTTTTTTTCCCCTCTTTTTTTTTTTTCTCCCCCTGTACCAGGAATTGAACTCCAGGCAGGCACTGTGCCACTGAGCTACATCCCTGCCCCTTCTCCTTCTCATCATCTATAAAAGAAGCTGATTAAGGAATATGCCATGTGTATAGTGTAGCCACCCACTGATAATGCCTAGGACTTATTCTTTTAGTTTGCTAATTTTGGAAATATAGTTGCCACTTCACTAAATAACTACAACATGAAAAGTATGGTGGTTGTGATCATTTTAAACTTTAAAGAGCTTTTGCTTTGCAGTTTTTTTCAGAGAATAACTGTTACAGTTATTCGAACATTGTCAGAGTTGTCTTGTAAGTCAAGAGAATCTGTCCTTCATATAATTTAGCTTTTGAGTACGTAAATTAATGTTTAATATGAGTTTACCTTGATCTCAATAATACTTTAAATGTGGTTAGTATTTTAGAATATAATTTAAGTGAATATGTTTTCTTGAAGGCAGTGCAGATTGCTCGAAGTTATGATGGAGAAAGCAATGATGAGCTCAGAAATGGAAAAATGAGAGCTTTTCTTTCATTAGCAAGGTTCTCTGATACTCAGTACCAGAGAATTGAAAACTACATGAAATCATCAGAATTTGAAAACAAGCAAGCTCTCTTGAAACGGGCCAAAGAGGAAGTCGGCCTCCTAAGGGAACATAAAATTCAGACCAACAGGTAACTAAATGTCTACAAGAGGCAACTTCACATTCATCAGTTAACTGAGTGCTAAATGTTTTTGCAAAAAAGGGTGACTTGAAACTTTTTCTTACGTTTCTGAGCACTAAAACTTGGCTTAAGTACAGATAGATTGTCTTGACCCCATAGTAGTTAATCATAACCTAAATCATTACACAGTACCCTGACTCTTTTATGCAGAATTCACTCCCTGGTTCTAAGCTCCTTGTGGATGTAGAGATGTTACATTTTGGGTATTTTTTTAATTATTGTTGAAAAAGAGAGATACTGAAATAAATACAGAAGACTGGTCATTTTTGTTCAGATGAAGTTCTTTTATTTAAGCCTAGTTTAGGTCTGTATGTTTTAGAATAAGTAATAAATTAAGTTAAATAATTGAATGGAGTCTACTTTATCTTTGCGTGCCTAGAACGCTGTGAATTGCACAGTTATGATGAAAATAAATTTGTTTCCTTTACAGTCCTTAGAATTTTGCTTTTTCTCCTGAGATAATTGATTTTTCATGTATGTTGAATGTCAAGAATGTTTCTGTAGTTCTGTAAAATTTTATGACTTTTGTGTTTTCCTTTAATTATCTAATTCAAGATACACGGTAAAGGTTCAGAGAGAGCTGGAGCTCGATGAGTGTGCCCTCCGTGCATTGAGAGAGGATCGTGAACGCTTCCTATGTAAAGCAGTTGAAAATTACATTAACTGTTTATTAAGTGGAGAAGAGCATGATATGTGGGTGTTTCGACTTTGTTCCCTATGGCTTGAAAATTCTGGAGTTTTTGAAGTTAATGCCATGATGAAGGCAAGTCTTACTCAACCTAACATTTAAGCTTGTGTTTTGAAGATTTAGCTATAAAGACCTTTGAGGTCCAGTTTTGTATACTTCTTTGTATATCCCTAGCAGTTGACTGACTGGTGTATTTGTAGGTATTTATTTGGTAAAGTCTCAGTGATACAGGTTTGTATGGAGGTGAATTTATGTCAGGGATTTTGATATGTTTGCAATTGACACAGGAGAGTATATAGAATGGAGTACTGGATTGGGGAATTCAGAAGGCGGTTAAAAATGATGGATCACAAGTGCATTTTTTTTTCCTCCTATTATGTGCTTTTGGGGAATTAGAATTACCTCTAAATGGAAAAAAATTAAGAATATAAAACAGTAATATTTCCTAAGGTTTATTTTTAAAATGTTAGATTGGCAATGACCCCTAATATTAAAGGTATATCAGCAAGATGTATGTTGTCAGTTGATTTGAAGATTAAAGGTACAGTAATTCTCTTGGTTTAAAAAATAATAAAAAGACAATAGATAACAACTAACCTCTGCTATGGTGCAACTCAATCATGTTACTTTTCACATGTAGAGGAAAACAGTTACTCCATTACTTCCCTGACTTCTCAGGAGTCACATTCACAGTAGGATTCAGAGGTACGTTTGTCCTGGTTGGAGGCACTGGAATATGAGCAGTGCCAAGCATATCGATGGAGACTACAATTTAATTTAGCAACAAATATTTTCACTTATCATTGAATTAACCTCAGATATTCATTAGAAAGACCTTTAGATAGGCTAAGTGGCAAATTAAAAAATGAAGTTAGTGAAATTTTATTAACTGCTATGTGGGGCTAGTAGAGGAACATTATTTTAGAATAAGTTGTTTTCTTAGATGTGAGAATATTTGAAATGTATTATTTCTTAATTTTGCATTATTTTAATGTTAGAAAGACGGAATGAAGATTTCGTCATACAAGTTTTTACCTCTTATGTACCAACTAGCTGCTCGAATGGGGACTAAAACGATGGGAGATGAAGGATTTCATGAAGTACTCAATAATGTGAGTAGATCTAAAAATCAAAACACAATAATTGATTTCTTTTATATTACTATGTACTGTATAAAGCAAATACTGACGCTTCTTCCAGGAAATGGAAGTACACATTTTTATATGTATTCTCTTACTCCACATGTTTCTTTGTGTCTTATTCCTCATCTCTGGCCTCTCTGGCTTTCTGATATGGGTTGAAATACAAATACTGCACCTACTACAGTGTGTAGACAGTAACATGTATTTTGATACTAAGTACAATGAAGAATGTGGTTTTCTATTGTTTTACTGTGAATAGAACTAATAATTCTTCATTTTCTGACAGCTCATCTCTAGAATTACAATGGATCACCCCCATCATGCTTTATTTATTATATTGGCTTTAGCAAATGCAAACAAAGATGAATTTTTAACCAAACCAGAGGCAGCAAGAAGGAGTAGAATAACTAAAAATGTGCCAAAACAGAACTCTCAGCTTGATGAGGTATTTGGATTACACATAAATACTTTTTTGAGTTGTGGTATTCTTTCCCAGAATATTCCTTTAAGCCTTCAGGGATTTTAGTAATGTATGCTGATACTTGTACTTCATTTTAAATTCTTTGGTATTATGATGATACCTAAAATTAGTTTAGAATTCTGAATGTTTCTCACAACCAGAGATATCAATAGTTTACCTTTTTTGCTCACAGAAAGGAGCCAAGGGAAAAAATAGATTTTTGAAAGGTACCCTAAGTGATTGGATCAAAGTATAACTTGAGATTGTATAGAAATGTATAATATTTTTTGGCTTTATTAATAGGATCGAACAGAAGCTGCAAACAGAATAATACATACCATCAGAAGTAAGAGACCTCAGATGGTCAAGAATGTGGAGGCACTTTGTGATGCTTATATTATATTAGCAAACTTAGATGCCAGTCAGTGGAAGACGCAGAGAAGTATGTCTTTGAAAGCATGAATGTTGCTACTCCTACTTCAGTGCCATTTCTCAGTTTGCAGTTGTCACTGAAATATCTTTATTTTTATATACAGAAGGCATCAACATTCCAGCAGATCAACCAATTAATAAACTTAAGAATTTAGAAGATGTTGTTGTTCCTACTATGGAAATTAAGGTAACTTAGCATTGACTCAATTTTTTTTTAATTATGCTGAATTTAACTTCATTAGATTGAAATAGTCTTTCTATGTAGTGAACACTGATGAAATAGTGACAGTTTCATTTGTTTCAACCTAGAGGTTTTCTGTATTAGATTCCCTATGCCCAAACCTGGAAATAATCAGAGGCTTCTGCTTTTTCTTTGCCTTCAAGTTCTGCACCTCCTGTCTTTCTCATGAAAGTGTGCAGTCTGTTGTTTTCACTTTGCAGAAAAAGGAAAATTTCCATGTAGTTATACTATACTAATTTTTGACTCAGCAAGAATATCCCTAATTATTTTTTTAAAATTTTTGTATATTAGCTGTGATGTATTACATGATTAAATAATACAGTATGTAGTAGGTTGAGTATGCATGATACATTTAGCTATGTTATAATGATCTTCTATTGCTGTGTAGGCAGGGATATATATTTAATAATATGGTTATGGTTTGCAACATGATCATTTGAAGCACACTGTCAGTCTCTCAGGTGTATACTCGAGCCTCCAGTACGTGTTGTCACCGAATTTGAAATGTGGCTGCATCATGTGTTTTAACTGGTGTGCTTCCAGCTCTATCAGCTACTTCACTGAGCTAGCTTTTTCCTGCAAAAGCTGGAGTTAGTAATTATGATGTAGAAACCTTCCCTCCAGCCTTTCCAAAATTTTCCTAATGTTTTCGTGAGGAATTATTTTGTAGATGACTTAACATACGTACATGACAACACTGAAAAACAGAAATTATTTTTCAGTAGTTTCTCAGTGACACTATTTTAACTTGGACTTAGAAAAGCAAATTCATTATTTTTGTGTAACTCCTAAACCCTTTCCACTGTTACATATCTTTCATTAAACAGAAACTAAGGTTTTAGCCCCGTACCTAACCCTAAGCACAGGGTCCTTCATTCTCCTGTGACGCCTTAAAATTCCCAGTTAGGGCAGGGATGTATCCCAGTGGTGCAGTGCCTGTCTAAACATGAAGCCCTGGTTTGATTCCTGGTACTAAAATATAAAAAATAAAATTGCCATTTAAAATTGATTTTTCGTTAAATGTAAATAATACATTTGACCTATTCTTACGTTTTTTATTAGGTGGATCCCACAGGTGAATATGGAAATCTGGTGACAATCCAGTCATTTAAAACAGAATTTCGTTTAGCAGGAGGCTTAAATTTACCAAAAATAATAGATTGCTTAGGTTCTGATGGCAAGGAAAGGAGACAGCTTGTCAAGGTGAGAGTTTTTTTTCTGGTGTAGTCCCCTATTTGGTTAATAACATCAAAGTCAAATTTTTCATATTATTTTTTTCATTCATTATATGGGTCTCTTTATTTTGAATATCTATGAGGAACATTTGTGGAATATGAATGTGTTGTTTTCTAAAATCAGAAAGTTTGTCTCTTTTTTTATCTAAAAGGCTGTCATTATTATACAGTTGACTCAAATAAAATAATATTGTTAACATACAAAAATCTGGTAAGGTGAACAGTCAGCTTGATTGTTAGAAAAAATCTGTGGTAGTTCTTATTTCCATGATTAGAACAAGATGAAGGCGTTTGCCTCTAGTTCTGTGCCAGACGCTAAGAGACAGCTTGGGTGCTGCTGGGGAGCAGTGAAGAGACGCAGCCCTGTCCCACGCAGGAGTTCTGCAGTGTGCCGTTAGGTGGGAGAATTTAGTTATTCTAGTTACAGAAGGAGCCAGGGGAATCTTTTCTATCATTCTGCTCACTAGTGAAAGAATACTAATAGAGCTTAAATATTTAAGACTGTAAAGATGGTCAGATTGACTTGTGAGTGCCTTTTGCTATCCTGATGCAGCTGTGTGTTTTCATAATAAAGTGAACTGTGCTTATTCATGCTTGGTTATTTTGAAGGGCCGTGATGACTTGAGACAGGATGCTGTCATGCAGCAGGTGTTCCAGATGTGTAATACACTACTGCAGAGAAATACGGAAACTAGGAAGAGGAAATTGACTATCTGCACATACAAGGTAATTAGTTTGTATTCAGTTGCTTCACCAAAAAAAGATGCCATTGCTTGGACCAATGATCAGCAAGTGTTTTCTGTGAAGGACCAAGTAGTAAACAGTAAATATTTTAGGTTTTTTGAGTCTCTATCATATAATTTCTATTTTTTCTTTGTGACCTTGCAGCTCTCAAGGGCCATTTTTAGCCACAGGCTATAAAAAAATAATTGATGCTGGCTTTGGGTAAAAGGCTGACATTGCCAAACTCTGAGTTAGAAAATATGATTTTTAAAATTTTCTTTAAAATATTCATTAATTATGGGTAGTATTTCTTATATTCAACTATGATATTTCTCCCAGTCTTTCTTGTACTTAGCAGTATATTGAACAGTTTTTACTTAACAGTTGTACTGTGTGTGAAGAGGGATATTTTTACAGATTCTTACCAGTGGATTTTTGAGTTGCTTTGATTCTAGTGCTACTCCAAACAGTAATGCTTTCCAGTGAATAACCTTAGGCATAACAATTTCATCCGTGTGGTGATGAACCTGAGGCATAAATTTCTAAATTGATGGGTTGCAAGATGCAACCTGTTATTTGGTAGGTATTGCCAAGTTACCATCAATGGTAGGTATAGCCATTTATATTTCTTCTAATAATTTGCCTGAAAAGATAATCACACCTTAATAGCTTTATTTATCTCTTGCATTAATTACTATGTTTTTATTTTCATCTGAGGGTTTTTTGTTTGTGTTTGTTTGTTTGGTTTTTGGTACCAGAGATCAAACTCAGGACTTTGAGCTTGCCAGGCAGACACGTATGCCTCTGGGCTAAATCCCCCGCCCTATGTTTTCGGGTTGTTTTTTTTTTTTGTTTTTTGTTTTTTTTTTTTTGTCTTTTTCCTTTTTATCGGTACCGGGGATCGAACTCACGACTGCCTGCTTGCAAGGCAGGCGCTTATGCCGCTGAGCTAAATCTCCAGCCCCATGTTTTCAGTTTTTGAGACAGGATTTTGCTCTGTAGTCCAGGCTGGTCTTGCACTTGTGCATCAGCCTCCCAGGTGTGGGATTATAGACATGTATCACTGTGCCTTACAATCTATTCATTTATCTTATCTTTAAGAAATAATAAACCTCATTTTGAAGGGCCCTGGATTTGATCCTCAGCACTGCAAAAATAAGTAAGAGGTCAATAACAATAAATTGACTTCAATTTTACTGTATTTATGGACAGTACATACTAAATGTATACTAAAACTCTAAAGATTATTGAATAAGATGAAAAATGTTATTGTCTGTGGAAATGATAGGATTATAAACAACATCTGCTCTTTTATCTATTTCTAGTTTTTCAGAGTGAATTCTTTTTTAGAAAAATAATTTCTAAACTAAAAATCCCCAAATAAAAATATGAGGAAAAGGAAATTCATGAGGTCTCCACAACTATGAGTCACTCTGTTGTAACTGAAAGGAGAACATAAGCTTCGAGCTTTTTAACTGCTTTCAGAAACAAATTACAAAACAAATTGTTGTTATAAGGGAAGGGGAGAAACTATTCATCAGTAAAAATGGTTTTTTCTGAGAACAGATGCCTGTTGTGTCTCAATATATGTGTCTCTTTTTGACAATATACTCTGACACCTGAGGTTTGGAGACCTCGTTTTGAATTGTGAGCATAACCATTTATAGAGGCCTAGGTCCCAGAATTGGGAATGACTCCACAGAAGAGCTGGCCTAGGGACACACCAGGAGAACTACACTTTTTGCTAGCTTTTAAGTTTGCAAGCAGTTTTTGACATGAAACTTTATGAAACATATAATAGACGTATTCCATTAAGAATTTTGAAAAATAGTTTGTCCTCAGTGAATGTTAAATGCAAAATTTAAGTATCTGTGAAAGCTATTCTGTAGAAGTGCTACTTTTTCTATGTAGTTTAGATTAGTAGTATTCAAACTTTAGCAGACATCATACTAACTTAGTTTATTAAAACACAGATTGCTGGGGCTGGGGATTTAGCGCAGCGGCATAAGCGCCTGCCTTGCAAGCAGGCAGTCATGAGTTCGATCCCTGGTACCGATAAAAACGAAAAAGACAAAACAAAACACAGATTGCTGCCAGGCATGGTGGCACATACCTATAATCTCAGCACTCTTCAAGGCTGAGGCAGAACGATTGCAAGTTTAAGCCAAGCCTGAGTAACTTAGTAAGACAGTATCTTAAAATAAAACATAAAAAAGGCTTAGTACATGTTAATCTGACTTAATTATAGGACAAAATCGATAAGACATTAGATGTCTCCTTAGAAAGTAGATGTTCTATACTGTGAATGCAAGGAGATTTTTATGCTCTAAATGTTGGGCTTTTAGATCACAAAGCTGATGATGGAAGAATTAGATTATACTGAATAACAAAACTGTGGACTTCAGGAGGATCACCTGTTTCCAAACAGATATATAATTGAACCTCCAAAAATTATTAGTATAAAGCATGAGAGAAAGTCTTGACCTAGAAGATTTTGAAAATAAACTTGCATCTTTACCTCATCACTTTCTCTGTGTGAAAGCTTTGCACAGAACTATTTCACAAATTATTAAGAGATCTATAAAGTGGATATATCTGCATATTAAAGTGCAGTCTCTATCACAGGGTGTGGCTTTGACTTGATTATTTAGAATTACAATATTAGACAGATGTAACGGTTACTTTCAGATGGCTCCAAAAAGGGGAAAATTGTATCATTAGTATGTTGAACCAGCCTTCAGTTGAGGTTCTTGGAGTGCTGTTGGGAAGTTGTATAGCTATTCTGAGACTTCTCTGAGATTATTCCCAATCCTGGGATAAGTCCTCTTGTGATCCTTATGTTTCACATTGACAACATGAAACTAGGACTTGTTATCCACATCACTTATATCAATATGCATCATCAAAGGTAGACATTTACATATAGAGGCACACCAGATACATTTGGCAAAGAGAATCAAGTCGACGTGTAGACAAAACTCTTACTCCATATACTGGTGATTCACATATAGCTGGTGACATTAACCAAAATAGTATGGCCAGTCCAATATTTCTTCACCAAAACCACCCTTTTTTTTTTTTTTGGTACTGGGAATTGAACTCTGAACCTTGCACTTCCAAAATCAGTCTGTTACAGTCTAGGCCTAAAGTCTTAGATGTTTAGATAAGTTTTCCAAAATGAACAACTCTTATAATAAACAGTGTGCTTGCATTTACCTGTCATGTACTAATAAATTATTTGTGGTGTGTATTTAACAGTATTCTGATTAGTCTCACAAATAAAAATAAGGTTCCCCCCAGTCACTTGCCAAGATACTTTAGGGAGTAATCAATATAAAAGAGATCTTTAGTGGATTACTACAGTGCAACGGTGTTCATGTGATCAAGTCTTAAACACAGCTTAGAGTCAAAGATAGGGATAGATTTCCTGGAAGGAGGCATTTAAATGAACTTAGGAAGGAAAATCATTTGGAAAGGCTAGGAGATCATTCATTTATTTAATAAATGGTAATTTACATGCCTACTATTTTGTGAGAGTGTTTGTAGTTACAAGGGATATAAAAGTAATAAAACATCACCTTTGGACTTAAGTTCATATTCATAAACATGTAAACATGTTTCTTTTCTTTCTTTTTTTTTTTTATCGGTACCAAAACTATGTAACAAACTCATGACTGCCTGCTTGCAAGGCAGGTGCTTATGCCCCTGAGCTAAATCCCCAACCCCCATAAACATGTAAACATAATACCAAAGATATCGTTAGGGCTAGTGCCCTTCATGCTATGGAACATGGTGGCAGCAGGCCTACAGCAGAACAGGTCAGGAAGGTCGGTGGAGATTTTTAGACTGGACTCTAGTTCTGTAGTCCTAGTCTTTTGCTCTTTGGACAGCTAGCTGTTTATAATAATACCCAGTTTTTCCCTCTTAGTGAGTCTGTAGAAGATGACTTGTTACCTCACATGTAATCTTATTAAACAACTGGTTCCTGAAAAGATTAGTTACATTAAAAACTCAATAAAGTAGAATTCTAAAGTAGAATTTGATTAGTCAGGGGCTGGGGGTTTAGCTCAGTGGCATAAGCACCTGCCTTGCAAGCAGGCGGTTGTGAGTTCGATCCCTGGTACTGATAAAAAGGAAAAAGACAAAAAAAAAAAAAGAATTTGATTAGTCGCTTCCAGTGTCAAAATATCCCAAATCAAAGCAACGTGCTCTTTTCCTCTCAGTAAACGGTACCACCTTCACTCAGTTGATCAAACTATAAAACTGAGACTCTCTACGTTCTTTTTGAGTTTTATTATTATGGAAAATTTCAAACTTAAAAGGAGACCATAAGATAGCCTCCTTGTATGCATCACCCAGCTTAAACAGTTACTGGCTCGTAGATAGATTTGTTCCCTTCCTGCTTCTGCCTATTCCCCTTCCATATTATTCTTTCAATCAGATTTTTATTGGCACATTTTATTTTGTTTTTCTTTTTTTTTTTTTTTTGTCTTTTTCCTTTTTATCGGTACCAGGGATCGAACTCACGACCACCTGGTTGCAAGGCAGGTGCTTATGCTGCTGAGCTAAATCCCCAGCCCCGTATTGGGACATTTTAGATACACATAATGATCACATTCATTGTAGAAACCTATACCTAAACATGATAAAACTTTTTTCCCATTCCTCCCCTTCCCTTTGAGCTCTCCTCCATTCCCTGTTTACAAAAGCTTTGCTCCATTTTTTCCTTTTCTCATCTTTTTTTGCACTTCTGTCTTTTCTCCCACCTCTTCTCTTCTTCCCCTCCCCATTTGAACATATTCTTCCTATTTCATAATACCTTGATACATTTAGGTCTTTATTTATACTTTCAGCTTTTCACACCAACGAAGCAATGTGTTATTTACATGTATGTTACTTACATACATGTTTACAAAGTTATTTACATGTATGTCCAACTTAATTCACTTAAGCATCTGGTCTCAGGCTGCATCCATTTACCTAGAAATGTCTTCAGTATGTCCTTCTTTTTGGCAGAGGAGTACTCTGTTGTAGAAAAAAACATGTCTTCTTTATGCTTTCACCAGTGAACAGTCATTTGGGCTGTTCCCAAGATTTAGCTATTGCAAACTGTGTGTCTATATACATGAGTGTGCATATATCACTGTGGTATGATGCTTTTAATTCTTTCTGGGAGATACCAAGGAGGGGAATTAGCTGGGTCGAATGGAATTTCTAGTGGTAGCTTTCTGAGGAATCTCCACACTGATTTCCACAGTGGTTGCACCAGTCGTCATTCCCACCAGCAGCGGAAAAGGGTTCCTTTTTCCCCACAGCTCTGCTAGCATTTGTTATTTTTGATTTCTTGATAGCCATTCTTTCTGGAGTAGAGTGGAACCTCAGCTTTATTTTAATTTGTACCTCTCAAATGACCAGTGATGCTGAACATTTTTTCATAAGTTTATTTGTTGTATCTCTTCATCTGAAAGGTGTGCCTTTCATCTCAGGGGCCTCTTTTTGGATTGGGTCTTTAAATTTGAGAGGGTCTTATTTTTTTTTAGTTCTTTATGTGTTCTTGGTAATAATCGTTTATCTGAGAAATACTTGGCAAAATGTTTTTCCCTGTGGGTTGTCTCTTGACTGTTGGTTTCTCTTGCTGTGCAAAAGCTTTTTAATACGATGAGTTCCCAGGTGTAGATTCTTTGTGGTAATTCCTGTAGGGTTTTTTCATAAAATCTTTGTCTATACCGATGTCTTCTAGAGTTCTACCTATTCTATCTTCAAGGAGATTTAATGTTTTGTTTAATATTTAGATCTTTGGTCGATTTTGATTTTAGTTTAGTGTATGGTGAAAAATATGGCCTCATTATTTTTATGTAAGATGTCATGGATCTCTGAATACTATAGTATATAAAGATTTATAAAATATTGTGCCTTTTTTTTTTTTTTTTTTTTTTTTTTTTTTTTTTTTTTTTTTGTCTTTTTCCTTTTTATCGGTACCGGGGATCGAACTCACGACTGCCTGCTTGCAAAGCAGGCGCTTATGCCGCTGAGCTAAACCCCCAGCCCCAATATTGTGCCTTTTAAAAACTGTAATCACTCAAAACTTTGAAAAGAGTAGAAATTCCTAATATCACTAATTATTACTTTATATTTTCTTTCTCAAATCTCGTCTTTTCCATTGTCACGTACTGGTTTACTTGAAGTCAAGTCACTTTTCACCACTTCTGCACTATCAGCCTAGTCCAGCAAACCCTTCTGTCTGGATACTAAGCATTAGTATCAAACTAAGCATTTCCTTCTGTTCTTGGCCCCCAGAAGCAAGTTCTTTTCACAACACAGTGATCCTTTCTACAATGTCTGTTCTAACCTCCTGATAAACTCACGTTATATGGGAATAAAAATTCCCTAGATCCTTCGCCTCCGTGATTCTTTTTCCATCCTTACCTACCATTCTCCCCATTTTATCTCTCAATCCTCATTTCAGTGGACAAGTCATTTCCAGCTCACTCACCTTGTCTTCTGTTGTCGTGCACATACACTGATTTTAGTTTCATTTCAGGGCTTTCCTATTGTCATGCACATACACTGATTCTAGTTTCATTCCAGGTCCCTGCGCCTGGAATGCTTGTTCCTCATACCTTTGTACCAGTCACTTCTTCCCTTCATTCAGGTTTTTGCTCTAGTGTTGCCTCCAGAGAAGTCCTCTGTGACCATGTTGCCACTACTCAGTTCCATTCCTTTACAGATTTACGTTTTGTTCTGCTATGTTTACTATGTGGCACTGTTAAACATTTATTAGTGTGTATGTCCCCTCAGTTTTATGAGGGTGTAATCTTCATCTGTGCTGCCTCCCATTCTAACCTCAGTTACTCAACACTGTATGCAATACATAGTAGACTCTCATCAAATATTTTAAGATATGGTTGATCTCCTTAAGGAACAAAACCTAAAACAGCTCAACATATTTCAGTACATTAAAACAAAAATGTATGAAATCAAATCAAATTCAAGAGATCAACTGGGAAAGTGAATATAATAATGTTATATGTTATTGTAATATTAGTAACAAGGGATTTATTATATAATATAAAGAACTCTTACTAGTAATAAAAGATAATCCATTAGAAAAATGAAAAAAGAATATGGTCATTTTACAAGAAGGAAAGATTTGAGTGGCCAGCAAACCCATAAAATGATACTTTGCTGAGTCATCTGAAAAATACAACTTAAAACCACAATGCAATATAATTACCTACCCTTGAGTTGACCAAATATAAAAATCTTACTTTATTTTTTATTTTAAAGAGAATAAAACTAAGGAAAATAAGACAGAATAAAACCAAAAAATAAACAGTAAAGTGATACAGGACTTCAAAACCTTACAAAATTAGTAGTAGTTATCATAATGCCTTTTGTTGTCTTCAAAATAGCTGTAGATACCTTTGGACCTAGTAAAAGTCAAACAGAACAGAATAGAGTAGAAACAATAAAAACAAAACAATGAATGCAATAAAAGGACTTCAAGGGGCTGGGGATTTAGCTCAGCATCATAATCGCCTGCCTTGCAAGCAGGCAGTCGTGAGTTCATTCCCTGGTACCGATAAAAAACGAAAAAGACAAAAAAAATAAAAAAAGGACTTCAAAATAAGCTAATGATAAATCCAAAATGTCTACCATAGTATGTCTTGCTATCTTTTAAATAACTGGTCATGCCATCAGATTTAACACAAACAACAAAAGAGAATAAAACCCCACCCAAGAAAAAAATGAAAATGATACAGTTTCTGGGGGGAGGAGTGATCCCCTCCTGGTGAGGCCTAACAAAAATTCTAACAAAACTCTTTTGAAAGTTAGGGGATAACTTCTGGTGAATGGATAAATTACATACTGTTTTAAATAGTTATTTAGCATATATGCTTAACTGAGTTGAATATACTTAGGCCTTATGACCCAGTTTTCCCATTCCTACACGTACACCCTGGAGAAAATGAAATATGCTCATTAGTAAACAGTCATTATTTTATGGTTATTTTAAGAAATCTGATAACATTGTAAATGTTAGTACACAAGTAGATCAATTAGATAGTTGTAGTATATTTACACAGTTTGCAGTTGGAAAATAAATGCACTAGGAGCTGCTATAAGCATGGCAGCTAAGAGCGGCCCAGGAAGGGGGCCTCCTGTGTTTACTGGGACCTGCACCATGCGGGGACCTGGGCTCTGAGTAAGCAAGAAACCCCTCTCCTGCCTGGTGAGGGGCTGAGGGAACATTATGGTGTCCCCCTCACCAGTGGGAGCCAGTGATCTGGACATCCCTTGAGAGGCTGACCATAGGCAATGTAGCAAATAGGGCGGATTTCCTTCTACCATCTCTTTGAAGGCAAATACTTCTGTCACTGTTTTGCTTTGTTCTAATTAGTGGTGTTATTTTAGCCTGTTTTGTTTTGTTGAACTTCAATATACATGAAAGTATGGACAGCTATTTTGAAGAGAAGGAGAGACTATTGTCTAGTTTTGAAGACCTAAAACACCTTCCTCATTCTGTTTGGATCAGTTATATACTATGTTGTTTTGTATGAATTCTCTTTTTGTGAAGACATGAACAACTATTTGGAAGAAAACAAGAGACAATATGAGTGAAGATCTCAGCTCATCTTGCTTTGAAATTTATATTGCTTACATTGCTTTCTTATGTCCTATTTTGTTCTGTTTTGTTGTGTTTAATTTTACTCCCTTTAAAATAAAATTTAAAAAAAGAAAATAAATGCACTAACAGATAAATGAAAAGCACTGCTGAGTGAGGGGAAAATTATAGAAGCATACACAACTTTATAAAGTTTGTGATTATTTCTGTACAAATAGCTTTGAAATAAAAATACAGCAAAAAATACATGAGCATAAGTCAGTTAGCAGTCACCTTAATGCTGAAAAGGAACAAGAGATTGTTAATACACAATATAAATATGAGAAAACCTGAGGTTTGATAAAGTTGCTTAATATATAAAAAGGTATTTGTATCATTTTTACTTTTATGTTTATGTGATATTTTAAAAACTGTCTCTAAAATTTTCATTTTATATTTAGGAAAACATCTCAGGGAATTACTAAGACTGTACAATAAGAATATGTGTTTCAGTAATTAAGGTACCTTAAAATTGAGACTACATTCATGGGGAATCTGTTCCTTGGTGAAATTCCTTAAGTTTGATTGATAGCGCAGGTATAGGGAAGGTAACTGAATGTGATCATGCACACTGTTGTAATCCCAGATGCTCAGGTAACTGAAACAGGAAAATTTAAAATTTTGAAGCCAGTTTGGGCAACATATCTGGGACCCATCTTAAAAAACAAAGTGCAGTTAATTCCTCTGCTAAATAGAATGAAATAAGTCTGGATCAATTGGAGATATTGAGTGAGTATAATTAACAGGAGTGTTCCCTCAGGGAGTTGTGGGGATGAGAGATGGCTAAGCAGAAAATTTAGATAAATCACGTTTTTTTAAAATAGAAAATCACATTCTTTGTGCTTAAGTTTATTTCTATTACTTTCCTTGAAGAAGCTTAGTCTCCTGTGGAGAGAGAAATATTCATACCAATCAATATAATGCTTTGCACTAATGGTTAAATGACTATCAACTACTCCTTAGCGACCATCTATGATCAGAAGTATTTACTTTGACTTCAGGTGGTCCCTCTCTCTCAGCGAAGTGGTGTTCTTGAGTGGTGCACAGGAACTGTCCCTATTGGTGAATTTCTGGTTAACAATGAAGATGGTGCTCATAAAAGATATAGGCCAATGGATTTCAGTGCCTTTCAATGCCAAAAGAAAATGATGGTGAGTACTACTCTAATTATTAGTGAAAGATTATTTAATAGCTTACTAAAACAGATAGCTACTACCAATATTATAGAATGTCAAAATGTTTTCATTGCATGAGATAGTTGTTTAGGATATGAAGTTAAAAATAAACTCAGTAGGATGAAAGTATTGAGTGAAGAAGGAAGTTTTTGTTGATTGTGTTTGCAGTACATAGTAGTTGTGTTCATTTTGGGGATTGAATCATTTTCAGTTCCTTTACACATCCAAACTCGTCTCCTGGTCCCCTTCCCCATCTCTAACAAATCTACCTTGTTTCCTATCATCTCTCTTATTTGATTAATTAATTTATATTTTAGGTTTTCCATATGAGAGAAAGTATGCAATATTTAACTTCTCCTGTCTGATTTATTTTTATGTAACATTATGATCTCGATTTCCATGCATTTTCCTGCAATGACACAATTTCATCCCTCTTTACTGCCAATTATTACTCCATAGTGTATATTATGCATTTTCTTTGTTCATCTGCTGATGAGCATCTAGGCTGTCTCCACAGCTCAGCAATTATAAATTGCACTTCTGCAAATATGGGCACGCACACATGCCTTCTGTATAATGTGCCATCTTTTCTGTAGGGGGTTATACCCAGGAGAGAGAAACAGAATCTTCACACTGGTTTTCATAGTGATTCTTTCATTATTTTCTCTTTCCTATTACAACCCCACTGCTGTGATGCCACCTGCGGTTATCTGGAGATAACCTTTGGTATTTCTGTTTACTTTCATCTAGATTTTGAGTTTAATTAAAACAACTAATAGTTATTATTGATGTCCCTCTGTCATTTAAAACTAATATAAAAATCCTAAAGAGACTGACATTGAAATTCATTGCTTTCCTGGCCAGACTGTTAGCTTCTTGTATGTAGATCTTGTTCATCTTTTCATTTCCCCATAGCAACAAAGTGGACATTAAATACAATATTGAGAAGATAACTTTATATATGATCTCTTTAAAGGAAGTACAGAAGAAGTCCTTTGAAGAGAAATATGAAACGTTCATGGATATTTGCCAAAATTTTCAACCAGTTTTCCGTTACTTCTGCATGGAAAAATTCCTGGACCCTGCTGTTTGGTTCGAGAAACGGTTGGCTTATACTCGTAGCGTGGCCACGTCTTCTATTGGTAACCTTGTGCACCACATTACATACAGAACTTTGCAGCTTTATGAATTGCAGGGTGATGATGGTAGTAATAAGTTATTAGCCAAACTATCTTCATCATTAGATCAGTGGGTCACTCCTAAGCTTTAGCTTTTACTCATAACATTTTCAGACAAGAATTCTCCACTCAGGAGGGAAGTAAAACTGTTTTTTCTTCATTGTATAGTGAATATGATATGTTTTCTCTCCTAAGTATATATTACTGAGATTTGTTTTGGAAGGTAAAATCTTTGATAACTCCATTTGATATACTTTATTATTGTTCTTTTCCTCAGAATTGCACCATGATATTATTACCCATATTATTCTTTTTTTATTAGAATTTTGTTTTTAGTGTAGAAATAGTAATAGAGATTTTGAATGTGATGTACTATATAAATATTTTACATTATTTTTAATCTATAAAAGATTGGAATAGCTAGACAAAACAATCAACAAAATCCTAGCATACAAAACAGGAATAGAAGAGGTCTTCTGTTCTGTTTTTTAAAATAAAGGCAACTACATGCATGACTTATGAATGTTTTGAAAATCAGCATGAATATTTTGAAAATGTCCCCAGATAATTTGAAGTTTTCCTACACTAAGAATCACTAATTTAATTCAAGTGATTCAGCTTGTAGCAAGAAACTAGGCCTAGTTAATATAGCATTAATCAGATACTTGGCATCTTGACTGTGTTTCATTAGGTTTAGTGTTTTAAGATATATTATCCTGTGTTTTAAAAACAGAAATGCAATTTTTCCTGGATATGTACCTGCTGAAGTGAATTAATGATTAATTTGTGTTCAGTATCTTCATCAAGGAGATGAAAGTTTCACTGAAGAATGACTTCTCAATTTATAAGTATACTCAATATAAATTCAAGTGTATGTAATGCACTGTTTTGGCCCACGTAATTAATGGGTCTCAACTTTTAACCACAGTAGTTTCCAGAGTTCTAAGTATTTTAAAACTTGTACTTTTTAATAAAGGGAATTTTTTAAAGCAGATTACCTATTTGAAAACAAAGTACACATTAAAGCAGCTGACCAGATTTGACTTAAACTCAACATGACCATCTGTATACCTGATTTTCTTTAAGTAGGCTGAAAAGCCTGAAGTACTTAAAGAGATAAAGTCAGTGAGATTAGTTGAAGTTACATTGTTTCTTAGAAATAATAAAAATTATTGATCTTTCCCCAGTTGGTTACATCCTTGGCCTTGGTGATAGGCATGTACAGAACATCTTGATAAATGAACAGTCAGCAGAACTTGTCCATATAGATTTAGGTAAGTAATAAAAGACTTAGTATTTAGTTGTCAAGGTATATTATTTGCCCACCAAGATACTATTGATATAAGGACATAATCAGAGAAATAAATTATATTTAGAGACACTATTTTATATGCTTGCATATGCATATTTTAAAGCATAAACATGGTGGTACTAGAAGAGGTGACAGTTAAGTCTTTTAAGAAAGGAAAGGAGGATAATACAGAAGACAGGGCACGTTTGATAACAGGAATGCTTATGTTGTTGCATGTTTGTCGGTGTCACTCCCGGCCGGCAGGAAGGACACACAACAAAGTCTGGCAGTGGACAACCTTTTCTTTTATTTTCCTTCTCCGTACAGCCTGCCCCGGGAATCCTCCCGGCCGAAGCCTCTGTTGGTCCGCTCCCCGCGGCTCCTTGCGTGCTTCTCCCTACAGTCTGTCCCGAAGCCTCTACCGGTCCGCTCTCCGCGGCTCCTTGCGTGCTTCTCCCTACAGTCTGTCCCGAAGCCTCTACCGGTCCGCTCTCCGCGGCTCCTTGCGTGCTTCTTCTGCTTCTTCTCTTTTTGGCGGGAGAGGCACTCACTTTTATAGGGTTACAGTGGCCAATCAGTTCAAAGCGCGCGATGCGGGCTGATTGGCTAACATCAGTTGTTGCTAGGCAGACTATCTTACAGGGCGGGTTGTGAAGCAGGAGATCTTACAGGGCGGGTTGTTTACCAAGCAGGAAGCAGGAGATAAGCGCCATCTTAGCACACTCGATGGGAGGGGTAATCTAGCTCAGGCTTTGCTCTTTCCTACAGGCCTCACGTCCGCCAAGTAAGGCGACCGGGCTCGGCCGCGGCTCCCAACACATGTTGTAGACATGATGAGTCATTAAATGTTGTACAAGTTTGCATGTAGTTGGGTAGCTAGAAAGAGAGATTAGAACCAAGCTTTAAAAAGCTGGGCTGAGGAGTTTTGATGCAGCTGCAGTCTCTGTCTACTTAATTGATGTTTGAGCCACGTGTCTGCAGCTGTGGCCTTGTCTCAGGCCTCAGCGAGGACCAGTGATTCATAGAGGTTCACTTACTATGAATCAGCAAAGGGCCAAGGCCTAAGACAGACTCACAGATAAAAATAGAAAGCCAATTAGTTAATTTTATCCTGCTCAGAGCCTCTGGATAGTGGTCTCCAACACTCCTTATTTATAAAAGCTTTGTTTCTATTTTTTCTTTTTCTCATTTTTTTCTTCTTTCTTTTTTTTTAAATTTTATTTTAAAGAGAATAAAACCAAACAAAATAAAACAGAATAAAGTCAATCAAAACAAAACAGTTCAAGTGATACAGGACTTCAAAACAGGATAATAGAAAATCAACATTGGCTACCACAATACCTCTTGTTATCTTCAAAAGTACTGCCCATACCATCAGACATTATAACATCAAACAAAACAGAACAAAATAAAACCAATCAAAACAGAACATTGAATAGAACACACACACAAAAAATACTGAATTTCAGAAACTCTCATATTTGCTATATTACATATTGTTATCCTCTTAATAGATGATCAGAGTGCCAGCTTGAGGCCTGCAAAGTCAAACAATACAAGCATTAAGTTGTTTTTGTACCTCAGCTGCTATCAACTCAGCATGTGTTCCTCCGAATCAGCCCGTTGCTTGGGGAAGGGGGCTGCGTTCTTGTCTCACAGCCCACATGCATGTTGACTCACAGGAAGGATGAATTGGTTTCTTCTTACTTCTCCTGGGCCCAGTATGGCTTCTGCCAAGTCATGGGAAGGACAGATTGTTTTATTTCTCCTCCTATGCCCAGTATGGCTTGTGCTGGCTCACAAAAGGGCAAATTGGCTTCTCGTTACTCCTCCCAGGCCCAGCATGGCTTCCACTGACTCATGGAAAGGGTGAATTGGCACCTTGTTTCTGCTCCCAGGCCTAGCATGGCTTGTGCCAGCTCACAGGAAGGACAGATTGGCTTGTTGTTGCTCCTTCTAGGTTCAGCATGGTTTGTACCAGCTCATGGGAGGGCAAATTGGCTTGTTTTTCTTCCTGGACCCAGCATGGTTTGTGCTGGCTCCCAAGAAAGGTAAATTGGTTTGTTTCTCCTCCCAGACCCTGCGTGGCTGCTGCTGGCTCATGGGAATGAGGAATTGTCTGGTTTCTCCTCCTGGGCCCAGCGTGGCTTGCTCTCATTTCCTTTTCCTGTACCCCCTTCCTAGTTCCCCTTGCCACGTGAACATTTTCTTCCTATTTCACAATATCTGTTATATATTTTGGTCTTTATTTATACCTTTAGTTTCTAACACCAAAGGTACAATGTGGTATTTACATGTGTGTCCAATATATTTCTCTTGAGTATGGGCTCAAGGTGCATCATTTACCTAGAAATGTCTCAAGCCTGTCCTTCTTTATGGCAGATTATTAAAGAAGGATAATCCATTGTACTCCATTGTATTAAAAAGCTACATCTTCTTTATCCATTCATTGGTTGATAGGTATTTGGGCTAATTCCAAATTGTATTGTTTTATTTATTTATTTTTGGTACTGGGGATTGAACGCATGACCTCCCACTTACCAGGCAGGCGTGTATGCTGCTAAGCATTATCCCCAACCCCTAGTGTATTATTTCTTATAGCCACGTATAACTGTAATTATTTCAAAAATAAAAATTTCATTTAAAATATTTAAAATCATTTAAAGTACATATAAATGTCATCTACATTTTAAGCTCTACCAGATGTTAATTTTTATGATCAAAATCACCTTTAATCTAGATTTGTCTGATTATGTTAAGTTACAGTTTTGGATTTGAGGTGAATCTCTAGTGTGTTCTAGTATTGATGCAATAGAAGTGACAGATTGTTACCTTTGCAAAAGCTACATGACATTTGGGAAGAAATTTAGCTGTCAAATCTGTGCCTCACTGTATTGTTTTGTTTTAGGGGTTGCTTTTGAACAGGGTAAAATCCTTCCCACTCCTGAAACAGTTCCTTTTAGACTCACCAGAGATATTGTGGATGGCATGGGCATCACTGGTGTTGAAGGTGTCTTCAGAAGGTAAGGGAGAGCAAATGATGCCAAAATTATTTGGATGCAGGTTTATATAGGTAATGGAACTCAGTGATAGAGTTATATCCTAGTGCTTTGTAGTACTTGAAAAAGACCCTAGTAACAGTAACAGATGTTGAAAACTTTGGTGTGCACAAAATCCACATTTGTAATGTGTTTGACTTTATAGATGCTGTGAGAAAACCATGGAAGTTATGAGAAATTCTCAAGAAACTCTGTTAACCATTGTAGAGGTAAAGTATGTTGTCAGGAAATCCTTTATTTCTGTATGAAATAGACACTGATTCTGCAGTAAAAATAAATAATAATATGGATTCCTCAATAATATAGAAATTAAAGTTTAAAGCCATATCATGTCCCTTTGCATTTAAAAGAAGAGTTTAAGCTTTTAATAAAGATCCAAAACAGTAATATTCCCCAGGATTCTAGCTACTTAGTTTTAGTGAGAAGAATTTTCTATGCCTGTGTAGCTTTGAGAGTTCCGCAGGAGGTATATTGTTGGTTCACACTTACTAAAAGGGGTTAGTTCCTTTGGTGCTTCAGAAGTTTGAGTAGGTGAATGCCAGATTGCTCGTGTGTTGCATTCTTTATAGGGTGGTAGGGGCTGCAGTTAAAGTACAGTTAAAGGGATTGTTGCAGGGTTACCTGCAGATTGGAACTTAAAAAGGAAATGGCGGTGCTCTGAGTGAGGGTCATTGAGCCTGAGTAGTTACCTGCGTGTCCACCTACATTAGGTGTGTCCCTCCTGAACACATCCCTTAATGCTTTCTGATTTTTCACTGGCTTACCCAGTCTCCCCTCTAAATCTCTACAGACCATTCGTTGTGATTGTCCCAGCTTTAAGAGTATTTCTCATTTGACTATACCGGGACTTTCTGTCCTTGACTGTAGGTGTGTACTTGTCAACAGTATCCTCAGTCCCAAACCCCAAGTATGTCATTCCTCTCCTCTCTCAGATTCGATTTTCCCTGAACCACAGTCTGTATTTCTGATCTGTTGTAATTTAAGTACCTCCTGTGTCCTAAACCTGTCTTTCAGAGCACTTTGATTTTGATGCATTTCTCCTTTCTTCTCAGGATATTTGATTTTCCTGACCTTCATGATTTTGTTTTTCTTCACCGTGGACCATCCTGTCCTCCAGGGTTTTCCCTTTTTTGATCAGGAAATATTTGTGTTTCTTTAGCTCAACAGTACTTAGCCAAGCATAGCTTTGTCATATGCAGGACAGTTGACAATGGGTGGAGACACTTTTGATGCAGTTGTAGGGAAGCACTGACGTGTAACAGACATCTTCCGGGTAGAGGTCTGGGCACTGCGAATCATCCCATAATGCACAGGATCCCCTCACAGCAAAGAGCCACCCAGGCCAAAAATAGGAGCAGTAGTAAGATTAAAAAATCCTACTCTAGCAAGCACTCCTGTTTTGATGATACTAAAGAGTATTTTTTAATTACTCCATTCCCTTTTTTTTTTTTTTTTTAATTTTTAGTACTGGGGTTGAACCTACCTGTTTTCACTAAGGTATACCCCAACGCCCTCTTTTTCTCTATTTTTTATATTGAGACAAGGACTTGTTAAGTCATGAAATTACCATCCTGGTCTTGAACTTATAATCAGTCCTTCTGCCTTAGCCTCTCAGAATGTAGGCATTACAGGCATGTGCCAGCATGCCCACTTCCTGTCCTCTCTTGATTCCAGTATTTGCAGATATGAATCTGACACAAGCTTTTCCTTTTGAAATAATTTGTATTGTCTCCTTCAAATATAATGCCTTTATAATAGAGGCCTTCATATTTTTCCCATTAGTCGATCAATAAGATATTTTCCCTTTGAGTAAGACTGGTTTACATAATGTACAATGTATGCCATTTTAGTGCCCAACTTGAAGTCATATAGAAACCCTTGAACTGCAAACAAGTGATATGAAATCAAGACCAAGTCCTCCAGTTTTTATTTCTTGTGGTATTAGGAATTGAACCCAGCATTTCATGTGCATGCTAGGAAAGGAATGTACTACTGAACTACATCCCCAGCTCTTTGAGAGTGGATCTTACTAAATTGCCCACGCTGGCCTCAAATTCATGGTCCTTGTGCCTCAGCCTCTTTAAGTAGCAAGGATTAAAGGCATGTGCTACCATGTCTAGCTAATTCCTGCGTAGTAAGCTCCACAGTGGTCCTGGAGGACGCTTAGAGTAGCCTCACACAACCAAGAGATTTTGGTACTGCTGATCTGCAGTTGTTCCAGAATTAACCATGCTGAAGACATTTTATAGTCCCAGTTTGGTGCCAGGAAACACAGTAACTTTACAAGCAAAAACAGTGTCCCAACCTCATAATGCTGGCCTGTCCTGCAGAATCATTTGCCTCTGTAACTGAGTCTTTATTACTGAAACATGTGTTTGGTAAAGGCTGATAAGAAAAAAGAATGTTCGACACTAACAAACAGCAGGGCAGTTGGCTAAACTGTCAATCTTAGAAATCTTTTATAACCTCGGTCTTTTTTTTCAAATTTCTAAAATTTAAGCCGGGGGCAGTCCTGGAGATTAAGCTCAGGGCATTCATACTGAGCTATATACCTAGCCCTTGTTTTTTTGTTTTTTGAGACAAGATCTTTTGCTAAAATGATTTTATAGTCCTCCTGCCTAATCCACCAAAGTGCTAGGATTACAGGCAAGCATTACCAAATCAACTTTAAAATTTACATCTTAAAGCCAGTTCTTGGCTACTTACATGTACTTGTCTACCCTGTAAATCATTTAGCTCTACCACAGCGCCAGACCTTGGTTTTTGAAGTTTTAACACATTACACTCTTTTTTACCCCTTTCCCTTATTTGGAATGAATTGAGAGAAAAAGCACCACAGAGTGTTTGAAATCAAAATGTCAGCTTTAATACTGATACAGAAAAAACCCCTGTTGGATAACGTGGCTTAGGAGTGCAGTCAGAACAGACCTGCTGGTCCCCACCCACCCACAGTGGACTCTTGGGAATGCCTGCCTGGTAGGGAGCAATACCCAACACAGTCGGCTCCCTTACTCAGGATCGTACTGGTCAGGCGTAGAGAGTAAGGGAAAATGGATTAGTGGTTTCCCCTATTCAGAGATTAATTTCACTCAGGAAACCGTGCGTCAAGAAATAGCACCCCCAACCCCGGAGAAAATAAACTTGAGAATAGCGTGAGGACCTTTGAGTGTTGTGCTGGTAAGTTTGCTCCACAAGAAGACAGAAAGCAAGTGTGATAAGCTTGCTCTGTCTCCTCCATCGACCACCATCTGCCTGGTCTCATTTTGTTTTTTATTTTTTACAATACTGGCTCCTGTTGTAAGTACATGATAAGATGCACATTCTCCTAATAATGTTTTCTCTAGGTGCTCTTGTATGACCCTCTCTTTGACTGGACCATGAATCCTTTGAAAGCTTTGTATTTACAGCAGAGGCCTGAAGATGAAAATGAGTTGCACTCGACTCCTAATGCAGATGACCAGCAATGCAAACGAAATCTCAGGTGAGCAGAGCACTGTGTTAGGAAGACCTGGGTCAGTTGTTCAGAGGTTCGTGTTCTCAGAGACCTCAAATCTGTCGTACTACATTGAAACCTTTGTGTTTTTGTCATCAGTGATACTGACCAGAGTTTCAACAAAGTAGCTGAACGTGTCTTGATGAGATTGCAAGAAAAACTGAAAGGAGTGGAGGAAGGCACCGTGCTCAGTGTGGGTGGACAAGTGAATCTGCTCATCCAGCAGGCCATGGACCCCAAAAATCTCAGCCGGCTCTTCCCAGGGTGGAAGCCTTGGGTGTGAACGTCAGCATATGAATCACTCTTGAATTCAGCATTCAGAAATACATCTCGATTTCAGCCTTCATTTTTAACCCAGTCACAAACTAGGGATTAAAATCTAAGTGAATAACTGTATTTTTCCACCCAGAGATACGGTAACAGTATTGAAGAGTATCTCTGTTTTTATATGTTAGCAATACTTATTCATGCTCTGCTTTCAGGCCAAATGTTTATTTCTCAACATCCTACCTATTTTCAGTACAATCACTGATTTACATATTTGTAACAACCCTCAGAGTGATAGTTTGTTCTTTGGTATAAATCAGAATATGAGAGGTGGTTATTAATCAATGCTAATCATAAATAGTTTTCAATATTAATCAAAATATCTGACATCTTGTTGTGACATCACTCATCCTTACAACAAAACCTTGGGAGATTGTTATCCCAGAAAGTAAAAATCGGATAAGTTTAAGAATAAAGTTTAAAGGCCAAAAGAAAGTTAATTGCACCAAAAATGTAATGGGGCATTCTCTAACTAGAAAACACGTCAGATGAAAATCAGAGGATCCTCAGACACTTGCTCACAAGGTTAATGAAAACTAAATACATAGAGAAGCCACTGGAAGAGCTAATAAATTAGTGTTTAAACAGCTGTGTCCAGATTAGGAGAAGGTAGGTAATATCCCTTCCACATGTGCTGTGCTGATCACACTTCCTCAATTAGTTCCCTAATGAGTATGGATATAAATCCCAAGATCATCAGAGTGTACACTTGAAATGTAAAAAAAAACCAAGAATTTAATATAAATTTAAATATGTCTGAAGCAAAAACAGGAAGGGAAACCATTAGGCTTCTCAGAGATTAAAATGAGCTAGACTGTCAAAAACTAGAAGACTAGCTGGGCACGGTGGTGCATATTTGTAATCGAAGTACTCGGGGGGCTGATGCAGACGGATCACCATGAGTTCGAGGCCAGCCTAAACTGCATAGCAAGACCCTCTCTCAAGAGGAAAAAGAAAACTAGCTTAGCATAGTGCTGCACACCTGTAATGCCAGCACTTGGAAAGCTGAGGCAGGAGGATTGCTGTGAGTTCGAGGCCAGGCTGAGCTACATAAGCAAGTTCAAAGCCAGCCAGAACTACACAGACCCTGTCTCAAAAAATAAAAAACATACTAGGCCAGTAAACAGACTTTCGAAAAATGTGCCATTCAAGTGTTTCAATTGCATCGTAGTGAAATTATATTTTATATAGATTTCGTACAATTAAATGTATTTCTTGACTTTACTGTTATCTGTATCTATCATTTTTTAAAATAAATTTTGGAAGATAGTATGTGCTAAGACTCATCCATTTTATTCCAATAATTTGAGTAATGTGTGTCGGGCATAGGGCTAGTTCCTCACTTGACAACAGTGAATACAGTGGGCATGGTCAGCCTATGCAGAGAGCTCTGAGTCTAGGAAAGATGGGCAGTTGATACCTCAGTGTGAACTGAGGAGTCACCTAGACCAGTCTGGCATGTTGCATATCTAAGTATTATAACTTTTAACTAATTATCTCGAGACGAATGTTCTTTGCTTGGGCCTGGAAAGTGAGTTGACATTCTAAATCAAAAAGATTTGCTAACAGAATATGACAGATACAAAAATCCTGATATCCTAAATATGAAGTTTTATCTATTTGTCAACCTCAACTCTAAATAACCAGAGCAAGCTTGAGCAAAAAAATAATAATAATAATAAATTCAAGACATACTATAGAGTTATAGTAACCAAAACTGTACCACCCCTAAAGTACACCCCTGTAATTCAGCTCATTCTTGGATTTTTTTTTTTTTTTTTTTTTGGTCTTTTTCCTTTTTTTTTATTGGTACCGGGGATCAAACTCACAGCCGCCTGCTTGCAAGGCAGCTGCTTATGCCACTGAGCTAAATCCCCAGCCCAATTCAGCTCATTCTTTATGGTGCTAAAAATATTGGAGGGATACCAAATCTGTTGTTCGCTGTGGTGCAGAGAAAATTGAGTAACTTTATGCCAAGATTTTAAGGACCCGTTTCCATTTCTATTCAGAAGTCACGTCAAAGTAGATCAAGAATCTAAATATACAACCTGACACTCTGAAACTACTAAAACAAAATGAGAAACTTGTCAGTTCATTTACAGGTAGTTGTTTTCTTAATGGGACCATAAGCACGGGAAACAAAAACTAAAATTACAAATCGGATTACATCACAATAAGAGAATGAAGAGACAACTTACAAAGAGAAAACTTGCAAACAACTGACCTGCTAGATGGTGACTATCCAAAATATACTGTGTAAAGAATTCAAAAACTTAAACCAAATAATCCAGTTTTAAAAGGGGCAAGTAGGGCTGGGGTTTAGCTCAGTGGCATAAGCACCTGCCTGGCAAGCAGGTGGTCGTGAGTTCGATCCCTGGTATCGATAAAAATGAAAAAGACAAAAAAATAAATAAAAGGGGCAAGTAATCTGAATAAATTCTCAACACAAATGACCACCAATATTTGGAAAATGTATTATTAATTATCAGGAAAATGCAAATTGGGAGCACAATGAGATTACCATCTCACTGCAAAGAGTGACTGTTTAAAAGGGTAGAATGGATATGGAGAAATTCCTAATACTGTTAGTGGAAATGTAAAAATAGAAAACAGGTTGTTCAAATATAAGATCTTATCATATGATATGCAAGTCCCCTCTCTAGGCATATATCTAAAGGCAAAAAAATCAGTATCCATTCCAAAGAAGTACCTGTACTCTCAAGGGTACTGGACAGAATTCTTAACAGCCAAGATAGAGAATCAGCATAGGCGCCCCTCAGCGGTGAGTGGAAATGTGAAGTACAAGTAGGTTTTCACTCTGTCAGAGAGAGTAATGCAATCCTGTGACTTGTAACAAAGTGCGTGAAAGTGAAGGGCATTAAGTGAGGTAAGCCAGACACAGTCCGTATATTAACATAGAAAAAGGAATAACCCAAAGGCTGAGCACAGTGAGGGCAGGGAGTTTGGAGGAAGATGAATTATGGGAACCAAAACAGGTAAAAGGAGTGAGTTCTGGTGTTCACAGCGCAGTGGGTGACTGCAGTTCACAGTGACCTGTTAGGTATTTTATGAAGAACTACCACACAGGAACTCTGAAGGCTCCAGACATTAGATAGGGATGTTAATTACTCTGTGATGAGTACATGTTGGGTACCTGTGATGTGGTAAGTACATACGGTATGCCCTATAAATATGTACTACTACATGTTAATACTTTTAAAAGAATAAAGGAAGGTAGGAGAAGTGAAGAAGAAGCAAGTCTCGTTTGGAGGGATAAATGCAGAGAGCTCTGCCTTGCATGACTGCACAAAAGCCCGCACTGACGGAAAATCATCAGTACGAAGATTGTTTAACATCTAGCAGTGGTATCTTTATTTATTTAAGTGATTGTTAGAGTACTACGGTTTTTCAGGATACCAAGCATAATTTCTCTTATTTTCCATGACCTCTGTATTCGGGCTAACATTCCGTTTCTGTTCACTCTTCCCAATTTAACTGAGCTGGATTCTGTGACAAGAACATACACACAACTTAATGTAGTCAGACTAGCTATCTTAGTTCCAGCTGATAAATGCACGGCTCAAAGGGCCGGAGCTCAGAAAATAAAAGTACATTATGTTTACATTCTTTAAGAGGACTCGGGTGTCAATCTAGTAGAGTGTGGTTTTTCATAAACATTTTCAGATAAAATATATGGCGCTCCCATTCGTGCCTCTGATTCATCTTTGTAGTCATGTATATTTTTCTTTGCTTGCTCAAAATTGAAACCTAAAGAGAATGACAGATGATTAGAAACATGTCAGATGTAATAAAACAGACTCCATATGCCAGATAAGATCTGTGTTTTACCACTCTTAGGCTAGCTAACTATTGAACTGAAACCATAAATGTGCCAGTTTTTGTGTTCACCCTTTCAACACCATAAATCATTGTCCATCTCTTAAAAAAAGACTCTGCAAGCACAAGATTGAGGTTTTATTGAGAAACTATGCCTTGGGATGGCTAAAGTTTTGGTGACTTTGTCCAAAAATCTGGGGTCACAGTTGCACCCCAGCTCATGTTTTGGTGCATACATTGTGACCCATAGGAAGAAACGGCGTTTAGCAAGTACTCAAAAATTAATTGCTAGTTCTTTATTCACAAAGAAATACCTTTTCCCACTCCAGAGCTACAGTTCCCAGATCTCCTGTGGATTTGATCTTCTCTGGCGCCCATTCACCTCCAATAACCATGTCTTCAGTGTGTCACCCTCTCAACTGGATTTAGTTATATAAATCTCCACTAGAAATAATTTTCACTTGTTCTAATGCTCCTCCCAACAACCATCCTATATCTTTTCCCACAGTCTTTTAACTCAGTAGTTTATATTGTTACTGTGTCCTTTTTGTACCTTCTATTCCTTTATATAATCTTTGATCTACAAGTAAAAATCTATGTGCTACACCTTGAGATTTCTGTAGCAAACAGACAACTCGCTGCCCTTTGGTAAAGATGGGAAACCTGTAAGAACATCAAAGTGGAAACTGCATGATGTATTTTAGGAACAGGTATGAGACCAGTACAAAGGCATTCTGAGACTGGGAAAGAATGGGGCACATAGGTAGGAGAGCAGAACGGGCCGAGGCCATGACCAGTTAGCAGCTCACTGTGACAGATGCTATGGGCAGCAGGGTTTGATCATGTCTAAGTGTGGGCTCTCCGCTAACATCCTTCATTACAAACCCTGCCCTCAAATTGACTAGCTGACTTTGAGCACATCATGGACTATCTTTGCTCATCTCTAATGTGCAGCTAACAATCTGTTTTAGGTGGGCTGTTTTGAAAATTAAATGCATTAATTTTGTAAACCATCCCAAGACAGTACGTCCACATCTTAGTAAAGAAGAATTTGCACTATGCTTTGTATAGAGAATAGGGTGCAGGAGTATCAGTTCGAAGGCCCCTGCAGAAACCTGTGGAAGACAGCAGCAGCACGTTGGGCTGGGACTGTGGCACCAAGTTAGAAGTAAATGGCTGGGCGGATGTTAATGGAAGCTCGTGTGTACGCAGGGCCCAGAATTATTCTAAGTGTGACATCTACCTACTGACCTACCTGTCCAGCCAGCCTACTATTAAGCAGTAGTTTAGGCCATGTTAGAATTAGGGTGTTTCTGGGATGTGATTATACACTTTAGGGTGCTGTCATTTTCAGAAAAATACTGTTGACCCCTAGAAGCACAATAGTGATGCAGAACCTTCAAAGAAAGAAAGAAAAAGTTTCCAATAATGTGAGGCCTTTACTTTTACAAATGTAGTTATTAAAATTATTACTGAAACCATGACCTATGTAACCCTGAAATTTTCTTATTCTGACCTAAATAATACTGAATTGTCATTTGGAACTGTATTGGTTACAACTGTCTGTTTCCAAATGAGTCTTATCTATAGAGGTTAAGATGGCAGGGGCATTTATACTAGTACTGTGCGGGGTACTAAACTGTTGGATGTTTAGAAATATTTATATATATAAAATTTTATCATTTTGATTCATGAGAATTTGTCATAAAGTATTGTTTTTAAAAACTCACTTACCTCTGAACTTAACTGAGGACTTGCTTGTAGCAATTTGCTTCCAGTCGGCAATATACCTAAGCACATCACATGGGCATTAAGTTACATTGACTTACTAAGGAATGAATTGATTGATTTAGTACATGTGTAGGGTAAAGGGGACAAACGGGATAGTCTCAGTGTTTAACGTTCACGACTTTCTTATCTCCTGGTAGGTCACATGCATTGTAAGGCAACTGCAAGACGGACTTGGAGGAGCATTAACATGGGACACACTTCCTACCTTACGAGTGCCCTTTCATCCCCGCCAACTTGTGTTCCCATTTACCCTATTTCATTCCTGCAGGATCTTCAGTTGAGGATCCACTAATATGTCAGTTAATAACTTACAAAGTATGGACAGAAAACTCTCAGAAAAAAAGGTCAGGGACAGCAACAAAGCTTTCTCCTTAGTTCTACTTTGCCAGTCCTGCTAACACTGATGTCTTGGTGAAAACTGGAAGCTGGTGGTTTATGATTTTAGTAGTTAAGATTTAGATCCAGAATGTCACTGAAGTAAGAAATGGTAAGATTTTATGGTAATCATGATTCCCCATCACATTGCTTTGAAGCCTTATAATGTTTTCATTGATTAGTTGGAATGGTTTTATTCTATTTTGTTTGATTTTATTATGTGTGACAGTATGTACAGCTACTTTGAAGAAAACAAGCCATTGCTGATTTAATATCATCTTGCTTTGAAGTCCTACCATGCTTTTGTTCTTCTGTTTCCATTGGTTCTATCATGTTGTATTCTTACTGGATTTTATTATGTGTGATAGTATAAACAAATTTTTTATGGAAAACGAGATAATATAGTAGTCGTTTGTTTTCAGTTACTTGGTTCTCAATGCCCTGTAATACTTTCATCCTCTTGAATGGTTTTATACATTTTGTTATAGTTGATACTATTGCATGTGAAGGTATGCTCAACTATTTCAAAGAGACATTATGGTAGCTACTGTTAATACCAGGTTGTCTTGTGGTGAAGTACAGTGTTACATACGTTGTTCTATTCTAATCTGCTTTATTCTGTCCCCTTTTGTCTTAATCTCTTTGAAATTAAAAAAAGAATGTCACTGAAAAGCCAGGTGTGTTGGCACGCACTGCTAATGCCAACACTCGGGAGGCTGAGGAAGGAAGATTGCCACAAGTTCAAGGCCAGCTACATAGTGAATTCAAGGCCAGCCTGAACTATATAGTGAGATGCTGCATCAAAGAAACCATAAGTAAATAGCTCTGAAGAGAGACTGAAGGAGACATAAGAAAATGGAAAGCCTTCCTCTCTTTCCTGGCTAGGCAGAATATCAATTAAATGTTAAAAAGTGATCTAATGCATTCCATTAACATGCCAACAACATTCTTCACTGGACTATTAAAATAATTCTAAAATTTAAAGGGAAACAGAAGAGACCCAGAATAGACCAACAAGGCTTAGTAAGAGGAGCAAAGTGGGAGGGATTATAATTCCAAATCTCAAGTTACACTATAAAACTATGCTAACAAAAACAGCATGGCACCAGCACAAAAATAAACGTAGATCAGTAGACTAGAAGACGTGAAAACAACCTTGTGTACCCTTTATCTGTTTTGTTTTGTTTTTTTTTTTTTTTTTTTTTTGGTGCTGGGGATTGAACTCATGACCTCACACTTGCCAGGCAGGCACTTAAGCCACTGAGCTAAATCTCCAGCCCCCCTTTATCTGGTTTTTGACAAAATAGCCAAAAGGTTATGTGGGACAAAGACTAGGTTGGAGATAATTTACTTTTAACAAATGGTGCTGAGAAAACCAGTTATCTATATGCAGAAGATTGAAACTAGACATGTTTATTCCTACTAAAAGCAAAGCAAAATAGAACAGATTCATATAAACATTTACAGAATGGGTAAATGTTTACCAACTACTCTTCTGAGAGAAGACTAATATCTAGAATGTATAAAGAAAAAAATAACAGCCCTAAAAAGAAAATAATGAACAAACATCCACAGACACTTCTCAAAAGAAGTAATACAAATGGCCAATAAGTACATGAAAAATGTTTCTCCAGTTTAACGATTAGGGAGTGCAAGTCAGAACAACTTCAGGATTCCAGGTTGCTCTGGTCAGAATGACCATCATCAAGGACAAAGAAAGCAACAAATACTGGTGATGATGGGGAAGAGGAGCACTCTTCCTGCACCACTGGTGGGAATGTGAATTAGTACAACCTCAGGGAATCAGTATGGAGATTCCGCAAAAAACTAAAAATAGGAATTCCATTTGGCCCAGCCCTACCTCTCTCCCAGGTATATCCCCAAAAGTGTTAGGTCTCATACTCCGTGCTATGTGCACACCCATGTTGATAGCAGCCAACCCAAAATAGCTAAGGTCTGAACACAGCCTAGATGTCCATCAACAAATGAATGGATAAAAGATGTGGGCATGCACCGGAATGCATTCAGGCACGAGTGAAGGCGTGTCGTTTGTGTGAGACCACGATATTAAGTGACATAAGTCAGACAAAGTCCATCACATGATCTCTTTTGTATGAGGAACCTAAAGCAAAGAAAAAAGAAAGAAGAGATGGTAGAAAAACAAGAAAGCAGACTTTAGAGAGAAAAAAGAAGGTTGGAGAGAGGGGAGAAGAGACAGAACGGAGAAAGTAAAGGGACTGAAAGTTACCAAGATAATGGTTTTGAGTAATCCTGATTCCCCAAAATGAATGCAGTTACGATGTATTACAAAATGCAATAAAAAGAACAAATTTGCATTGGCTTTTGTTACAGGGAAGTGTGTTCATTCCAGCCCACACAGGGAACGTAACAGGAGAACCCTGGCGACGTGCAGCTTACTCGGCGAGCTGCTCCCGGCGCGGGCCTGCTGCCTGGCGGCCAGGACACTGCCGCGACCTCTCGTCCACCTCCGGGACTGCCACCAAGCAGAGTGTCAAGGGGCACGTTTCTCCGGGTGTCCTTGTCATCGATAGCCTATTCTGTCTTCTTTTTCCCTTTCATCCTTCCTCCTTCCTCTACTTCCTCTGGTATTTTTCATGTTCTGTTGTTCAATGACTACTATTTTGGTTTTTTTTTTACTTTATGTTTTACTCCCATTTTCCAACTTCTTTCTTCCACTTTTTCTAACTTCTGTATAATTTTCTTTATTAAACTATTTTCATTATCACTTTCCCCCTTTTTGCCTATGCAGTATTCACAGTACTTATTTTGGCTGAGTATATACTGAAAATTTTGAACAGCTTTATGCAGATTAATTTGACATACAATTCACCCATTTAACGTATATGATTCAATGGATTTTTTTGTATATTCACAGAATTGTGTGTCCACCTCCACCATCAACTCTTTCTATGTTTTTGAGAAAGGTCTTGCTATGTTGCTTAGGTTGGCCTTGAACTCACTGTGTAGCCCAGCTGGCCTTTAAATCATGACGATCCTCCTGTCTCGGCCTCCTGAGTGTTGGGGTTACACGCATGCACCATCACGCCAGATTGCCAGTCAGTTTTCAAACATTATCATTATCCCCACAAGAAATCAAACCCCTTAACCATCACCTCACTATCCCCCCAATTCACCAGTGCTAGCTAGCCTCTACTAATCTACTTTCTGTGTCTGTAAACCTGCTTATTTTGGACACCTCACAAGAGCAGAATCATACATATATGGTCCTTTCTAATTGGCTTCTTTCATTTAGCAGTTTCATCAATATTATGCATCACTGCTACTTCTGTTGTCAGCTAACCATCACATTTTACTAACCCATTCCTCGGCTGATAGATATCTGAGTCATTTCTATTTGATGGTTATTATAAAATGTTTTGATAAATATTCATGTGTAGATCTTTGTGTAGACATGTATTTTTCTTTCTTTAGGATATATACACATAGGAATATAATTGCTAGATCATATGACAACTCCATTTGGAAAACTGTCAAATTGTTTCCCAAAGTGGTTACAGCATTGCATGTTCCTATTAGCAAAGTATAAGTGTTTCAAATTCTCCAGACTCACCAATTGTTTTATCTGTATTTTAATTATAATCTTGCTAGACAATAGAAAATGGTAATCACTGTGATATTGATTTGCATTTCCCAAGCTATACTAAATATTTTAGAATTTTCACTACACAAAATCTTCATATTTTAATATCTCACAGAAAGACGAGGGGATATAGATTGAGGAGGTTCCTTGTATAGTTAATTTTGTTTTTAGGCTTGCTACTAAATTCCAGAGAAAGAACAAATTAGAGTGGGCGTAAGAATAAAATCTGAAACTAGGTGTGGTCCGCACACCTGTAATCCCAGCACTTGGGAAGCTGAGGCACAAGGATTGCTGCGAGTTTGAGGCCAGCCAGAGCTACGAAGGAAGACCTTGTCTTAAAAAAAACAGAAGAAAAATAAAACATGAGCATAAAAAACATCTAATTTTTTCCCTCTATTTTTGGACCATTGGTTTTTTTAATCTTTAATTTTTTTCTTTTCTGTAAAAATAAAAACCTGTTTTTGAGGATTACGCTCATGGCCCCAAGATTCAGCATGGGGATGTTAGAAAACACAGTATGACTGTCTTTGTTCTTCAACTATAGCAACACGTAATGTACTTACTCATCAAAGTTGAGGGTGTTTGTCCAGTTCAGCACTTCATCCACTTCCCATTCCATCACGGAGTCTACCCCGCCATCTTCCATGGCTCTTATGAGCCCTTTTGTTGCTGTATGAATTAAACCTACAGTTTCATAATGAGCTGACTTAGCCTCCAGGCTTCCTGCATAGTACCTAAAGAGAAGAGACAAAAACCCTTTCAAAGGTGATCACAAGTACAATCAGTTGATAAATATTGTTGCCATTTATGAATTGATACTATACATTAAGTCGTTTTCATCCTATAACTTTGATGCACCTAAATTGAGATCCATGTGATGGAATACTGGAGGGAAGGAGGCAAAGTAGCCACATTAACAAGAAAGCCCTCTTAAAATCACCTCCCTGGGGGCTGGGGATTTAGCTCAGCGGCATAAGCACCTGCCTTGCAAGCAGGCAGTCATGAGTTCGATCCCCTTTTTATCCCCAGATAAAAAGACAAAAAAAAAAAAATCACCTGCCCTTATGTTGCATTTTTTAAAAAAATTTTTATTAGTGCCTGTTGTAGTCAGGGGTTGTGCAGAGAACAACTAGAATCAGGACATGGGGTTTATAATATTATTTTTATAATGGTCGCCGGGAGTTAACACAGGAAAATACAGGAAATCTATCCCCAACACCAAAGACATAGATTATTTAGTCAAGAGCCTAAACCCCACAGCAATGTCCCACTTGAGTCCAGATAAAAATCCGGAGCTTAGGACAACGCCTCCACGTGTCCAATTGGAGCCACAAGAAGGACTCACGCCAGTCTCTTTTATGGATCCGTGTGAGGAAGACCCAAGGGTCAGCGGTGGAAGCCAGAAAGTCCATTCTAGCGGGGTGAAGGAGCTGTGCTAGTGGGATGAGGGTTCTACGCTGGAGCCGAGAATTCAAACACAAGACCAGGGCTGTCCTGAAAGGCACCACAGCTGTCCTCAGCAACAGGAAGGCCCCGAGCTCCTCCGATGCCAAGCACAGTCAGGTACATGCCAGGAAGTCAGCATGACGAGTTCATCCTGGAGACCAAGCAGCACATATCTTCCCCTCCAGAGCCAGGAAGCGATGCTCGATGTAAGGACCAGAGCTTCTCCAGGAGAACCAACAGCTCAAACAGCAACACGTAGGAGAACCCACAATGCCTCAACGCAACAACACATTAATGCCTTAATGCCTCAACACCCTCCTTCTCCTTCTCCACCTCTCTATTTATGCTGGCAACTTTCCTCAGGTGGAGCATCTTCGCTCAGTGCCATGCTGGTGTAATCCAGCTGGCGTTAAGTTGACCACCAGCGCCTGTTTTACAAAACACTGACATTCTAACCTGCGTGTGTGTTAATCATTAATCACGTGTTAGTCTCCTTACACCTTCCTCCCCACCTCCCTTATGCCTTTCGTCTAATAATGGTCTACTTTTTTGATCATCTTTAGATTGAACATATTAGAACATGCTCTACTTGTCTGTGTCTGGCTCATGTTGCTCAACATGAGGATCCCCAGTTCCTAACATTTGCCTGCAAACGACAAAATTCCATGCTTCTTTATGGCCAAATAAACTCCATTGTGCATCTGTATTACTTTCTTATCCATTTACCTGTTGGTGGGCACCTGGGCTGGTGCCGTACCTCAGCCAGGTGAACTGTGCCACAGCTGGGTCAAATGAGGAACCTCCATACTGATTTCCACAGAGGCTGCAGTAACTTACGTCCCTTCCAGTGGAGCAGAAGCAAGGACGGCTGACACTCACCCTCCCAGGCCAAGGGTGACTGTGCTTGCTTGCGAGCAGTGCAGCTGCATGGAGGTGAGTTCCCTAGAGGGGCTTGCTGTTTAATTAGTGAGTCTGGCAGAAGCGGCATACGTGTCTTCATGATAGAAATTAGGAGATAAGGTTTCCGCTGAGGCCTGCATGACTCCAGCTGGCTACAGAGCCAGTTACACGTTCCCCATAATCTAAATCTGGCTGTTCCTATCACTTCTGCAAGCTCTGTGCCCTGTGTTACATCCAGCTGCATCGTCCCCGATGTGTGCCCTAAAAATACCAAGGCTCTGGCGGCCGCCTGGCCTGTTGTCCCCAGTGAACCGCTGACCGTCCCAAGTGTCTGCCGCTGCCACCCTGCCCCTGCTCTTTCTTCTCACCATACACTGTCACACCTGTCGGGAAGCCGTGCCCACTGAAGGCGTCTTTGATACAGAAGCCCCCACACAGGTACCTCATATTCTCAGTGGCATTCTTTCCAGTTTAAGCTTTTTAAATCCCTTCCTCTCCACTGCCTACATTCTTAGTCTCTTTTGCAAAATATCTCCCTTTTTCATATTATCCTTTCTTTTGCTCTTAATTTTGGCTTTCTCACATAAGATAAATCATGTGACATTTAAACTTGTATGTCTGAGTTCACTTCATAGATCTATATTTTTTCTTTGCATTTTAAAATTTTATTTTAAAGAGGATAAAACCAAGGAAAATAAAACTGAATAAATCCAATCAAGATAAACTAGTAGAAGTGATACAGGATTTCAAAACTTTATGAAACCAGTAATAGTTACCATAATGCCTCTTGTCTTCAAAATAGCTGCAGATACTTTGGACATAGTAAAAGTCCAACAGAATAGAATAGAGCAGAAACAGTAAAAACAAAACAATGAATGCAATAAAGGACTTCAAAACAAGCTAATGGTAAACCCAAAATGTCTACCATAGTATGTCTTGCTATCCTTTAAATAACTGCTCATGCCATCAGATTTAACATAAACAAAACAAAACAGAATAAAACCCCGCCCAAGAAAACAATGAAAACGATACGGTTTTCAGGTGGAGATCCCCTCCTGGTGAGGCCTGGTTCTCCCCCACCCCACCCCACAGTCTGCAAATGGCGCTGACTCAGGAGAGAGGCTTGGGTGTGGCTGTCCCCCTTGAGTCAGCAGCCCACACGTGTGTGTGTGTGTGTGTGTGTGTGTGTGTGTGTGTGTGTGTGTGTAATCTTTTGAAGACAGGGCCTCGATCTTCCTGCCTCAGCCTCCCATGTGCTGGGATTACAGGCGTGCACCACCACATCTGGTTTATTTCACCTAATATTATTGGTCTCATAATGTATCCATTTTCTACAAATGATTCAAGTTTATCCTTGAGTATATTCAATTGTGAATAAGTATCACATTATCTTTATCCTTTTATCTACTAATGGACATATAGACTGTTTCCAAGATTTAGCTATGATGAATTGGGCTGCTATAAATATGGGAAACAGAATGATTAAAAGAGGGAGAAAGACTCAGGCCTCAACCCCGGTGACCCACCTCCTCTGATCAGGCTTCACCTCCCAGTATCATATTTAGATAAAAACTCACCAGTGGACTCATCTGCAGGTAAGTGTCACATCCCTAGGATCCAGTCACCTCTCAAAAGCACTATGAGTACATGAGGCATGGGGGACATCTAGATATAAACTACAACAATGACTACATAAAAGATATATAGGACGCATCAAAAAGTAGGGTCTAACCTAAGTAGGTCAGAGAAGGTTTCAAAAGGAGCTGTTTGAGCCAAGTATCAAAATGGGGTGTTGGGGTTTGGGTATTTAGCTCAGTGGCATAAGTGCCTCCCTGGCAAGTGCAAGGTCATGAGTTCAATTCCCAGCACCAACAAAAAAAAAAAAAATGGGGTGTTACGGAAGGGAAATATTATTCTATTATATGCATGTACACATCTGCTGAGATGAAACTTATCAAACTAGCAATATACACTATTAAAAATGTTGGAAAAAAGATGAAGCAGTTATTGGCATGTAGCTAAATGAGAAAGAAGCAACCTAGAGAAAGGAAAGTCATGTAGCATTAGATAATGGAGAACACTTAACATGTTTTAAGGAAGGAACTGCCACTTCAGAAAGAAATCTCTCTACAGAGGACCAATTAGAAAGAAGACTCGGCACATGATGTACGCATGAAAACTGCTGAGACAGCAGGGTGAAGAATGAGAGCGAATGGCAGGCCTGAGAGACCCTTGGGAGGAGAATCAGCAGGACTCGACGAAAGGCTGCACCAGGAACTTAACGTGGTACATCTAGGATAACCCTCACGTTTCTGCTGGCATGACTATACGTGACACTAACATAAACTGAAACCAGAAGAATACTAATAAATGACTTCAATAAGAAACATTTTTAAAGCAGTTTTGAATCTGGAGTTTGAGATTGAAATGTCCATATCATCAGAAACACAAAGCTCAGCTCTAGAGGACAGTTACTTGAAGGTAAATGAATATAGACCAGGAATAAATTTAAAAGTTATTATTCCTATGCACTGGCTTGTGTGTTGGTCACCTTTTTATTACTGTAACAAAATGCCTGTGACAAATCAGCTTTGGCAGTTTATCGTGGCTGTTCATGTTCAGATGCCCCAACTGCTTTTAGACTTGTGTCAAGGCAGTACAACATGGTGGGAGCAACACAGCAAAGCTGTTCACCTTGTGGCTACGGTGCAAAAGAACAGAAAGAAAACGATGGTGCATTGCACAGCTCCTTCAAATACAGTCACACTGAGACCAAGGCTTTAAAACACAGGTGTTTGGAGGACATTTCAGACCCAAACAATAGTGTCTGTCACCAAGTGTCTCCCGGCTGGAACTCCAGCAAGTCATGCCATCATTGTGCCAAAGCTGTTTCCAGGCAATGACACAGTGAATATGGCAAAGCGAGCTTTGTTGTTCTGAGCCCATGACCACTCTTCTTCTGCAGTAAATGAATCCTCCAGTCAAAGGCAAAGTAGGAAATAAAACGATAATGCGTAAGGCATTCTGTAATGAACAGTATTACTGACAGAAGCAATGCAGATGAGAGAACAGAGTTCATATCCAGAATGTTTGCCTGTCACTTCGAAGACAAAGGGATGCCTCCACTCTTAGAGCAGGGACCCACTATAACCAATCTGGCACGAGGTTGCCAGCAACTCGTTACTGGAGGCAAAGCAATGTGCTTGGCTGTGTCAGTGGCCAGAACAGCAAGCTGTTGAGTAAACACCCAGTTTCCATTTCTGAAACCTTGGCTTGTGTACGTGTCTCCATAGCACAACTAAGATAACCATGAGGAAAAAGCTGACATTTGCAAGATGGATCATCTATTCCAGTGATGGCAAACCTTTTAGAGACGAGTGCCCAAACT